CACACCCTCCCTCCATTTCAAATTAAAAAAAAAGAAAAGCTTTTTGTAAAGGAAAAATGTTAGCCAGATTCGCACGGGGTCTTTGATTTGCTTTACCATTAAGCTAAGTTTCTCTAATCCATGCTTCTGGAAAATGGAAAAGCTTTAGTGTTGCATGGTACAGATAATTACGGAAGTTCTTTAAGTTACCTTAATGATTTTATCTGAAAATTTTTGTTATAAATAAATTGCCTATTTTTTATATCAGAATAACAAGGTGTGCCGTATTTTGAAAGTATCCTACTTTTAGCAGACTTCGAATAAAAAATTACGGAAACAAATTAAGAATTAACAAATTGTAAAATCCTAATTTTATGTCAAAATATTTTGAAAATTTATTATGATATAAAAGTAAAAATTTAAATTTATACTTATAAATTTTTTTGAAATAAAATCGTAAGTTCTTTCATTTAAAATAAATAATAATTTATAAATTAAAATTGATTTTCATAAATAATATTAAAATAATCATCAATAAATAAAAATTAAAAGTTTTATCATGAAATCATCTCTAAAATCTCAAAATTTTCAAAATATCTGGTTTCCACACAAACCGAATCAATCCCTTGTATGTTTAAGGTGACATTATAGTTATTGAAAACCTGTGCCCTAAACTTTGGATTCACGATAAAAAAGGTGCACCGCTGCCCTTCCTTGGTGTGAACTAGCCCATAGCACTTGGTCCCTTTGGTTTATCTAGTTGCTGTTTCTGTTCTCAAACTTCTGGTTTGTATCATGTAATGCAATTTGCTTAGATAAAATGTTGTGGTTGAAGACCTCCCTTACTTAGAGCGCTCTCCTTGGCCCTTGCTTCTTTCAAAAGCTAAATCATATTGTTGAATTTTTCTTCATCTTCAGTTTTAGATTTTTCCCATTGGATGCAAGCAACTCTCATTGTATGAAACCATTTGACTTATTCAAGACTTCTAATAAAAAGTTTATAATACAATTTAATTTTTGAGTTTGTTATTTACAATATTTATAGATTAATGCAAATCTAAACTCATCTCTCACCAACCATGGTGCACTATATTATGATCATTCACCGCCGCATCTTCTTGCTACTTGTTTTGTTTTCTTAAGGATATGTTTAAACTTTAAACCAGTGATTTTAAGGAAGGAATTCATTTGTTAAAAAAAAATCTTATTTAATAAAATAAAAATTAAATTTAGCAAAAATTTTAAAATTCTTAAAATTTAAAAGGCTCAAATTTCCTTTTCAAATTCCAACTTAAGCTAATGAAATTTGCGAAATTTCTTGATTTTTAATAAGATAGTATCAATATCAACACGTATTATATATTTGTTAGACAACTTTTATTTTCTTTAACTCTAATTATTAAAACTCATTTTCATTTTTTTTTTTTACTTTTTCCAAACTACTAATAATAGTTACACCTATAATTATAATTTAATTAAACAGTTAAATCCACATGCAATGAGATTTAAACCTATGACATAAAAGTTTAGAGTATCCTTTGTATCACTAAATTAATGCCTTATTAACAATAATTTTTAGGATATTTTTCTTACCACTAATTAATAAGACAAAGAGAGAAACACAAACCGTCAAGCCAAATAATCCGTTTCTAGCATAAAGTTTAATATCAAAATAAATTGATGAAGTTAAAATTCTTGAATTTGCATAAAGGGTTTGACCAGCTACATTAAGGATATACTGCATAGAAATTTATCTCATACATTGGCAGACTCCACTAGTAAAGTTAAAAAAGTGACAAATTCTTATAGGATATATTTATCTTTTTTCCTTTTTTTTTTATTTGAGTTTCATGCAAAATTCTTTGGTTACATTAACGCAATGATGCCTATAAATATCGGTCAGAAGCTTGTTGAAGGAGGATGAAGCCTGAATGCGTGTATCTGGATCCCACTGGCAAAACCATTGACTGAAACGAAAAGAGAGAAAAAAATTTGTTTAAATGAACCACTTGGGCCCGTTGGACCAGATAATTTTTGCAATGGGATTCTCCTTTAGGCTTCAGTACTACTGGAGTTCCTCCCATGGGCCGTAGAGATTTCAAAAAATTTGTTTAGCAAATTCAAATAAACATGCCTTTGCACCTGTATATTATAAATCACACGTTAAACATTTCATTTCCCTTCGTAATACACATTCAACACTGATATGATGAGTCACATCGTGCCGCATGCCAAGTTATAACTTTCATCCTTGTGCTGCTTAAACATGCCATATCTGTCCGAGCCCAAGACGTAACCATTTTCTTTCTATTTATAATTTGCACACCATTTTTGCTCTCTCTCTCTCTTGCAAAATTCCATCCTTAAATGTGATAAAAAATTTATTTTCTTTCGATAGAAATAATGAAATCGTTTAACTCAAAGTTACACGACGTGTTCCAACATTAGATTTTTTTTCGTGTGACTAATTATTATTTTAATAAATTCAAATATTTAATATAATAATTTATACGTATTTTTTAATGTCAAACACTCAATTGAAACTCAAGAAACATCATGATGAAATAATTATATTTTTTTTACAAAATTAAAAAATAATTTGATTAATCTAAACTCTATCAGATACATTCAAAATCACTTCAATCCGAATAATGACATAAATTCAAAATGTAATCTTAATCTAAAATAATGGAAATCATTACCCTAAACACTCAAACAGAAACCGTGTCCGTGGGTCACCTCTGATTTTGATGAAAAACGTTAAATTCCCCAATTTTCTACATGGGTATTATCGACCAGAGTCTTCGACACAACATGTAGCAAAATTGACATTGGGTACTCACATGACTCAAATGCATGTCTATATCTATGTATAAAAAATTCCACATGCCTTTGCATAGGAATAAGTTTGAACTTTGGACTTTTTTGCCTATTTTTTGGACTACCGACCAATTTTCCTTTCTTTAATTTATTTCCCATTTTTCTTTTAAATTCCCAAACGGCCAAACCTTGTTTCCCGCTGCCACTTTATGAGACATAGAAGCGGTACCCTCCATTCTCAACTGGACCCACCTCTGATTGAACTTAAACTTCTTCACCAAAAATTCCACCGTCCGATCTGATCCTAACCCCTAAGATCACCAAAAGATTTGGTCACATCTAGTTGCAGATCACAAAGTACCGTATCAAACTGTCGCCTTTCGATCTCAACCGTAGGATCAGTCTGACCAATCTGATTAGCTAAATCTTTAATCTCCCAGATACTGCCATCCTCTCATCTGTCACGGGTTCGATTTGCCACGTAGACATAGGTCCACCGTAACTTTTCTTTTTTTTTTAACTTTTATCGTAATTTTCTAAATTCCCTAAAAATAAATCAAATGACAGGACGTTTAACAACGCAATCATGCCTTTTTAGAGTCAAAGTTAGGTGTGGGAATGACAAGTCAACTCATGTTTTTCTTTTTAATTTTTTTCAAAAATAAAATTTCTTTTTAATTTTCTCGGGAATTTTTTTTTGAAATTGAGATCGGAAGTGCCCAATCCCCAATGACAGTCTGAAACAAATTGAATTGATGATTTTTGAGGGTCATGGAGAAGTTGGTGGATCATGTCCCCAAAAATATGGAAAGGATCGTTCAAATTTAAGGATATTGCTGTCTTTTTCACTGTCACAAGCAACTCCCAGCTGGTATGCAAAATTCTTGAAAATGACATGAGATAGCAAATGTTTTAATTTACCTTTACTACTTTAATCCTGGCCAAAGCTAAGCACAAAATATTAATAATTTATGTTTATATTATATTTTTTTTTGAAATTTATATATCATAATTTATATTTATATAAAAATATATAACATATTTTTTAATTTTATTAATTTAAATATAATATTTATTAAAATTTTAAATTATATTATTTTTATATTTATCATCGTCTCATATTTTATATTATCATATTTATTAAATTCAAACAAACTTCGTATTTCAAATTTTATCAATTTTAAACACTATAATTTCAATATTCATGCCAAAATGGAGGATTTAGGGTGGGTATAAAATGGGAAGTTAGTAATCAATGAAGAATTATTTCAATGATAAAATAAAAGATTTTAGTATTTTTAGATCTCAAATAAAAAATCTAACGTACTTAAATTTTATCCATCGATTATTGATTATTGATTTATTTATTTATTTTTATTGGTTTCTGTATTATTACAATAAAAATAAATTAATTTGATGATATCAATGATTAAAAGAATAAAACAAATACATCATAAGCATAATATGATGTAAAGAAAGTAAATTTTTTAAATTTTATTAAAAAAATTTAAAATGTTGAAGAAGATAAATGCAAAAAACTTGAAATCACCATTAGATGTATCCATGGGTGTTCGCAAGCAATAATAAAGAATAATACTAGCAGTAATTAAAAAATAGCAAGTAGCATTTTAAGAGCACCAATAATAGAGTCGATGTTAGATCTCCAGCCTAGTTGTAATAAAAACACAAAAAAATTTATGGCAAAAAAAAAAAAAAGGACTAAGAGCACATTAGTTTAATAAAATGTGTGGTAAAACGGTACCGTTTGGCTTTGCAATTTACGTTTTAATTCTTTCTATAATATGGGATGAAAGAAGAGTTTATATATGATGTTAAATATATAAATATTATATATTTTCAATAAATAAAATGATATCAGTAAATATAAAATTTTATGAGCTTTAAAATAAATTTAAAAATTAATTAAAAATTTTTTTTCTCATAAGATAATGGTATCTGATTCATTGATAAAATAAACTCGTCTATAAAATAAAAACGTACGCAAACTCATAAAATAAACTAGGAATTTGACTGTCAATGCTACTGCAAGAACTGCAAATAAAAAACAGTCCTTATTTGTTTCCTAGCTGTTGTCAGTCGCATCCCCATTTTGAACTCTCTCCACTTCCCCCCCTCGGCTCTTCTCCATTTCACACTTTCTTCCCTTTCCTATAAAATCCAAACATTGCCCATCTCTTCTTTCTTCACTTCCTCCCCTCTTAATCAGGTGAAATCACTTTCTTCCCCTCTTTCTCTCTCTTTACTACCACTTTCTCTCCCTTGTAATGTCTCATTCTCTTTCTTTTGTTGTTTGTGTTGTTGGGTTTTTCAGATAGAGAGAAAAGAAAGTGCAATGGCGCTCAGTTCTAGAGGGAGAACGACAGAGTTTGGGGTTGTATCAAGGAAGTGGAAAGAGAGGGAAATAAGCCCAGAAAGAAACAAAGTCTGGATTGAACCCATGCCTCACAACAACAACAACAACAACAAGTCTTCCAATACTGAAAGAAAAGTTGCTGTTGTTTACTATTTGTCTAGAAATGGTCAGCTGGAACACCCTCATTTCATGGAAGTTCCTCTCTATTCTAATGATGGGCTCTATCTCAAAGGTAAGATAATTAAACCCCCAAATGCACTTCCTTTTCTTTCTGAGTTTTGTCTAAAAGAACATCAAATTTTGCAAAACTTTCTTTGCTTCGTTTTTCTTTTTCTATCTCTGTTGTTTGGTTTCTAAGAAAATTAAGAGGACTTCAAGATTTTGAATTTACTTTCACGTTCCAAGAAATGCCTTCTGCCAAATGGTTATAACTAGCTGTTGCAGCTGACAAAAAGGGAACTTTCTGTTTTCTCGTAAAGAAAAAAATGTAAAAAAAGTGATCTTTTTTCCGGGAAAAACAAAAGAATAAGCTTAAACTTTGAAAAGCTTTCCTTTTTCTCCTCTTTTTTTTTTTTTCACTTTGTCTGGATGCTGAGTAAAGTGCCGGGTTTTCCTATATTCCTAACATTTTTTCACGGCAACCAACAGATTATTAATTTATTATTCTAACTTTTTCTTCAGATGTAATCAACCGCCTAAACCTCCTTCGAGGCAAAGGCATGGCTGGTCTATTTTCTTGGTCCTCCAAACGGTAACACTATCACTCATTCCCAACCGTTTGATCAGATTACCATTTCCCTTCACAGTCGATATTAATTGTTTGTTTTAATTGTTGAAACTCAGGAGTTACAAAAACGGCTTCGTTTGGCACGACTTAGCAGAGAACGATTTCATTTATCCATCTCACGGCCAAGAATACGTTCTCAAAGGATCCGAGATTCTCGACCACACGATAAGCTCTCAAGCCCTCGAACTAACGTCTTCTTCTTTTCGATTACCAAAACCGCAAGAGTCTCAAAAGTCAGAGAACGAGCATGATTTTCCGTCAATCAGACGCCGGAGGAATCAGTCTTGGAGTTCCATTGATCTCCATGAATACAAAGTTTACAAGGCTGAGTCGAGCTCTGAGTCAACTCGGAGACTCGCTGCTGATGCGTCGACTCAGACTGATGAGAAGAGGAGAAGAAGAAAACAGGCGGTGGTTAAGGAAGCGGATATTGAAGAGCTGCAAACTCAGAGTCAAAGTCAAGAGTTGGAGCAGAATCAGACTACGGAGCTGAGCGTGGAAGAGATTTCACCTCCACCGTCGGATTCGAGTCCGGAGACATTGGAATCCTTGATGAAAGCTGATGGACGGTTGAGATTGTGCAATGGTGGTGATAACGAAGATAACTTGAATCGGACTGCTGAGAGTTGCCCAAGTGGGAGAATGAAGGCGTCGTCCGTTTTGATGCAGTTGATATCATGCGGTTCGATTTCGTTTAAGGATTGTGGCCCCAGCTCGGAGGGGGATGAAGGGTTCTCGTTGATTGGGCACTACAAATCAAGGTTGCCACGCGGAGCAGGGAATTGTAAGCAGGTCGGGAAAGAAGCAGGGATTGAGAGGGAAATCGGGAGCTTCTCAAGGGTAAGCTTGGAAGATAAAGAATATTTTAGTGGGAGCTTGATTGAGACCAAGAAAGAGGATCTTCCTGCCTTGAAGAGATCTTCTTCTTACAATGCTGATAGGTAATTACCAAAATTAATGCACAAAATTTATTTTGAAGCATTTTAACTATGAATTACTTTTAAGTTTTGTCTGATTAGACACAATTTGGATTAATAGTTTTGGATTGCCTAGTATTAGACAAGTTTTTGTTTTGTTAAATATAAATTTTTGCTCGTAATTACTATTTTATTTTTATTTAAGGAAATAAGGAAACAGTTGTGATCTTTGGTCGTATTTTTAACAAGTTAGCCTTAATGGTTATCAAGCAAACACTTGATTTTGGCATAAACCAAATACTAAAGCCTGATAAGAGTGAAGTGAAGGAGCATTGATGATGATACAATGAGTAAATAGCTATGAAGTTTTACTTGAAAAATGAACTGTTAATTACCTGGAAAGCAAGCCAATAAAGTGGATCTTACCTTGCCTTTCCTGGAATCTTAAGTCAGACTATTGATTCTATTTCTGAATCAGTCCTGCTGGCATGTTTTGGGTATTGAATGTAAGATTCGTACAGGGTTTTGGCAGAAACGCCAGCTAAAGCTATTCATTTTGTTGCACAGATATAATCGGTTTTTCGTGTACATGTCTTCAATATCTCTTCTTTTCTCATCTTTTTTGCTATCAGCTTTCTGACCTTTTATGACAGATCATATTAATTGCTGGCCCTCCACGTTAATACGCCGAATTCAAATCCGACATGGTCCCAGAATTAAAATCTTAGTTGGGTTTTAATGTAATGAAATTTATACGAAACTTATCCAATAAATAAATAATCTACTTTAGTACTAGGATTGAAGGAGGGACCAAGTAAAAAAAACAAAGTCTGTTATGATTTTAAGCTTATTAGATAAACAACTGCCGAAACATTAATTCCTGTTAGATGGTTGATTTCCTTGAGATTTGTTTTTGCTTGTTGCTTTTATCATTGGATTAATTTGGGAAATTTTTAATTATCAGGAGCTCGCAGTTGCAGTTGGAAGAAAAGGAGATAGACGGAGTGCGTGCAAAGTGCATACCAAGGAAGCAGAAAACTGTGTCAACGAAGAAAGAAGGCAACATAATCGCAGATAGCTGTGGTGGTGAAAATGGAAGCAATAGTCAAATGGGAAGCAAAAGGCATGATGTCTAGATTATCATTGTTCATTGGAACTTAGCAATGTGAATTGTACTAGTTCTTAGTTTTGTAACAAACAGAGAGAAGTGAATGACAATGGAAAGATATTATAGGCAAAGTATGCAGCAATGTATTGCAAGCTACGGCAAGGTGAGCCCGCTCAATGAGAGGAGCAGTAAGGTTGGGGAATCTTGTAAAGCTCTCTTGTTGAAGCGTGTAAATTTGTCCATTTCAGTTTGGAGCTTTCAGCTAAGGTCAACTTATGGTGCCTTGGTTTTTGAGGGAGTAACTGAGTGGGTTCAATTTGTCTTAATTTCGGTGTATTTGCACTAACATCTAGTAGTTTTAGGTCCTTTTTTGACTCAAGTTGATTTGACTTTGAGACATGGGAAATGGAATTTCATCTTAGGTATTATCATCTGCTTTGGTCTTTGGCTCCATTGCGGGAAAGTTGTCTTCTTCATGGCTGGCCTGACATGGAGATTGGAGATGTGAAACTTGAAGAAAGTACACCATGAAAGTTCCAACATTTGCTTTGCAAATTTCCACTACCATTTGGCAGATCTTCGCCATTCAATGTTCACTGTCCTTGCAATTCAATATTTTAAGAGAGTTGGATGGCGTAATATCTGGTATTGAACAATCTGTTTAGCTACTGTCCATGTGAACGAGCCTGAAAGCTTGCAGTTTTGATGATTCCAGATCAATACCCTTTTACAAATCGGAGAAAAAAAAAATCGAGACAGCTTATAGTGAAAGATAAATGAAAAACGAGCCATGGTTTTGTACACTCAAAGTTGTGCGTAAAGGAAGAATCCATGGCCAATTGCCCTCTGCCCCAATAATACTACACATCAAATAAACATCACCTCTAGTTATAACTGGTGTGTGCGCGTGTATGTGTAGATCTGTACCATCCCATTCCATTGATTTATTAGACTATCCAATATGTGAAAAAGAGGATAGAAATTACAGTCGCTGCTTACTTTTTAGGGAATAAATTGATAAGCAAGCTCCCCTCAAACAAGAGAGGAAGCAAGTTTCAATGCTAAAGCCCTGCTAGCTAACCAGTAAGCAACTCAGTTGCATTGCATTGTCCAGGATAATTAATGAATCAATCAATATAAATGTTCCCCTTTGGGTTCCTACACAGGTGACCTGCAACATAAATTGGTTTTGCGAGCTACTGCCCGCATGAATTTCAGATTCGGTCGCCAGAATGATGAAAGTCTCATATGGATTGGCCTGCAATAGATTGAAAGGAAAAATCTGACCCATCACATTCCAGCGCTGAATTAGGGAAACCAAAGACGGGATATTGGGCTATTGAGACACATTAACAGAATGAAAATCCAGAGTCACCATTGACCAAGTCAGTTTTGATGGGCTTTGGTGGTTTGAGGGATTGTGATGTACGTAGAGACATAGTAAATTCCGGGTGTTGGCTATGCGTTTACTGTTGGTTACGGACTCGCCTCTCACAGTGAAGAACCCCAGGTTCAGGCTTGTTTAAAGGCCGAAATCAATAGCAACTTGTAGTACTAAATTTTGCCTAATTCTATAATGTATTTTACAAGGCTTATAACTTAAAACCTCATGCAGCCCAAAGGGCCTAAGAGGGGCTTTGTTTCCATAGGCAAACTTTCCTTATTTGACGTGAAGTGTGAAGTGAAGTGTGAAGTGTGAACATGATTGTGTTAATTAGAAAATCAGGCTGCTCACAAGCAAGGCAAACATCTTCATAAGTCCGTAAGCCTAAGCATCAAAATTTGATTACTCAAAATTTAATTTATATAATTTTTTATTTTTAAATTATGATATTTTTGTATAAAAAATAAAAAACCAATCTAGTCTCAACATAAATTTTGATTTCTTAAAATCCCTAATTAATGTACAAATTCTACCCACTATGCCACATGAATTTCTTTTTTTCGAAAGGTTATACTATATGAATTTCAATAGAAAATAATGAAAAATAAACATATGAGCTTTATATACATATATGAGATATAGTACTTGATTTTTTTTTATTTAATTTGAAACATGGAACTAACATAACTAAAAAAAAAAAAAAATTAAAGAGCAAACAAAATTTGTCAAAACTGTCATGCTTCGTGCTATTAGATAAAAGATGAATGATAGTAAGCAAATAAACTTCTTTCTTTACATTGGAAAAAAATATATAACTTCTTGCTTTGTGTGTTAAATTACCTTGTTCTGTGTATAAATTGGTAATGTGTGATAATATTAACTTTTTTTTATTTTAATGACAAATTTAAAATTAAATTAAAAAAAAAAAAAAACTTATTTTGCTAAGCATATACGTAATGACCAAACTAACCACAATTAAACCAGATGGCATTTTAGTCATTCTAATTACCAATTGGCCTTCCAATTCTTTTAGTCATCCCATATTTATATATATATATATATATATATATAGATAGATATGTAGTCATGACATGTAAAAATAATTTGTTTACATAATTTTTCTCTCGATTTTGAGAGAATCTCTCCAAAAGTTTAAAACAAAAACCTCTCTTTTCTTCCTACGAAAAATCTGAACATGTTTTAGTAGTGGTTATAAAGAAAAAAAGATTGTCTCTACCAAATTCCAATGCCCATGTCTTTTGTTTCTGGTGTCACATTGTCTTGAAACAAACACTTTCAAAGTTCTTTACTTCCCTGTTGATTTCTCACCAGGTAAACATGAAAAACTATATAGCTTCTCTGTTCTTTTCCTTTCCTATTTCATCAAAGTTTCTCCTTTTATGCATGCTTTGAAAACCATTGAACACAAAGCTACCGTGTTTCTTTCATATAGTTATTGCATGTTAGTTGTCACTATTCCTTTCATGATCCTTTTATTTTTCTTTGTCTCATGGTTTATGATAAATATTATGGTTTTATGATTAATGGGTTTTAGTCTTTTTGATGAATTCTAATACAGTTATTATAATTCTTGTTTTGTTGAAGTTAGTGGGTTTTGTTTTTGGATTCAATTGGTGTCTATTTTTGGGCTGATGGGTCCTGTAAGAGGGTTAAAGAAAAGGCGGAAGATGGAGAAGAAACCTGAAGAAAATGCTTCTGGTTCTGGTTCCGGTTCTTCAGAGAAGGAACGGTCTGTTGATTGGTGGGATGAACTTTCCAAGAGGATGAATGGTATTTTTTTAACAGTTTTATTGGTTCACCATATCAGACTCTTGACTTTTGTTCTGTTTTTATTATCTTTATTTGGAACTGCTCTTTTTGGTTGTGGTGTATAGATATTTGCTTTAGTTGATCATTCCTGGCACGGCAGATATTTAAATTTCTGTTAGCAGTTGACAGATTTTCAGTTCATGGGTTGAGTTCAATTTTGGAAATTTTGACTGGTTTTACGATTTACATCATATTCGAGTTATATATACTGATACATAGAAAATGCAGTTGGGAACACATAAGCAGGATCCCTAATCTGACTTTCAAGTCGTTCTTTTATGTTATTGAATGGAAAAGAGGACAAGATAATATTCTTTTTAATATTATGTATATAGAAATTGTGGGCACACAGTAAAATCCAAGGAAATAAGATTATCTGTTTAGATAATGCTGTTGCTTATATTTACTCTATGCTTTACAAGAAACTCAGCCTTAGCTCTGTCTGAATATGAAAATCTTTTGAAGCTCAGAATGCTTAAGTTGTTTTCAAATAGCTAATGCAGTTGAAAAACTGATTCTTATCTTACGTTTAAAGTTGTCATTTGATTTACTTTGAGCAATGGTTTAAGTGTAAAATTAATGGGACTCTATTCGTGCGAAGAGGACTTGGAAATAAAAGGCTGGTTATTGGCTTAATGTAGATAACTTTTTTTTTTTTGGTGCACCTAATTGCAGATAACTTGAGTATACATTAGTAAGTTGGTTGTATTAGCCAATGTAGGTGAGACAAAAGATCATTTTCTTATTCTTGTTCCTCATCATTTTCTTGATTTATTTATCTTATTCTTCATCCTTTGATCTTAAAGATTTTGACCTGTTGCTTTATGTTAATGGTTGTTGTCCAGTAGGTCTTCTAGAATATTGCTTTTGTTCTGCCAGAAACATGCCATCAATGGTATGATTGGGTTTCCTTTTCATGAATATGTTATCTTTCACATGTATCTAGTTCTTATTTCTTCAGTCATCATATGTTGATTGAAAATGCTAAGGAGAAGGTAAATCTGCAATTATAATCCATTGAACATGAAAAGTTACTGATAAAGTAGATCAAATTAGTGATTCATCAGGTTATTAGGCAGGAACTATATTCCCTTCATGTTTCTTGATTCATATTCTTCATTGTGGAGTTTAAATCCACAATGTCCTGTAGTATCTTCTTCGATAACAAGGGTTTTGACTGCTCAAAACTAAGTCTTATTATGTTCTGACAAAAATATGTCGCTTCTTGATGAGAAATTACTAGTGTTAAAACCTTGAAATAATTGTAGAAGGCTGTAAGAGCAAATACTGCCACTGGGAGCAGATAGTTTGGACATAAGTACTCCTGTAGAAACATATGCATTAGATTGAATTAATTTAAGTAAAATGTTGCTGTTGAATATATGATAAGTTCTTTTGGTTTTAAGAAGTAGGATGATTTGTCATCTCATAGCCAGTAGGTTACGCCATTAGTTGCTAATCCAAGGAACAGAATACTGCATACTTGCTATTGTTATTCCTCTTATTCCTTATTTCTATTTCCATTGTTTTCTTTGATTGTTTCCTTACTGCTGATTTCTATATGCTGATTTATCTTGTATTTTGTTGCTGTGTATCTAGTGATTCTTGTCGTGTTATATTGAAATTCAATGCATCATCCAAGGCCACATTAGTGTTAGTTACTTATAATATGTTAAAAAATTAAATAGCTGATAATCTTATGTCTTAACCAGAATGTTTGATAGGTTGAAATTTTTTGTTTCTCCCACTTTAAGCTATTTGCAGAATGATATCTTTTCATAACATTTATTTTAGCTACAGTTGACAATTCTGTAGATTATAATGACATAGTGTTGTTAATAACTATAGGGTTTGTCAATTAGGATAGATTAAGAAGTTAAGGGCTTGAGGCAGATTTGGAGAAAATAAGCTTTTCTTGGTAAAGAAATTGTAAATTAAGCTATTATGATCTCCTCAACCTACTTAAAGAGTTTCCTGATCAAATTCAGGATACTATAGGAGCAACACATAGGAGTTATATCATGTTCATTGCCCTTGTTCCATGAGCCTTCTTTTCTTGGGTCCATAAAATAAAATGATGAGGACCACTCTAAGTTTTGTAACATAACTTCCTTTTACTCTCTCAACAAGATGTGAATTATCTTTATGACGATAAGTAATGGCAGAATGCATTAATCATGTCTATTGAAACTTCTGGGTTAGTACTAGCAACTAAAAACTGTGCATACTTCCAGCAAGAATGTACACTGTTAATATTTCGAACCGGCTGTTTTCGGTCACCTATTGGTTTTTACAAGCCCTAACTAGTAATTGATGCAAATTGGATTCAACAGAAGCTGTCATGTTTCAGCTTTATGTGCAATGTTTGCATATTTAATGTTTCTAAATGGGCATGTTTTACCCTATATAATACAATTATTTATGCATGTGTATAAATCGGACATTAACTTTCACTGGCAAAACTATTCGTATATTTTGCATTCCTATGATTATTTTGTCCATCGAAAAGGGATCAAACAAGTTGCATTTGTTCATTGATAAGCTAATCCTGATAGTTGAAATAATGTTTAAGAGTTACTAGTGAAATCCCACAGATCATCTACACCGACCCTATATATTTCATGTGTAAATACTGCTTTCTTCTTATTGGCTTATTCTGTCTGTAGGTGTCCAATCACCATCTAAAGGTCTGGATAAGTTCAAATCTGTTTTAAAAATTTCCAGAAAAACTTTCAACTACATATGTTCACTTGTGAAGGAAGATATGACGGCTAAGCCAGGACGTTTTACATTTTCAAATGGTAAACCTGTGTCTTTTGAAGATCAAGTAGCTGTAGCTTTGAGAAGGCTAAGCTCTGGTGAATCACTAGTGACGGTTGGTGATTTGTTTGGGCTGCATCATTCAACTGTCTCACAATTGACTTGGCGCTTTGTGGAGTCCATGGAAGAAAGGGGTCTTCACCATCTGCAATGGCCTTCCACTGAAGCAGAAATGACAGAAATAAAGTCCAAATTTGAAAAGATTCAAGGTCTTCCTAATTGCTGTGGTGTGATTGACACTACTCACGTCATGATGTGCTTGCCTTCATCAGACCCTGCAAATAAAGTGTGGCTTGATCATGAGAAGAATCACAGCATGGTCTTGCAAGCAATTGTGGACCCTGAAATGAGGTTCAGGGACATTGTCACTGGGTGGCCGGGTAAAATTGAAGACTGGTTGGTGTTTCAGAGTTCAAATTTCTATAAACTGTGTGATAAAGGAGAGAGATTGAATGGGAAAAAACTTGAGCTCTCTGAAGGATCAGAAATAAGGGAATACATAATTGGGGATTTAGGCTATCCTTTATTACCCTATCTTGTTATTCCTTACGAGGGGAAGGAACTACAAGAACTAAGAGCTGACTTTAATAAAAGGCATTCTGCAACTCGGCTGGTGGCACACAGGGCTTTGGCAAGGCTCAAGGAAATGTGGAAGATTATCCAAGGGGTGATGTGGAGACCTGACAAACATAAGTTACCAAGGATCATCCTGGTTTGCTGTTTGCTTCATAACATTGTTATTGACTTGGAAGATGATGTGCAGGATGACGTGTCTCTGTCTTGTGACCATGATTCAGGTTACCACCAACGCATTTGTGGATCTGCTGACATCAAGGGTATACACCTGAGAGATAAACTTTCTCTCTACTTGTCAGAGAAATTGCCACCTCAACTATTTTCCGTTTTCGATTCCTGATTGGTAGTTTCTTCACATACAAAAGGTTTAAATATGATCTTTCGAAGACAATCATTTCATTGAAGTTGGTTTTCTTCTGTTTGATTTAAAATTGTAGAAGTTAAAATAAGCATTGCATTTTTATTCGAAGCTTCCCAAATTGTAAAGTGATGATTGAGACAGCATGGGAGAAATTTAGATGTTTTCGACAGTTCATACAATGTCCAGAGGTGATTGAAAACTGTGTCCTGTTTCTCCCAAGTGTTCGAGTATCTGTAAATCCCTCTTTATCAGATGGTGTTGATGATAACTGATCCGTGGAGTCTAGCTCACCTTCTCCGTATGTCGTGGATTTAAAGTGTAAAACTAAGAATGCTGTCAGTTCGTCTTTTAGTCCCTAACAAAGTTGAGTGCTGCCGTGGCAGCAGGAAGAAGGTTCTTCCAGGAAAACAGCAAATGTGATGGACTTGATCGTATGACTGAGGAAATCAATTTTTCAAAAGCAGATGTTGATGGAAACCTCCTGATGAAAACCAAAAACTATCTCCTTTGGATTGTGAGAATCTTTACATATTGTCACCTTATTCATCCTCCCTTCAACCTTCCCGAGTGTTTTCAATCTTCTAATGGAAACGTCTCCTGGAATTTGTTAGCAGTTTTATTTTGATTGAATAAACCATTGGCATTCAGTGATCATTTATTATTTTGCTTTGAATAAAGACCTCAGATCAGAACAACCAAAGTTCCACACTTCTTTAATTCGAGATTAGTTACTATCTGTTACTGTATAATTTAATCCCACATTCCCATTTAAGTTACACCATCAACAAAAGCAAAAAGGCAATTTTACCATTTAATATGAAGGAAACTTATCAGTGAAAAAAGTCAGCTCATTACCACCAATGAAGCTGTTTTTAAACTCCACTTAGCAGGTAATGTAAGTATCCAACTGGCAATGGCCAAGAAAGTAAGAAAAAAGCACTACTAACTTAGCTACGTTAGCATTACATAAATACGGGCCTTGTCAGAAGCCCAGTCTTAAAAAACAGAAACAAAAAATATCCGACCTGCCGGATTCGAACCAGCGACCTAAGGATTGTCTGTTGGTTTTAATCTCACTACAGTCCTCCGCTCTACCAACTGAGCTAAGGTCGGGTCCGCGAAAAGGTCCTAAAAACTACGTGACAGTTGAAAATCACTCGAGTTGAGGCCTATTCCGTACGGTGGAAAAGTTCACTGGAGCCATTCAGTCACGACCATAGCCAACAAAAACAAGCAGTTTTCACAGTGACCAAGTAAGCACGGCTCAGAGTTATCTACACTAATTGTAGAGATTACAACAGGATTCAAACTAGACCTGACATCACTAGAAGCTCATGCCAAGTTGCCAACTTCCTGCTGCACATTCTTTAACTAGAGTTTCTCTATCGCCAGTGGCTACCACCTGCAGAACCAAAGAACAGCAAGAGGCCAATCAAATTATAAAGCTTGCATCTTGTAATAACAATCTTCAGAAATCAGATTATGATTCAATTATTAATTAGATTGTGTTAAGTCAGTGCCAATTAACTCTTAGCATTTTAACAATTAGCGGAAACACTGCAGAAAACCATCATGCCATTATCATTTTTTTTTTTTCATTTTAATGTGTATCTCGTTAAGAAAATTTCAGAGATAGTGCAATTAGGGAGGACAAATTATTAAAGATACATTCAGATTGTAAAATGGTTTTGAAAAGAGTAGAGCCAAAAAACCTTCAAAGACACACTCAACAAAATTTGTCCTGGATGGATGATATGAATGTCTCAGACCACGATTGCTTTACAAATTCTGGAACCACAGATTCACCTATAAATGGGTTCCAAAGACGTCCACCAGGTCCACCAAGGACCCACCTTACTTTTGCTGGAGGGCTGGTATAATCAAGCATTGGATCAACCTCTACACTAGATTTTTGTTTCTTCCGAGAACCAGAAGTTCTTGATGGCTGAAAAACAAAAGGTTCACAACTGGTAAATTTTTAATTTTAAAATAGTTATTTCTCTAACTCAACATGGAACGTTTGCGTGGTTGCAATACCCCAGGGGTGGTTGTTGTTCTTTTGGCATCTTCTGGGTATTTCAAAACAATTTGTGGGGAACGGTCCCCACCCGAAATGTATTTCCCATAACCGGGATTCTGTAAGGGCAGCACTATAAATTAAAACCACGAATTCATCCTTAACAAAAGTCAACAGTTTAAAAGCTCAGATGCATCATCTGCCTTTAGTACCTCGGTAGCAGCTGCACTTGCTTCCATCTCTGCAAGGTATCTCTCAACGGCTATGATGGAACGAAATCGCTTTCCTGTCTCCGGCTCAATGTAATACTGCAGACAGATTACCATTTCTAAAATTTCTCAGTTGCAAAACGAAATTTAATGAACTTCTAGACAAGTAAACAGGATATCAGTCTTTCTCTTCTTGACTCAGTTAAAAGTAGATTGATAAGAGTATTTCTTTAACCTCTGCTACTGTAAAGAAGTGCCTTATCTTAAGTCATCAAATTAAAAGACACAAAAAGACATCTCATTGACAGAAAGCAAGAACTGAATGCACACTTAAACAAAACCATAAGACTATGGATCATTCAGGAATATCTGTATATATTATTGGTGTTATAAAAAAGCCTAAAAACTTAAAAGTAAAAGTCAAGCATGCAAGAGTACCCTGTCAATGACTCCAGCATATCTAACATTGCTACGGGGCTTTTCCTCAACAATCCAACCAGGAGGCAGCCTGAATGGTGTAGCACTCTTGAATACATGCGGCACAATTTGCATCTGCAAATTAGAATAATAGCACAGTTGCTGAGATCAAAACAAGCAAGAAAATAACTAATCCTCATGGTAACAAAAACATGAAATCACATTCAGCAATTAGAACTCACAGAATTTTTACTGTCAAATTTCACTCTCTGGGTTGAAGGAGTATATTCCATCCCTTCACATAGATAATTTTGAACAGAAATGAGGGAACGAAACTGCCGTCCAGACCCAGGTTCAGAGTAATACTGCAAAAAATAAGACGAAATTTCTCAAAACCTTGAGTCTTCTAACAAACAGGACATGAACTTGCTGACAAATTTTAAAGCTGAAACATACTGCATACTTTCCCTTATTTATAAGTTATGGAGACTAGGATTCGCAAATGGTAAAGTGGATTTTAGCCCAAATATTTTCTTTGATTTCCACAAATCTTCATCCAAATTAATAGAATAGAAATGCAAAGATCAACATTAGATTACACTGAAATTACCTTCTTTTTGTGAAATTTGCACATTTGCTTGCACAAATAACTCAATATTTTGCGGAAACAAGAAGAATGCTGGGGCTGAAAGTCTGGTTTCGATATTTATTTTGGCCTTTTTTTTTTCAAAAAATACAACGTATTTATCACATTTGAGTTTTGCAAATAAAACCAAATTAAAGACTTTCAGATAAACACCTCAAAACAAATGCATGCATGCATGCAGAGGAAGAGGAAGAGGAAAAAACCCTGTCAACTCGGCCGGGATGGGCTGCAGAGTTAACACGTGGCCTTTCCTCCACGACCCAACCACGTGGCAACTTGATAGGTGATTTGAATACAGGTGAGGTCGGATTGGGCTCCACAATCCGCACTTGCATTGTGCTGGCATCGTGGGCCTCTCGTTCTTTAGCCGCCGGAGGTGGCGTCTTCTTCGATTGTGACGATTTGCTCCTCATTTTATGGCTCTTTCAGAAATGTTTCAAGGTTCTTTTTCTCAGTTGGTGGTTTCGGAGTTCGGACTCTTTGATCAATGAAATGGGTTCGTTTCAAGGGAAATGATCGGGTCGGTCGGGTTACTTCCCGCTACTTTTGCAGCCGAGTTTTAGAGCAGTTGCTCCGTCATCTTCTCTAGCTTCTGGAGATCCCGCTGTTTACGCCTTATGCTTTTTACCTCGAAGAAAACGCCAGTTGAAATCGTCCTTTTTTCTTATTTCTTATAAAGATCCATAGGATATGACTTGTAATTATATGTCTAAATTTCTATAACTTTATATTAATTTATTGATATATTTATTTCACTTGTCTATTAAAGTGGTTATTTAAATTTATAATAAAGATTATTTTATTATAATTAAAATTTTTATTAATACATAACAAAATAGATAATAATTTTAAGAGTAAGGAATGTATAAAACATTACTTCACGTTAATATATGTTTTTCGCATTAAAATTATATCACGTTCTCATGTTATTAGAAAAAATTAACTACTCTCTTCGTCTCTATTTTTTTGTTTTGTATTAATTTTTTAGAGTTTAAAAATAGTTAACTTAATATATTTAATATTAAAATTAAAAAATTTTTATAAAATTAAAATTTCATGATTTTTAATGTTAAAAAATAAAAAAATCATAAAATATAATTTTAAAATATAAAAAATAAGAATTTTATATATCTAAAATAAATAAGACATAATTTTGAAACACCTCAAAAAGTAAAAATGGACAGAGAAAATGAGATAGAAAGAGTATTTATTAAATATCACATGTTATAATTAAATGTCAATTATTTCTTTCAATAAATCTGTACATGTGACATAGTAGGAGTATTTATTAAATATCACATATAACAATTAAATGGTGATTATCTTTCAATAGATTTATGCATGTAACATGTAATGAATAATTAATTTTTTTAATAATATGATTATGAGACATGGTTTTAATAAAAAAGATACATATTGATATGTGGTAATTGTTTCATATAATTTTTTTTAACCTTAATAAGTTATATTATTCCTTTTCCATTTTGTTATAATAGTAATAAATAAATAAATTCAACACATTGAAAGATTGAATATTAATAATGTCAACAGCTTAAAAGTGCAAAAGCATGTTGTATATTTTTTTCTTGTTAAAGAAAACAGGTTGGTTTTCAAGTTTGGGTTGTTTTCAAGTATAAACAAATAGATTAAACCACAAAAAATGTAAATGTTATGCCACCTACGATCCTACGCCTCTAAGTGTGAATAATACATTTGCACTCGCAAGTTATTTGGGTTTGATTAAAAAAAAATTAAATTTAACTAAATTATTATCAAGTCAAGCTCAAACTCAAATAGTTTGACTTGTCGATTGAGCTGAATTCAAACATCATAATACCCAGTTCGAGCAACTCATTTGCTTAATTGAGTTTTTTTTATTTTCATATATATTTTTATTATATTAATTAAAAATTACAATTATATCCTTAAATATATATACCAAAGAAACCCTAAACACCACTCTTCGTACTCATTTAGCCTTATCTCTGTCTCTTTTACTCTCACTCTCCTAATTCATCTCCAAATCTAGGCGCCTTTATCCTCATTCTTCTAAACCCATCTCAAATTCCCAACAACCACCTATTTCCTTTCTTTCCTACTTTTTTGAGCTTTCATTATTAAAATTTTATTTCTCTTTTTACCTTGAGTTCAATTCAATGATCCTTACTCCAGCCAATAATGTCCTTTTTAAGTCAATGATAGCAGTAGCTATTCTCTGTCAATAGCACCACATTTGATTGTAGTATCAATTATAGGTAAGGTTTTTGAGTTAGTGTTTTTTTTTTCTTTGATTTTGAATTCATTATCTTAATTTTTAAAATAGACCCTTGAAAATTATTATCCAATTCTATTCTTTCTTAATTGCCCTATTAATTCTTACTGTAAGAAAAAGAATCAAACTCTAAATTAGTGGTTTTGGATATTTCCTTTAAAAGTTTTCGAGCTTTCTTTTACAAATCATTATATCACATTTTTACACGAGCTTTCTTTTTGTCGAATGGAACATGACTGAATGGTTCATATATATGTTTTTAAAAAGACCACATTCATGAATAAAAAGATGAACTTTCATTTGGATTTGATTATTAAGATTTAATTTGTTAATTTTTTTGCTAAAAGTTATTGTCTTGGTTAGTTTTGAAGTATTCGGTAATTGTAATTTACAAACCACTTTGCCAATCTTTCAAGAATAGTGTAAGGCCTATAATACCTCTATACTTTAATAATAAGGAAGCAATAGAATTCATCCAGTTAGACTCTCATTTTACCAGACTAACTAAAAGACAGTTGTCACAAAACTGTTATTTCTATCCTTCACGTGCCAATTTCATGCAACTCACTCAACTTATGCATGACTTTTGCTCGGCCCATGCAACTCCATTTTCTTCTTGTTGTCTACTTCATTCACGATAAGGCCTTATAACCATCAACTAGCTTCATCACTCTGATAACTATGTGTTGTAAACACACAAAAGTCGAAAACTATTTTCTTAAACTTATACAAACTAATGAAATTAGAGAGAAAATAGAAAAAGAAAGTTCATACCTTAATCTTAATGGCTGTAATAAATGTACTAGTTAATAATAAAAAAAAAGACATGGAATTTTCAAAGGTCATTTTTTATCAACATACACTCATAGACCTCAAACAAACCCTAAACCCTAAACCAACCTTAATTCCCAAAATCGAACCCCACTCTAAACTCTAAGAACCCAAACCAATCCCAAAATCAACCATTGATCCATTTCATGCATTTACATGTCATTTTACTTTATCATTACATACATTCTTGAACTATCATGCATTTGCATTTTGTAATTCATATTTAATTATTATGTGTACATTATATATTATTATACACATGCAAACCATGCATATGTTTTATAAATGAGGTTTTTCATGAAAAAATTTTTAAAATAAGATAATATATTACGCAAATAACCTTTAAGATCTGACCTAAATATAGTGAGACTCTTAATAGTTATCATTTATGTAAGGTATTATCTTTGTTGGTGGCCATCCCAATATAGTGTCCCTAGACAATTTTGATCCAAAATCAACATAAATGTACTAACTTTATTTCAACAATTCAAATTTGAAATGCACTTAAAAATCAAGTATAAATATTCCATTCCTAGATATCGAACCTAATGATTCATATGAACTTGATAATTTCAATAGTTAATATGCTAAAAATATCTAAATTTTGTTAAAAATACCAACTAATTCAGTCAGTTCTAGGACATTAACTAAAGAACTTACAATTTTGATCTCAAGATGCATTATGCAGCCAATGCAATGCATCTCTATTTTGTTACCATCAAATTTTGGGCCATCCACTAGGTTTACATTACATATCAAACAAATGATTTATCATAAATGTAAGGAACTAACAAAGCAAAAATGTTATAAACAATGAAATATTTATGAATTCTGGCATATAATGAGTTTCCCAAGCACTTTATTCTCAAATGAAAATAGAGTTAGATTATTCTTTTGCAAACAAATGAAGAAAGAAAGAAAATGTTACATTGTAAATGCAGTTCTCTTTAGACAGTAGGTGGTTTTTGCAGTGACGATACAAAAAAAAACTAATTTCAACAATTTGATCAAATCTAATCAGGTTTGGAGCCTTCACCATTGCAATCTTAGTGAAGAAGATTGTTTGAAATGAGTAAAGAACATTGATTGTAGGTTTTTTCTCTTAAGAATACAAAAACTGTTATTTTTCAGTTATAACTGATAAGTGAATAAACTTTAAAAAAAAAACTAAATATAGCTTTGTAAGAAAATACAAAAAGCAAAGGAAAAAATATAAATTTATTTTGGGATATTTTCTTTTTTCCCTTATAATTTGTCAAAATTTAACTTTAAATTAAGGTATAATATTATAACTTTGCTCATTACTTATGCTAAATCAAAATTTCAGGAATGTAAATGAATGGAATCATCTGTCAAAATTTCAAGACATCTCTTATTGGATAACACGATCACCCAAAATACATATTTCATTATGTAATTAAATACAATCATTACAATTTAATCATGTGCTTGATAGGCCAATGATATAACATTGCATTGATATCTCTATCATCAGCCATGTATTGCAAGTTACAATGTATGCAAATTAAGTAATCCAAAAAAACAGGTTTATAATTTATTGGTAAGTTTTTCTTTTATTTTTTTCTCAAATATTGAATTATATTCCAAATAAAGCCATTACAAGGAAAATGAAAAGTTGGTTTTGAGTGAAAATGGTGGGTGTAGGAACTGGATGTTATATTATAAAGGAGTGCGATTAGTTTATATTAACACATAACAACCATGGTTTACTTTTTCATATGACTTAATGCTTAATTTAGGAGTAAACGGTTACTTGATTGCTCAATTCATGACTAAACATTTTATTTATACAAATAAGGATTAAACGTTATCGACTTATAACAATATAAGACTTTTTTAAACGAAATTGTGACTATGAAAAGCACGTGTTGTTAAGCTTAGCAGATAAAATGAAGTAAAATTTCTTTGAGTTTTAAAAACATTTTAAATATTTTTTTTCTTTATTTTCTAATTTTATTGCTTTAAAAAATATCAAAATGATATAATTTAACAAACAATCAAAACCCAGAATTACTTTCAAAAAAGAACTAATGTTAAAAGAAACCTAAAAAGCTCAACTAAAAAGCAAAACCCACAAGCATTGTGGAAGTTTATAGAGTAAATGAAGCCATTTTCAAGCGAACATCTTGGAAATACCATTTTATCTTTTTTTTACAGACTTTTAAAAGAGAATCCATGCAAATTTCAAGATTTTTTTCCACAACCAAACACTCCTAAAACTTTGATTTTCCAATAGATAATGCCTAAAATCCAAAGCTAAAACCCTTTTCCTAATTTTTCTATTTGTAGGGTTTTGATTAAAAAAATGATCTTACCTTGAATCAATATAACCTTAGCTTTGCCACAAAAGAAGATGAAAAGAATCTTTGTTGATTCAAAACTTTGTGATTCTAATTCAAGGTTAAACCTTTATGGTTTTCCAAGTCTAATTACTATGAATGAAATTGGCAGTGTTTAGGCTGTTGAGTTTTTTTTATTATTATTATTTGAAAACTTAAAGGGAGAAAAAAGAGAAAAACATTGAAATTTTATTGCAATTTTTTTATGGAAAACAAGCAAAGCAAAAGAAGGAAAGTCATTGACTTTTAGAAGAGTTTCTAAAGAAGGTAACATGAGGAAAGGATTGGGGGAGATAAATTTTTTTTAGAAGTTAATTAATTAAACTAATTTTTTAAAATTATAATTTAAACTGATATTTTATTATCTTGAATATGTGAACAACAATATTGCCACATCAATAAAAAAAAAAAAAAAACACAATTGACTTGCCACACTGCAAAAATAACGTGTGCCGAGTAATTCAATGTTTCACTTGAGTTGATGGTATTTGTAATACACTTTCTCAATTTTATCATAAAAAATCTTACATTATTACAATTCGATAATATTTAATTTTTATCATATAAAAAAAGCATTTAATCCTTAATTGAGTAACTAACCAAATATTTAATTCTAAATTGAGCATTTAATATTTACAAAAGAACAGAAAACACCAAACTTCTAGTATCAAAATTTCATCTTCATCCTTTTTATAAGTATATTTAGTTTTCTTGAATGATTAATTTATTCATACTTTTTTATTTTATTTTTAAATTGTCAAAATAATTTTAAAAAAATTGTGTAATTAGTAATTCAACAGTTAATTATTAATCATATTATTATTACAAGTATAACATTGTCATAGTAATATTTTTGTTTTATAATTTGATGTTTTTATCATGTTTTTATTAGTATATTGTTTGCCTCTATATATATTAATAAGTATGATAAAATACATCTTAGAAAAAAATAAAATAAAATATATATTATCATTTAGCTCCCTCTAAGTTATATGTTAAGATCCATCACTGCTATAAATGGTCAATATTCTTTACGTGAGATTATATAGTAGTATAATTGCCGTTGTCTTTGGTAGATTGCCTGAGATTCTGAATTTAAAGGAAGGATATTACATTTTAAAAGATATAAGAAAATTCCTCTTCTTCAAATTTTTTATTTTATTTTATTTTTCATCTTGATTTGTTAAAGCCAGCAGCCCAGCAGACACTTTCCCCAAGTAAAAAGTAGTACTTAATTTTGTTCTTATCCTCTGCCATCATCAACCGATTGTCAAATTTTATGACTTGTTCATAAAATAGTCTATCTAAAGTAATTCAGAATAATCCATTTGAATATTTCGCTATTGACGTGGATTGAGAAAGACCTTTCGATTCTTTTCGTTACATTTTACTTTTTGTTTCTATAAATTTTGCTACCTGTTTTTCTTTTCCATGGATCCAACATTAAAATCAATTAAGAATAGTCAAATATTCCCCAATGATGTGAATAAGGTATTAATTTATTGATGCTTGAATCGATTTTAAAATTAAAAATTTTAAGTTCGAAAGATAAACATATTACAAAAGACAAAAAAAAAATGCAAAAATTTTATATGAAAGAAACTAATCAGTTTGTATGTTATCTAAATTAAGATTTAATTAATTATTATTTTCAAATCTTAATTATTGAGTAATTAAATTTCCAATATGTTCAAACTCAATTTGTTTAGGAAAACATGACAAATGCTCAAACGTGTCTTAAGCAACGGAAAAATAAGAACCAAACAACCTGACAATATTATTATAATTCTTTAATTAATTTATAATTTGATTAATTAATTAATTATATAATATAATATTTGATTATAATAGTAATTTAAAAGTCTGAAAACTATGATCAAAGAATCATCCACGACTAAAATAAAAGACCGTTTGGTGAGTGGAAATTTAAGATATCATTGAAAATTTAATGTCTAAATTCTTAAACAACCTTTTGATCTTAGGTACTTGAAAATATGGCACAAGATTCTAGAGTAAGAAGCTTTTATAATTTTGTCACATGTACATTACATAACGTGGTTTGAAACTTCTTTTTTGGTAAGAAAAATATTCGGTGTAGATAGTTTGTTTAGTTTTTAATGTCAAAATAAAATATGTTATATTTGATAATTTAAAACAAATAATTATATGCATTTGAAATAATTTTAATAAGTGATCATCGATAAGATTTGAACCCAAAATTTTAATATCAAAAATTTGTGAAATTTAAGAAAACATGGAAAGAAAATTCTATGTTTCGGGATTTGTGATTATAATAATAGTGTATACGTTACCATATATAACATTCAAAGGAATTCTCCAAAATCAAATATAAGTAGTCTTTATTCAAATAATCACAGCTAATTATTTGTATTCAACTGATACATGAGCAGTTGAGTGGAAATTTATTATTTAGAATATAAGTTTTATCTTAATTAGTTCATATAATTATTTTTTGGACTAAACATCTAATAAATTAAAAATTTTAAATCTAAATATTTAAAATTTTTTATTTTTAAATTTAAATTTTATTCATAAAAAAAATCATTCATACATTTAGAGAAATCTTTATTTTGATTGGTTTTCAGCAGCAAGTTTCATGTTTACACTCGTTACATTTCTTAACTGCTGTCCAATTTCCATGAAAAATAGACAATTGGAAACGTATAGAAGAACCACATAAATTTTTTTAATACTATTATTCAGTAGTTGCATAATTTCTCACTAAAAAAATAGAAATTACAAATGAGAAAATAAATTATTAAACTAAAGACCCTTTAAACATAAATATAATTAAAACAATACGCGTATTTACTTTATGTAAAATAATCAATGTCAGGATATTAAGCTCTATGCAACTTAACAAAAATAGAAAAAAATTATAATATTAGGAAACGAGTAGAATATAAATACCAAGGAAATCTCCTGGGAATATACGTCATACTTGCTATACTATTTTACTACTTAATCGACAAGAAATTTCTTGATCCTATTTGTTAAGTGTAATATGTTTTGAAAGGACCCACATTCAAGTGGGAGGTAATAGCTAGGAAAGTGATTGCCGATCGTTGGGACCAAATTCCAGATTAAAAAAATAGGACTGGGGAAAAAATAAGTGTGAAATTATGAAAGCCCCCTTTAATCTAATTTGGAACCGCGTTGATTTACTGATAAGACTCTTCATTGTATTCTTCTACCTTTTTCAAGTCTTTTAACGACTACCACTACTGCTTCTTGTTGCCAACTTTCTTTGCACGTTTTCTCTCCGTTTCCATGAAATCTTGTTTCTTGCCAAAGCTGGCTTCCGTTTTTTTTCTTGGCTAATTCTTTGCCGTTTTCTCATGCAACTCACAAGAGTCGGTTCAACACCCCCACGCGCTGTGGATGCGGTGCTGTTTCCTTGAAAGTGTTGCGCCAAAATATGGAACCGACTAACCGAGTACATACTTTTAAGCTTGTTATTGTGGACATTAAAAGAAAAGAGAGAAGTTTGCATGAACTTTAGTTGAAAATGAGAAATTAAAAAAATAAATAAAATGTTGAACACACAATTTTATTATTAAATTATTTTTAACAACAATCATGTGATTTATTAATATATTATTATACTAACAAAAAAATAAATTTTGTTGCTCTATAATAAAATTAATATTATGTATGCTATTGTTCTTGAGTTAAACTATCAATTAAATTTATAGGTCTGAGTTTAGACTTGGATAGAAAATTTTAAGCTCAATTTCATTGACTATAATCTAATTTGGATTATTATTATACTAATAGAAATTATTTGTTATTTAAATTTAATTTAATATTAATAAATATTATTTTAAATAATTTCAAGTTCAATAACTTTAATTAGATAAATTGAACCTTGAGCAAGATTTTCAAACTAAAAAGTAAACTTGACTCATAGACATCTCTTATTATATGGACTATTTTTTATATTTTAAAATATTACTATTAATTTCATTTGCTAATTAAGATGCTAACGTGAACCACAAATTGGCCAAAGAAATACAAATTGAACACAAAAGCGAGTAACTTGAGCACCAAGTAGAGTAATGGAGAAATTATAATATTTAGGAAAAACATGGAATGTAAAGGACACGGGCAAAAAGTTGTGGCAAGGGATGTAAGAAGCATAACACTCACAACAGTACAAAAAGTGTCTAGAATTAGTCAGAGAAGTAGGAAGACTCCTCTTTAGTTGCCTCTAGCGACTATTTCTTAACGTATGCTCAGCTACGCGGTGACGCAGACGTGCCGAAGGTGGCCAAGTCAAATTCCATTTCCACCCTTCAAAATAACATCATAATTGCAGCACTACCCAACATTCTTTGCTTCCTTAACCCGCAAGAATCGTTTGACAAATCCGTCATTTTCACCTTCAAGGTTCCAACAACGCCCACACTCGGTAACTCCTACCTATATAGAGCCAAACCCTCATATTCCTCTCTTTAAGTTTCCTTTCAGATTTTCAGCGGCCAAAAAAAAAAAAAAAAAAAAACAACCTTAGCATAAAGTTTCCAGTTTTCAGGGTTTCAATAAAAGTTTCAGATTTTTAAACAGTCTTTAAATTATTACAATGAAGAGAGGCAGGGAAGTTGGAGAAATTGAGGCCATGGATATGGCAAATTGTTTGATGTTGCTATCCAAAGTTGGCCAAACCGACCCATCGAAGCATTACCAGGGTCGTGTCTTTGCATGCAAGACGTGCAACAAAAGATTTTCATCGTTCCAAGCACTTGGAGGCCACAGGGCGAGTCACAAGAAGCCAAGGCTAACAGGAGGAGACCTTCCGGAGATCCCTGATTCACCAAAGAAGCCAAAGACCCATGAGTGTTCGATCTGTGGTCAGGAATTTGCCATCGGCCAAGCTCTTGGGGGTCACATGAGGAGACATAGGGCTGCCTTAAATGAAGGGTTGGTGACTCGGGATTTGTTGCATGAGATGAAGAAGTCGAGTGGTGCTGAAAGTGGTTTGTGCCTGGATCTGAGCCTGACGCCTTGGGGAGCTGATTTGGAGTTGAAGCCGGGGAAGGTGGCGCCGACGCCTGTTGTTCATTGTTTTATATAGGATCTTTTCATTGTTATCGTCGTAAAAAAAATAGGGTTCATGTTTACCCTTTTTTGTGGGGATTTTTTAGGCATTCTTTTTCTTTACATTTGTTCTTGTTATGAACATATGTTGTCGTCAGACAGGATTTGATTTCTTGATTCTTTTTAGTAAGGTAAGTAGGAGTACAATTTTTTTCTGGAAACTTGATCAGTCGATATATTCCTCCATTTTACTATTTATTTATATATATTTTTTAATTTTATATCTTAATAACGTTGTTAATTTCAAGTTTCAATAATTAATTGCTTTAAATGAATTGCCAAAATTTCTACTTAGAACAAGATAGTTTTTTTTTCTTAAAATTTTTTCCAACAAAAAAAAAAAGAAGAAGTAATCTTGAATTGGATACAGGTCTGTTTGTTTGTTTTCCTTCTTGCAAAGGGCTTAATGTACGGTCAATGGTGACGAAACGGATTCAGTAGTAAAGGTGGATATTTATGGATATTTTAAAAAATTGAAAAATAAAATAGTTTAAAGGAAAATTGTTTTCTAAACACTTCTAATTTTTTTTTTATGAACATCTTTTTTCTCAATAAAATTAATAATTTTATTTTCAAATTTTTAAATATATATTATAAGTAAATACACAATAAAAATCCTGAATCCATCACATGACTTAACAGCTTGCATTGCTTGAGGCAAGTACACAAACTATGTAATTATTTATTAATTCGGCTTTAATTAACCTCAAGTACTTTTTTATTCAATATATTAACAAACGTTAAAGCGAATGAAAGAATTTTAAAAAATTGAGATAAAATTTCTTGAACGACTTTTTATTGAAAATATTAAATAAAAGTTAATTTTAAAAATCAAAACTTATAGACTGATAAAATTTAATGATTAATATGTACAAAATTATTAAAAATATAGAATATATATTTTCAAATTTTAATTAATACGCAATTAACAGTGACAATTTATCATAATTTTAAGTAAAAATAACTATTTAAAAAATAAAAAGAATTAACAATTTTTAAAATTTGTATACTTGATTTATATATATAAAAAATATTTTAATTTATCGATTTTGATTTTCAAATTTAATTTTAATTGGATTGATTTTGATGAAAAAAAACTTTGTAAATTTCACAAAAATAAAATGATAAATATATAAACTATTTATTCAAGGGATTGCCTTCAAACCCAATTTCAGTTTATATGTAGATCAAAGAAGTATAAAATAAAATAAAATAATTAAAAAAAAAAAAAAGAAAGGACGGCATATAGGACATCCATGCAGGTCTTATCCGGTTGTAGCTTAAATTTGGATCATATAGTTTTTCCTTTTTTTTTTTTTTCTTCTTTTGGGTGGTGACTTAAGTTGAATCATAACTTAACATCGAAGACAATAATAGAAACATTGAGGTCTCATTCAGGAAAATATAATGAGTTGTAACCTCAAAGCTTTCAAATAAACAAATGAATTAATATGCATATTTGCAAAAACAAGGTATAAATTATGAAATGATCAACAAAAATTAGAAAAAAAAAAAAGCAAGATTGAGGATTGATATACGGCTATTGCAATTTTTTTTTTCTAATTTATTATTATGTCTTGGCTTCTTTTGTCTAAAAAACAAACTAAAAAAATTGGCTGAATGAATTTTTTATGATTTTTTTTTTACTCTTTATTAATTTTGAGAAGAGAGGATTGTAGTCAATGTTCAAAAATTGAACTTCCTATTCTTTTTAAACCTTAACCATAATAAAAAATTGAAGGCAATAGCTTATGTAACTCAAGTTAATGATGAGTGTAGACATCAAATTTATCCGACTTTGATCAAATTTACTATTTTTATTAAATAATAAATAAGATAATAATAATATTATTAAATACAATAATAAAAATTAAATAAAAATACAGAATACAAAAAATATAAAATATCAAAAAAAACATAAAAAAATAAAAAAAGGGGGAATGGCAATGGTGCCTTCCCCGACACCACTGCCACCATGCTCTACCCCCACCCCTCTAATCATCATACCCTACCACCCATACCACTACCCTCGCCTAAGCCTTTACCACTGTCGAATCAAACCAAAACAATAAAAGGGGCATCAGGCTCGTGTTTGCATCCCCATGCCGTGGCCTGTGCCACTCCCTCAAGCATAAGGTATTGTCGGAGCTTTATAAATAGAGCTCTTGGTTGAACACAAAAAAAAAGAAAAATAACCCTGCAAAAAATAAAAAAGCGATTTCTGTCAAAAAAACACAAAAAAATAACTCAGTTCCCTAGAACGAAGAACCAAGCGCCGAGAGTTCCTACACAAAGAAAAAAATAAAGTCATTGTCAGAAAAAAAAAAAAAGAATAAAAAAAAAGGGTTTAACCGAAACTTTCAGGTCGATCTACACTGTTTAGGGTACTTTCAGTGAAATGGAGGCTGAAACTGTGTTCAAGGGGTTGAGAAGAATATTTTAGGTTATTTTGATTTTTTTCGGCCACCGACGACGATCGCCAACGACGATGACGGTGACGGTGACCGACCGACCATTTACGTTTGGCTGAAGGAAAAAAAAAGTTTTTTTTTTAGGAGAAGAGAATGACTGAAAAAAAATTTGGACTTTTTATATAAACGGTGAAAACCAAAACGATGTCGTTTCAATAAAAACAAAAACGACGTCATTTTAAGCACCCAAGATTCGCGTGTCAACCCGTGACCTGACCCTGGGTTTGCGCACCCAACCCTCGACCTGCTTATCCATCAATCTCTGATAGGTTTGACTGAACCGAAATTGAACCACTGAACCTAATTCGGACCGCAATTGAATCGCTGAACACGATCGAACTACTAAACCGAACAACTGAACGCGACTAAACCGCCTGACCAAACGGTGCGTTGATCGATCTGGGTAAAAAAAATTTTTTAGAATTTTTTTAATATTATTTTTGTTATTTTAATTATTATTCTTAATGTTTATGCAAGTTAAAATGTTTAAATTTAATAGAATAAATTTGTGTTGTTTTATAATAATAATTAATAAAAAATATATAATAAAAGTTTTTGATAATTATATTAATTTTATAATAAATCTTATAAAATAATAAAAAATAAGAAAAAAAGAAAATTTTGTCCAATAATGAGATTCAAAGATACTCCAAGTAGTGATACCTACGAAATCTTTAGGTGATAAGATTTTTTTTAAAATACTCCTAATGTATTGGAATATGTATAAAAAAATTTATTGTATTAAAATTTTTTTCTTATAAAATAATAATAATAAAATTAACTAATAAATTAAAAATAGGTAATAAAAAATGAGAAAAAAAGAAATTTTATCCTATGATGGGATTTCAAAAGTATTCCGAATAGAGATGCTTTAAGAAATCCCTAAATGAGAAGATTTTTTCTTAAATATTACCGGTGTATTGAAATATTTATAGAAAATCTTCAATACAAATTCCTCTGTTCTACATTTATTTTAAATAAGAAAAATAATAAAATTTATAAAAATTTATAAAAATAAAAAAATAAAATGTGTGCATCATGTTATTATTTGCATTGCATGCATGATATAATTTTTACAAAAAGTAAATTCGAACCTCTAAAATGAGATTTTTAGGTATTTCGAGAAGCGATGCCTAAGAAATCTCTAGGTGAGAAAGAATTATTTCAATATTAACAACGTACTGGAGTATTTTTAGAATTATTTTAATAAAAAATGTTCTAATTTATTTTTCTTGAATAAAATTTGAGTAATAATTTTTTTAAAATAAAACCAAACAAACTAATTTCCAAAAAAAATAAAAAAAATTATATTTCCAAACACCAAGAATGAGACTATTTTTAATCAAAATCAAAGGATAATACATAATTAAGTGTACCATTTTTAAATAGACGTCGTGGGGATGCTAATCTTTCCCTATGCATAATCGATTCCTAAACCCAGATTATTTTACAAACAATTAAATTATCTTTTTAATAAATTTTAATTAATTTTAAAATCTTATTACAATGATAAATTTTAATAGGTGACCAATTGCATCTAACAAAAAAGATTGGTGGCGATTTCATTTTTCATTCTTTTATTTTTGTTTTCAAATTCGTCCAGCGAATACAAAACCGTTACGACAATGAGCATATAACCCAAAAAAAAAAGAGATAATGTCGAAATAAAAATTAAGGTTTCGTTTGGTAGATATTTTTACTTTTTGTTTTTTTGTTTTTTGTTTTTAATAAAAAATGAATTAAAAAATATTTTAAAAGTATTTGTAATTTATTTTTTATTTGTAATTCATTTTATTAAAAAATATTTTGTTTTTTGTTTTTAATAAAAAATGAATTAAAAAATGTAAAACTACAAATAGATAGCAAAAAGCAAAACTTAAAAGCATTTACCAAAGAGAGCCAATTGACAAACTATTCACATAAGTAATGCACTCAAATTTTTATAATCAAGTTGCATTCAAATATTTTATTCAATGATATTCAAATTTAAAGAATTAAATCAAAAAAAATTTTTGTTTTCAAATTAAAAAGATTAAGAGATGAATTATGAGGAATTACCTTATATTGAAATGGCTATGCAAATCACCTTCTGTCGTTTGAGGGGAAAAGAGGAAGTGGGAGAGAAAATCCAAGTTGGTTGGAATTTTCCCAGTTTTCTAATTAGATGAACTCCTCTTAGCAGTAACCAGCCAATGAGATCCATCCACGCCGTCGGTTCCCCGTAAACACTATCACGCATGATTGCAAATCCTCGCTAATGGATTCTTAACCAGCAGCAGCTTTCAAAATCATGTAGCACAAACTGTCACCATCTTATTGGCCCACGATAGCTGACTTTCCCATATTTAAACCATCCAAAACTAGACACGTGTCTGTCCTTTTAATCCCCACCTTATGACCGCCCGTTCAAGATTCTATTTCCTTAAAGAAACCCTTGAAAAACGAAAGTGAAAGATTCCATGTTTTCGACCGTGCGTTTCAAATATATAAAAAATAATATATTTAAATATAATATTTTTATATTAAAATTGATATTAGATAATATTAATTAATTTTTATTAATTTTGGTTAATATTATTAGTTTAGGTGAATTAATTTATTTTGATTGGTACATGAATATAAAATATATTTTATAATTAATTAATTATTTATTATTACATGATTATTTTTAATTTAAATAAAAATAAAATAATATTTAAATTTTAAATTTTTTTATATTTTAACTTTTTAAATCAAAGCTTATAAATATTTAATTTCTTAAAAAAATTCATTTAAATATCATATAATTAGATTAATGATTTAAAATATTATAATAAATTGATAATATTATTTTTATATTTTTAAATTTATTTATTTAATTTTTAAATATATTATATATTTATTTTATAAATTGTTAATAATATTGTTATATATAAATTTTTATATATTTATAAATATATTTATAATAAGACTGCATTTAAATACAATCGAAGGTGCAATTCAACGTGATTACGCACCTTTTGTATGCAACTTCACTGATAATTTGTTTGGGTAACACAATCATGGTGCGTTTGCATCAAAATTTTTTCATTGCTGCTCAAATCTCCACTGGAGGAGAAAAGGTATGGCTGCTCACCTGAAGCTTAATTGGACAATTATACCTCCATGTCTTTATTGTTAATCCAATTTTACCCTTAGTTTTATTGATCTCATCTTATAAATATACAAAATTGTCTTAATATTTTCAATAGAATAATTTTTCATACATTAAAATTATAAATTAAAATATATAAAGCACACATAAAAATAATTTATTAATATAATATACTTTTTTATTAATATATTTAATTGTAAATATAGTATTAATTTTAATAAATTTATTAATTGATCTAAAAATATTATAATAAATTTCAATTAATTATTAAATTATAAATGTTAAAAAAATATTAAATTTTTTGTTATATATAAATTATAATATAATATCTATAATGATTATTTTTCTCTTTTCATTATATTTTTATTTATTATTATTGTTGTGTCTGAGTCAAAATACATTAATTTTAATTTCATTATTATTTTTAATTTCACCAAAGGGATCCTTAATGAAAAAATTTAAAATAATATGAAAACAATTAATACTAATAAATATCGTTTTCAGAAAAAACGAAAATATTATTTGATACGAAATTAACAATGTTGACGGTTACAATCAATCGACGGTCAAGATCAATGACCCACTCACACGTGTACGTTAAAGATGAAAGTAGCCTTGACGTGCGATCAAGAGGTTGTAGCTTACATTTTGATAATTCTTTTCACGAGCAAAGATCCGGTGCTCCTCAATCCCAAAATACAATTAACTCTCTTTCGCTCGTACCGCTTGCCGGTAAATTCATCATAAAAATGAGCGGCGGTCAACCGGTACCTCTGGTTTTCCTGTGGTAAAGAAAGGTAACGATCGTCGAAAATGAAAGGAAAAGAAAAGTTTTTGCTTTGAAATAATTTTTAGGGTTTTTAGCATTTCATTATCTGAGCTTCTGGCGAAATTTTATGGATGTTAATTTTTTTTTAATGGAAATTTGCAGGGGAAGCTTTGAATTTGGCCTATATAAGCAGAGTTTACATGCTTTGATTGAGAGTTAAAGAAGAAGAAGAAGAAGAAGAAAAGAGAAGTGCTCTGTCTCCAGTTGAAGTAGAGGGAAATTGGAAAGAAATGGTATATCTTTTTTAAGTTATTTTATTATAATAACATGGATGGTTATTATTATTTTTTCTTATTTTTATTGGTTAAATTTTGTTTATTATTTGAATTGTTTTTTTTTAATTATTTAAACGTACATGTTTAGCTTACATGGTTTTTTTTTTTTTTTATGAAAACTATGTTCGTTACACAGAAATGAATGTTCCATTTATGAAATGTTGAAATAGTTGAGTTGAGTTATATATTTGGACTGCCAAAAGTCTTTGTAAATAATTGAAACTGTTCTGGTCTGGTTAAAAATGTTAAACTGGCAATCTGGAGTAGAGTTGAGGGAAGTATCTTCTACAAAAATTGGAATAAAACTAGCTAGCTGTAAACACCTGTCTCAAGGAATGTACATTTAGGTCATGTTTAGTGCATAGGATAATGGATAGGATAGAATGATAATCATCCTATATTATGTTTTGTTTATATCTAAAGAAAGGGATAAGATTACGAGGAAGATTAATATTCTCTTGGTATAAGATGATTCAATCCTCCCAAAGTGAAAGAGATTATTTTTAATCCATGGAATTGAACTTACATGTCCTATTATACCCTTAAAAATTACATCAATTATTTAAATTGTATAAACTTTGAGGAAGGATAATTTTGACCAATAAATAAATTATCTTATCCTAATCCTTGCACACATCAAACACAAGATAGGATGACATTATTTAATCTAATTCTATTCATAATATCATCTTATCCTATCCTATCATAATCTGGTGTATCAAACACATCCTTAGTGTTGCCTATTGCAGATGACTAAGTTTGGAGAGGTTTTTAACACAATACCATCAGGGTGAATGCAATAGATTTTATGTAAAAATAGTTTTGCTTTCTTTTTAGAATGATTAAGATACAACTCTTTTATTATTGTGAAAAAGATCAAAGTTTTTTCTTCCCCATGTTTTGTTGGTTAATGGATCACTAAAGTGTTACAAACAGGCAACTTCTGAGTGATTGTTTCTGGCAGTCTTTTCAGAATAAAAGTTTTTGGATGGCAAAGGGTCCCGCGCATGTATCTGATAGTGACACAACATTTGATAATCCTTCCAGAATTGAACACAAGAGGTCGCAGAGTTGGTTTGTTGATGCTGAACCGCAGCTGTTCCCCAACAAGAAGCAAGCTACACAAGCTACAAACAACAAACAGAGTTCTGGAATATCTAATTCAAATGTTTCCCCTTGGGAAAATGTTTCCAGTTTTGAATCAGTTCCTAGCCAATTTATTGATCGGTTGTTTGGGTCTGAATCTGAAAGGTCTGTCAATTTCAGTGAAAGGAACATATCGCCTGTAGAAGCCCATAACATGAGACAAAAAGGCTTAGAAGATCATTTTGTTGAAGATGCATCTGTTGGTTTGTCGATATCTCCTTCCATTGAAGATCCTGAAACATGTTTTAATTATGGTGGAATTAGAAAAGTTAAGGTCAATCAAGTTAAGGACTCTGATAACAGTATGCATGATCCAAAGGAACGTAGTTTTAGTAGGGAAAATAACAGTGACATGTCTACTATTGTGGCTTATAACAGGGAAAATGAAAGTGGTTTCATTTCAATGGGGCATAGCTATGATAAGGAGTGTGATAATGTTGCAGTAATGAGGCATACCTATAACAGGGATGATGCACATGTCAGTACAGCAACTCCTCCCTATAGTAAGGGTGATGGAATTCCCATATCAATGGGCGACACTTATGTTAAGGAGGATGCCAATATTCTTTCTTTTGGTGACTTTCATGAAGATCATGAGATTATCCCGGTGGGTAGGCCTCTTGGTAGCTTTGACCCATCATACTGTCAATCTTCCAATCCAACATTGGAAGTAGCTTCAGAAAAACAGCTGGATGCATCAACTGCTGGCACAGTTGCAATTGCTACTCAGACTGCTAAATTAAGACCTGAATCTGCCTCAAGGACTAAACCAGAGTTCAAATCATCAAAGAAAGAAGCTCCAAACAGCTTCCCTTCAAATGTCAGAAGTTTGATATCGACTGGTATGCTTGATGGTGTACCAGTGAAGTACATTTCCTTGTCGCGGGAGGTAACTGGATTATTCTTTTCTTGTCTATTTCCTTAGTTGCAATTGCTTTCTACCTTATGGTTTTATCCCTGTATGTAATAAGGAGCTTTGTGGAGTTATAAAAGGTTCTGGCTATCTTTGCGGGTGTCAGTCATGTAACTTTTCTAAGGTAAGCCATCCTCTAGTTTCTAAATTTGCTTGCGAAAACATCTCAGTTTCTCATCAATGAATTATATGATTGTGCATTAGGTGCTGAATGCTTATGAGTTTGAGCGCCATGCTGGTTGCAAAACAAAACATCCGAACAATCACATTTACTTCGAGAATGGAAAGACTATCTATCAGATAGTACAAGAATTGAGGAGCACTCCTGAGAGCTTATTGTTTGATACAATTCAAACTGTGTTTGGTGCACCAATTAATCAGAAGTCCTTTCGTATTTGGAAAGGTAATTAGATTAGATTTAGGTTGTGTGACTGTGTAGGTATGAAAGACCTGTATTTTTGCTGTCTTAAGGTCAGATGCATAACTCATTCTCTTCTAACTTCCCACCTTTTCAGAATCATTTCAAGCGGCAACTCGTGAGCTTCAGCGCATTTACGGGAAGGAAGAACTAAACCTATAAGATGAATTCTGAACAGGTCTTTGTCGGAATGTAAGATAGAGCAACAATCACTTTTCTGAACCATGTGGATAGAAATATGTGTTTGGTTTTTAGTAAATAACGTACTGCGGGTGAACTAATTTAAGACAAACGTATTGTATATGTTTGGCCATTGAGATGAGGCGTCTGGGTTGACAAGTGTACATAAGAATGCGAGGGGTGCTCAGCTGCTCATGTACTTAGGTTTTACATTTATTAGGGTGTTATTGGATGTATTATATCAGCTTTTACAAGATGATACTTGTTCTGTGTGTTGTCTGGCATCTACATCTGATTAAGATACGAGACACTATACAATTAGTAATCCTGCCTCCTGTAAAAGGGAAATAAGGAAGATGAAAGACATATATTTGTGATTCTTCTGTCACGCCTTTCAATTCATCTTCGCAGAGCATAGATTTTGGCAAAGCCACATAACATTTGGAAAGATAAGGCTGTTGCTTATGAATACCGTTTTTCGCAGTTTGGCTAAAGTTAGATCCGCTTGCTTACCTATATGCTGTCCTTACATGGTACGTTTGGGCGTCGATTGCTAACTAAATGGGCATGAAAAAATCATTGGTTAGTATATAGACGAATCCTTGAATAACTGAAACAGAATGGTAAGAGAGTTTTCGGTAAATATATAGAGAAACCACTTCTATTTTCTTTTCCTACATCATCAACAAATGAACCTAGTGTTGCTGGCAGTCAGACATTCGTCTTCCAACATGGAGGAGAGGAGAAAAGGTGTTGGGGAGGGGGGGGGGGGGGGGGGGGGGGAAGAAGCCACTTTTCCCCTTTTTTGATGGAAGTTTAATACGTGCCCCGGATTGAACCAAATTAGATTTTCCCTTAGGTTGAACCACAGCAAGCCGATCTTTGAGCAGCTTGCCCAGCCCCAGCTGCCTGGTCAGGTTGATTGATCTTGATTGTCGAAGGCTGCAAGGATAGAAAATTTTTCAATAATTACAAAATAGGTATTATTTCTAATTATAAGAGCCTAAATTTCTTTTCAAGAAGTTTTGTACTTTTGTTCAAGATAAGGCAAGCAATGAGAATACCTCAGCCCTTGAGTCGTCGGCAAGTCTTTGCTTTATGTCCCTTGCTATTGAAAAGAAAACTTACTCCACGTTTAGATTTGTCTTCGCACTCTGCATGACATAGCTCTTTTTCTTAGTATACAGCATCTCCAATTCAACTAGCAAGCACAATCAGCAAGCATTACTTACAGTTTCAAAAAATTTGATTCCATACTCATCAGCAAGTGCTTGTCCCTTGGAGGTAGGCACTGCCTTAAAAGAGAAAAATGTAGAGTAAGATCAGAAAATAGATGCATCCATCCACAAAATGCAGAGGGAGAGAAGGGGAGAGAGGTTGGGTTTGATATTAGTGCTTTTGTATCATAAATGTGACTAACAGGTTGCAGATCCCCTCCATACCCCACTTGCAAAAAGACTTCTTTTTGGAATGACTACTAAGCAAAAGTGATCTTCCCTTTCTCAGCAAAAATGCACAGATCCAACAGCACAATTAGCAGAGCAATTGGATAACATGCTAAGAGTCTGATAACATTCAAAGCAATCTACATGATCATAGAATCATAGAAATTATCTACTAAAATCTTAAAGGAAGCAGCATACCCTTTTGCTTTCATCCATGTCTGCCTTGTTCCCTACCAATATCTTGTTAACATTATCTGCTGCATGCTGTTCAATGTTGCGAATCCAATTCCTAATATCTGCAAGGAAAGAAGCCTCTTTATGAGAGATTTAACAAATAAATGAAGTACTATAACAACCAAATGAACAATGTAAAGAATTAATTTTTAACTGATTAAAAAAAGAAGACTAACAAATTTAGCAACATTGAGAAGAACAAGTTAAATGTAAGGTCAAATAACAAAAACTCATAATCAATTATTAAGTGAGAGCAAGAGAAGAAAAGATTTACTGTTGAAGGATGATTCATCCGTGACATCATAGACGAGCAAGATGCCCATGGCTCCACGATAGTAAGCTGTTAAAAGGATTGGAGGAAAAAATTGCATCAAGAGAAACCATTTGGAGGAATGCAAAACGTGACATATATTTCAATGTTAGAGAAAGAGCCCAAAGAAGATTTAGGTTACCAATTATCAAGTTAGTAAGAACATTATTCTATAGGACAATTTAACACTTTGAAAGGACCTGAGAGATATGCCCAGACCAACCAGACAAAAATGTATTGTATTCCAGGTTTTAGGCCTTTATCCTTTTGTATCACACCCTAAAGATGCCTAGCGACAATTTGCCATGCTTATAAGACAACCTTGTAGCAATCTCTCTAATGCACAGTACCCAGAAAGTGACAGCTAATCTAAGAGCAGATCTAAGAAGTTAAGAATGATTTCAGTGGTTATTAGCATACATGGCAGACTCATAAACAAAAGGTCAATGCAGTCATTAGCTAATGATGGAATTGTTCAAGGGGATTTCCCAGTCATAAGACGAGGCATTACCCATTGTGTATGATCACAATGATTTCCAGTTACCGACTGACTTGATAATCTGGGTACATCCAATGGTTAATAGGCATCAATGCCAGTTCCTTATCTTGTCCCATAGCATGTGTAGTTTGAGACCTTTGGTTGAACTTGCTTTTAGGCCTCTTAAACAGATCAGTTGCTCCTCACACATTCAGCTACCTGATTTTTGCAGCAGATCACTGCCTTTAAGCCATCCTCGATCACAGTCAAAAGTTATCCTTCTACCCCAAAAAATAAGGTTTCTTTTTCATTCCATGGTTTGTTATAGGGCAAATGTCTTCCAACAAAAGTAATCCAATTTTTTTTCTCCCAAATTTGGAAAAACATAGAAGAATTTCAGCTAAATCAATCTCAGACCTGAAATCTCCAAGGTAGATGATGGCAATGTCATGGTTCACCCACCATATCATTTTCCTCATAAACGAAAGAATTAACATCACCGTCTCGTTCCTTAAGGTTGAAATGATAGAATTATCAGAACTAAAACACTCACCAGTTGTAATTGTCCGAAACCGCTCCTGCCCAGCTGTATCCCAAATTTGGAGCTTAATCCGTTTACCATCAAGCTCAATGGTTCTTAGCTTAAAATCAATACTGTGTATGGAAGAATCAAGTTGTGAAAGTCAGGAAATTTCATCTAGATAAAATAAACTAGACAGAGGGACTCCAATTGAAATTACACACCCAATAGTGGTGATAAAACTGGTTGTAAAGGAACCATCTGAGAACCATAAAAGTAGGCAACTCTTACCCACACCTACATATGTAACTAATAGAAAAAGTTAAAGTCATTCTAGCAAGCTTCGAATGCATATCAAAGTATCAAAGTTATGAAGGCATCTAAATTTCAAAAGAAAAAAAATATGATAAAAGAAACTTATTTTGGGGCCAAATCTAAGCAGATTTATTAAAAATTTATGAAATCATCATACCATAAACTTCAAATAACCATTATTTATAGAAATTAAAGTACATAGAGCTAACTGCTACTCCTACCGAATTATATACAGCAAATTCGAAAGAAAACAGTTTTAACCAATAAATGTTCAAAAATTTTACTTCTTCAACATTCTTTTCGTTTCTTTTTGGCCATTCTTCTTCAACATTCTTTGACTCTCAAACCTTAAAACTTAGTCCCAATGAAACTCATCCAAAAATTTGGCGAAACAAAACCGAGGGACATGGAACATATTATAACGTGAACTAAATCTCCTTGCATAACAAATTATTTCGAGCAAATTAATGGAAAATAAATCTAAGCGAGGTGATTATGATTGGGGAATTCCAAGACCTGTTTGGTTATAAGGAAAACGAGAAAGAAAAAGAAAGAAAAAAAATAGTTTTAGAGATCAACAAACCGCTGTCTCCGATCAATAGAAGCTTTATGAGGAAATCATGATCAGCTCTAGCTCTTGTTGGTGGAGCAGCCATTAAAAACCTACATACAAACATAATAAAAAGTTAAAAAAAAAAAAAAAGAATCAAAAGCTCACATTTCCACATTTGAATGCACGTAATTAAAACAAATTAACGAAAGATAAACAAGAATAGTTCAAGATCGTAGACTTTAAAAGAGATTTTTCAAAAAAAAAAAAGAGGTCTCTAGAAAGTCAAATCTTAAAGGCCATTGCAATAATAATTTCAAGTTCTTATCTGTTCAGCTGGTTTATTACACTAATTTCTTTTCAATTTTTAATTAAAAATGAAAAACAAAAGAAGGAAATAGAAAAAAAAAAAAAAAAGAAAATTATCACCTGCAAAATAGAGCTTCTCCGAGGACGATGGGTTGCTAAAATGCGCAGTGTCCGCTTTCCCTTCTTTTTTTCCTACTTTGTTTCAACCTTTTTTTTTAGGTGCGTTGGTCATCCGCTACGCGAGCTAGCAAATCCACCAGTAGCAACGGAGAGAGATCTCTTTTGATGATTTTCTCTGGTCGCTTTCTCTCACCGCTTTGCGATATGAGCCTACAAGGCGGTTGAAGAAAAAAAGCCAAGTTTTTTCTAACCAATTAAATAATAACACGTGGCAAATGCGTGTGCATTGTTACAATTTCCACGTGGCTCATCTTTATTGATGGGTTGTCTGATGTGGGCCATAGGGAATAGAGATGGGGGAGTGAGCTGGCATCCTAATCATCACTAGGCGTTGAATTAACAATTGGCATAGAGATTAGACCAATAGATTCAGTGTTCCATTACATAACAAAAGAATTTGCAATCAATTAATCACAGAACGGTTGGACGGTCAAAAAATTCGAAAGTGGGAACTAAGTCAAGCTGTCCAGTTGATGGCGTTTCCAAAACCGGAAAATGGGTTGGGCTACTAAAAACAATTGTTGGATGTTTGGACCAGTTCCCCCCCCCCCTCTTTCTACGTTCTTTATTAACAACTTGTGTAAAAGATGAGATGCGATAATTTAAAATGTGATATAAAAAAATAAAAATAATGTAATTTAAAATTTTAAAAATAATTTTATATAAATTTAATAAATTAAAAAATATATTTTATATTTTTATATAAAATATAATATAAATATAAATTTTAAGATTTTATACAATTTACGAATATCTTCAATAATATCTGTCTTGTATCTCTGCTTGTATGTATTAAGGGTTAATACACTTTCACCTTGCTCAACCTTCTTATGTTTCTTGTCAGTGAAATGTGAAGATTCCAATCCTCCACACAAAATCATGAAAGTTTTATTTGAGTCATATTTTTCTTTACCTTGAAATAAATATGACTCAATTTTGGGTATATGACCAATCAAATAGCATCGGAGTCTTTTTGTTTTCAATCTCTGACCTTAAATGCCCTGTTGTATCAAGAGAAAAAGTCTAGACAGTCCAAAACAGGATGACATGGCATAATGCAATAGAAAATTCCGAAGGCTTTCTGGTTTGTTACAACCCCCACATTCCCCCATTTTTATCCTAATAGAATGAACTAAAGTTGAAAGAAAAAGAATATATATATATATATATATATATATATATATGGCCCAGAAAGTTAATGCTTGAAGCATAATAGCATATGCTTGGAAGATTCTCTTTCCCAAACCAGAAAATTTTCCTTTAAAGCATATGAATTTTTCTTTTACTCAATTCTCTTTGAGAAACCATCCGTGGCCTCCATCTAGGTATCAGCTGCAATTTCTCCCGCATGATGGTATCAAGGGCGTTCGGTGGAGACTGCAACGGCGACGGCGACATCAACGGTGACGATGATCATTGGGATGAACATACAAATGAAACATGATTGTTGAACGGTAGCAGGTGTTTAATCACTTGGGCAACTAAAAACCCTTTGGCAGTTCATCTAGAATGGGATCATTAAAGCTCAAGCATATTGGTAACAGATTAACAGTTGAGTTAGTTTTCTACATTCAAAAGAAACATATTCTTGTTTTCTTTATAGCATATGCCTGAGCTTATAAAATGAAACACTAATGGTTGAAACTGGTATTATTATAGCTTGTTAGCATCTCTCACTTTGCTGGAATTTTTGTTGTTTATGTTGTCTATTTGGCAATATTTTCTATTTTTTCCTTATAAATCCAATCGGATTAAACTTTCAAGGAGATTAAATATTTGATAAGATGCTCGAATCTCATGATCTTGCTCGCTAATTTGCTATTTTATTATTTTAGAAAATTTGTGAAAGTTTTCTCTTGAAAAACAGCTATAACATCAATTATTTGATATATTTTTTCCACTTGGCCAATCTTTTAGTATCAAATTACAGATAAGTTCCTAAAGCCATTCAGCCGTACGCCCAGAAGAGTTTTCATACTATACACTGATACAAGTAGCGACCAATCTTATATTAGGAGATTAAAAAAAAAAAGCAGAGTACACTTCCAAAATTGAAAAACTCTTTCAACTGTCTGATGACAAAGCCCAAAAGAACTATTGCCGATAGAAAACCAACAATTCATAATCTCAAACATACAATCCTCAATATAAAAAATTAGAATTATACCAACATTAATTGAGGGAAACTACCAAGTTCTACATGACGAGAAACAAAAAATGAAAATCTCAGAAATTTGTCTCAATAGAAGAAACCAAGTACTTTTCCACCAACATTCTTTCTTCTTGCTTCTTCGTGGTCCATGATGCCAGCAGATGTGGTAAGTACAATATATCCAAACTGCAATAAGAAAGCACATAAATGGCATAACATAGCACTCTCATTTCAATTGATTAAACCTTCCATAAGCTTATGTCGACCATAAAATCTTATCTAGTGGACTATGAGAAGGACTACAAGACATGCCACTCAACAAAAAAAAAAAAAAGATATTGATGCATAAATCAAAGTGTGTTTCAACCTTTAAACATATTTCATTCCTTTCTTCTTACAAAAAATTCTTAATCTTAGCAAATCGTAATTCTTCCGAAAGTATAATACACAGAATAAACATCAAAAAGTTTCTAAGCTAACCTGTCTTGAAGGAAGTAGCCTAGCGGTCCAACCCTCGATCTCTTTGACTCCAACATCAAAACGAGGACTAATCACCCCACACTTGTTCAACCTCCCATTCAGTTCAACCACAATTTTGCCAGCTCTGTGATCGTCAACATACTCAAACTCTCCGATGTAACCTGCAATGGCAATCGAGAACTAATTGTATCAGCATTTTCATCTTACCATAGATAAAAATTAAACTTTTAATTAAAAAGGGTGGAGCGTATAGTCAGCAAACCATGCTTCTGCATGACCAAAAGGAACTTGATGATCACTTTTGAGGAAGGCCTAATCATGACCTGTCGTTTTCCCCTCTTCTCTGCATTATACATGCTCTTGAGTGCATCATTCAAAACGCTGACTCTAACCATCCTTCCAAACCCAAGCTGCTGCAGATTTTACAATGAATAACAATTAAGCATTTATAGTTTTCATTTGAAAAAAAAAAAAAAACTAACAAGATAACAAAACAGATCATTCTTGTAAGTTAATTGCATTATCTTCTAGCAAAACCCTAATTTCCCGCAGTTATAGCCCTCTGTCTCCCTCTCTCATTCAGACAGACATGAAAAAACCAACTTTTTTTCGAATATTACAATTATTCTAAGAAATTTTACGCTATAACATAGGCAAGCAAAGGAGAAAAAAAGTCAACGGCAACAGACATTTTGGAACGTGTAAAAACAATTGATTCTTAACTTGCCTAGAATCCCAAAAACCTTCAGTTTCTTCTTTGGATACAGAATATAAAATATAAACATTCAACGGCATACAAAATACAAAGATAAATGCAATTAAACCTAGTCAATTATGATAATTAAAATCCAGCATGAGAAAAAGGAACCAAAAACAACAAATAAAAGTTGCTATCTGACTTCTTTGGAAGAACTGAAAAAATAAAAGTTGATAAAATTTATAACAAAAGAAAAGGTTTGAATAGCTAATTGGATCTAAAATTTGAGAGAAAATTGAGTGTTCACCTGACAGAAAAAATGGCGGCCGCGTCTGGGTTCTTTGAGGAGAATGAAGATACAAGTGAAACAGATCTAGGGCTTTGCCTTTTTGGTTTATAATGGGTGCGGGAAGAGTGAAGAAGCGAGTTAAGTTCGCAGTTACGAAAACGCCCCTTGGGGTTAATATGGACCTTGTAAAGTGAGCTGCTGGAGCAGCTGGACTGACAGAACAATGCAGAAAAGGACCAACAACTAAACACTTTCTTAGTCGGCCCAATGAGAGTTTATAATGGGCCGTGTTTAAAGGGCAGCAACCAAAATCCAACGGTGCAAGACAAGACCAACTCAGTAATCCACGTAGAAAAACAATGGATTACCAAATATCCAAACCATCTTCGCCGTCAATTCACACCCAGGACTCAACTCAATCCAACGGTTCAAATTCACCACGTCATTGATCCTTGTGAAACTTTAACAAACCAATAACCACTCCCACTTCCGTTTATATAATGACCACCTAATTGCCCATTCCAACCATCTCATCTCAAATTTGCCTAGAATTCGTCTTTTTAAACTTTTTCCCCGACAGGCAAACAAAACCTAACCTTCTTAAAAAAATGGCACCAAAAGCTGAGAAAAAGCCAGCAGAGAAGAAGCCCGCGGAGGAGAAGAAGACGACGGTAGCCGAGAAGGCTCCGGCGGAGAAGAAGCCAAAGGCTGGCAAAAAGCTTCCAAAGGAAGGGGGAGCAGCGGCCGGAGACAAGAAGAAGAAGAGGACTAAGAAGAGTACCGAGACCTACAAGATCTACATCTTCAAGGTGCTGAAACAAGTCCACCCTGATATCGGGATCTCAAGCAAAGCTATGGGAATTATGAACAGTTTTATCAACGATATCTTCGAGAAGCTCGCTCAAGAATCTTCTAGGCTTGCAAGGTACAACAAGAAGCCCACAATCACTTCCAGGGAAATCCAGACCGCTGTTAGACTTGTACTTCCTGGTGAGCTTGCCAAGCACGCCGTTTCTGAAGGGACTAAGGCCGTGACCAAGTTTACTTCTTCTTGAAAAGGGAATTTGTGGTTATGCAGTTAGGTTAGCGGTTTTAAAATTAGATCGCGTTTTTTTCTTTTTAAAATGTCTGTGTCTCTATTTTAAGTTTGGGTCTGTATTTCAAATGGATCTGCTCGATCCTGATGTGTTTATGGTAGATGGTAGCAATGAATCTAATTGAATTCAATTTCGCATATTGTCAGAGCATATGTTTGATCTTCTAAACTTGTCTAAGTCTGGAATAACGATTTTTTTCATTTACATGAATGGTTTGTGAGCTTTGACTCGAGTAAAACCGAGTTAAAAACATTTTATTTATTGGATGACAAGCTTGAAGAGCAAATTTTAAGAATTTTTGTTGCGAACAGAGCGCTTCAAATCAGAAGCCTAGAAGTAAAGTGAACAGAGCAATTTAAAGTGGTATGAAGTTATATAACCTAGCTACGATGAAAGTGAACACAACACTTTAAATGAAAAAGCCTTAGAATCCGGCAACATTGGTCAGAATTGCAATTGATGAAAAGCATTTGATGTTTTGCACTTTTTTTTATTTTATTCCTAGAGTAAAGCTCACGAAATCAGCTATGGCTCGATACTCCTCCCGTGATGTTTCTAAGGCTGGATGACTAAGGCAGGTTGTTTCACTGTGGCATAAGTTATCGTATACCCTGATCCAGTATGTTTGAGAATTTGACAAATGGGATTATTTAGTTAGTTTAGTTTTGTCATATGATCCTCTCTATCGTATACAGTTTATAACTTTTCTGTCATTGTGATGCTTTAAAAATTGGACAGGTAAAATGAGCAACTTTACTTTAGAAATGTCAAATGAGTTCCAGGTTTTCAGAGCACATCACGATGCCACAAAAGTTTACTGTAAATATAATATCCTTCCTTTAAATCAGAATCTCAGGCAAACTACCAAAGACGACAGCAATTACACTACTAATCTCACATTTAGAATGCTGACTACTTGGAGAATCCTAAGAATAACTAAAGTAAAAATGAAAAAGAAAACCATGGTTGTTATGTGTTAGTATAAACCAATCTCATTCCATTATAATACAGCATCCAGTTCTTGCACCCACCATTTTCACTAAAAACCAACTTTCCATTTTCCTTGTAGTGGCTTTATTTGGAATATAATTCAGTGTTTGAGAAAAAAGAAAAGAAAAACTTACCAATAAACTACAAACCTTCCTTCCTGAATTACTTTGCATACATTTCAACTTGCAAGACATGGTTGATGACAGAGAAACCAATGTGATGATATATCATCGGCCCACAAATTGACACTACATATGAGCACATGATTAAATTGTAATCATTGTATTTAATTGTGTAATGAAATGTGTATTTTGGGAGATTGTTTTATCCAATAAGAGATGTCACACGTGATTCCATTCATTTGCATTCCTGAAATTTTGATTTAGCATAAGTAATGAGCAAAGTAATAATATTACACCTCAATTTGAAGTTAAATTTTGACAACTTAGAACGGAAAAAAGAAAATATGCCAAAACAAATCTATATTTTTTCCTTTGCCTTTTGTATTTGCTCCCAGAGCTCTGTCCAGTTTTTCCGCTAATCCTTTCACCTGGTAGTTATAACTGAAAAATAACAGCTTTCGTATTCTTAAGAGAAAAAACCAACAATCAAGTCCGTTTCTCCATACTCAAGAAACAATCTTCTTCACCATGATTGTAATGGCCTCTAAAACTGAATAGATTTGATCAAACTGCAGAAACTAGTTTCTTCTTATGTCGCCTCACTTACTGTCTGAGGAAAACTGCATTGAAAATGTAACACTTTTTTCCTTTCTTTCTTTCTTTATCTGTTTCCAAAAGATTAATCAAACTCTATTTTCATTTCAGGATAGAGTGCTTGGGAAACTCATCTGCCAGAATCTGTAATTATTTCACAGTATATAACATTTTTGCTTTGTTAGTTCATTACGTTTATGATAAATCATTTGTTTGATAAGTAATGTAAACCTCATCCATGGCCCAGAATTTGATGGTAACATAATCGAGATGCATTGCATTGGCTGCAAAATGCATTTTGCAGATCAAAATTTACATCTTTTTAGTATATTAACTAGTGAAATTATCAGGTGCATGTGAAAGCATCATATTTCATATTTAGGAATGGAAGATTTGAACTTGATAAATATGTAAGTACTTTTCAAATTTGAATTGTTCAAATAAAGTTAATACATTTATGTTGATTTTGAGTCAAAATTGTGTAGGGACAAGCTGCTGTATTGGGATGGCCACGAGCTGGTCTATGCCGATATAGAAATGGCCTTTGAAACTCTCATGTCTTCTTTTTTATCCAGTACATTTACTGCAATCATCAGGATCAGGGTATCAACTCTCACTCTCTCTCTTTTCTCTTTGGTTTGTATAATTTTAAGAAAATAGTTTCTGACTTCTGTTTGTTTACAGCCGGCCACCATTATCTCCTTGGAAGTCATCAGGTAATTTTGGCTCAGGTGACGGGGATTCTAATGGCACTCATGGATACATTTTTAGTTTTTGTTAAGAGTTGAAAAGAATGGTATGACGTTTTAGGTCCATATTTTAGCTTACTTGAACTGTTGTTAAATGTTAGCAGCAATAATACTGCCAAAACATTTGGTCCTACTTTCTCAAAGTGGCCATTTATACGTCATATTTGCTTGACAGCATGTTTGCTAAATTCGTGAAAAATCTTGTCTACTCCAAACCCTTTGAAACACATTCCATCTAGCCCTTTTTGTTTATTTGTATTGAAGTAAAAATCTTGGCTTGTTCCACTGTTACCTAAAAGAAAGAAGAAATTAAATCAATCTGCACCAAGTGTGCTATATGCTTGGAAGAGTTCGAGGACGAGGATGATTGTAGGGTTTTTGATAAGTGCCAACATCTTTTCCATAAACTCTGCATAGATCAGTGGCTAGTTAAGTATCTGCGCCGCCCACTTTGTCGTGGTTCTGCCACCAGCAATCCGATCGCTTAGATATTGTTTTCTTAAAGTCTTGGAGCCTTAACCAAGTCATGGCCAACCAAGTCTTAGTGTATTTTTTTATCAATAGGGTTTATAACATTTATATATGCATGATTATATTCTATAAACTTTAATTTTGTTCTCAATTAAAAAGCTTTATAATTAATTGTAAGATTAAGACGAATTTACTTTGCCCTATTTTTATCAATTTAAAAAGCTGAGCAATTGCATTCATGCAAATAAGAGCAGTATTAGAATTTAGGTTTATACTATTGATAATAAGTTGATGAGTTAGGGAGTTGGTGGTTTGTTTTGCCATGAAAAAGGATTTAAAAGCAAATCGGTAACGTTCACCAATTGATACACAGAGACAGAGGTAAGTCTAGATAATTAGTAACCGAGTTTAGAAGAGTTTATTATTTAATCTAAACTACTATATAAATTCTCATGAATAGAAATAAGGTAAAGATGACTACCAATCATGTTTTACAGCTGATTCATCAAGCAAGATTCCGATAGAGGAGCCACAGCCTTCCAAGTCTAAGGTCACCGGATTTGATCTAACTCCAAAGTCTCGTTTCTATCTCTGCCGTTCATGCGCTACCCACATTGTAAATTTCCACTAAAAACTATATATTCATGCATGGTTTCAGAGTTAGAAGTATCCTTCTCTCTATTTCTCTGAATTTTTTTATGAACATTAATAGTTTTCAGTGCACTGAACTTCTGGGAGTTCTTAAATTCCTGAGGATTTCTAATGAATCATTCTAAATTTCTTGCATTAGAAGCACATTTGAAAAATATTTTGGTCTAACTACTATTTTTATTCAATTTCTTAGGCAAAACAGTATAAGGCAATCGTTTGTGAGAATCCGTAAAATCTTTTTGGATGACTCAATCACCGAAATACTTGTGTTTAATGACCAATCTTGAAGAAAACTTCTTTTTTTTTTTTTTTACTCCTTCAGCTTCAATAGGTTGAAGTTCTGTATCTTACCTTTATGATTTTCCATTCATTTTTTAATCAAGATTAATTTTGTAATTCTGATTAATCATGTGTTTGGGATATAGTGTCAAAGTTCGGTTCTTTGAAGTAGAACTTCAATGGGTGTTCGATGACCAGGCAATGGCGGATGTTATTCCAAAGGATGCTACTCAAAGCTAGGCCAGAAATTATACGTAAATTCTATACAGGGTCTTATCCCTCTTTTTTTTTTTTTTCCCATAAAATTTACTGTATCTTTGTAAAAGAATTTATTTTCAGATTGTAGTTGGAACAACCGTCCGAGTAATCCAGGAGAAAAGGTTTCTACTCTATCTGTAAGGGTTTTAGTTTCCCTTTCAAATTCTGAATCGCATTCCAAATAAAGCCACTTGAATTGCTTTTGATTCAAAATTCTGAGTGCAGAAACGAACTGCTATATTGGGATGGAAACCATATCCTATATATGCAAAAACCAGGGAGCCAGTTGAGAACAACTGATCAATGGCAAGCAATTCAACTGAAGATTTCTTGCCAAAGATAATAAACACACACTTTCTTCAAAGAATCCTTGCTTGTTCTCGTGCTCATTCCAGCTCACCCCCTAGTTCAATATTTTTCGGATTCTTTCAGCAGTCACTACTGTCAATGTGAGATTAGTAGTACAGTAGCAATTTGCCTCCAGAAGTTTTCATGAGATTCATATTGAAGTTGAAACAAGCACTCAATAATCCATATAACAAGGTGATATACAGCAGTTTTGCCAAGCTAGCTATAATTCGTGTAGGAGGAAACATGAGCTTCTGATCGTGTAATAAAAACGAAACTTAAAAACTAAAATGTTGAGAAACAGAGTTTCATATGCATTCAATCAAATAGGTGGTCTGAAAATCTAACTTAAACTTATTACCAGTGTAACCGAAAAACAAAACCAGTTGCAAAAATACCAAGTCACAACTGTTTCAATATTTTAAGGTTGATTAGATTTCATCGATATAATATGGTTAAACTCACTTTAATATTAATTGAATTCAAATATTAATTTTAATAAAATATATTATAATTATTTTTTTTATCAATCGTAACTACAAATATTTTTATTATTATAAAAAAATATAAATTTAATAGCTTTCGAGAGATTTGGACGAAACAAAACGAATCTAAACCGTTGGGAGAAGTAACCAGGTACTCTTTAAAGCCGATTAGTTTCGCTAGTGAAAAAATAGACACCGGAGCTGATTGTACTTTTACAGCCTAACGGAGAAACAGAAACTATGGACAAGCTTGAAACGACATCCTTTGGAAATGACAAATCGAATCTCACCAACTCAAACTAGTTCACTTTTCTTTACGTGCAACCCAACAACTAAAATATGCTACTAATTTTAAATTACATGAACAAAGCATCTCATGCAAAGCAAAAATCATAGTAAGCAGAGAAACAAATGAACTAAAATATTGTGTAAAGAACAGAAACAAGTAGTTTCATTTCCATTAAAATCAATTACATGATAATGGGATTCTAACAGTAACAATATCTTCAATTTTCCTTGAAACTTCTTTTCCGTTGCACATCAACAATGATAAACAAAATCCTACAGAACCCAAAATCACATACAACTAAGAGGAAAGAAGGCCTAACGACCGAAGTTTCTTAATTAAACTAAGCTTTCTTAGGAGACTTAGTAGCCTTTGATGGAGATTTGGGTTCCTTGGAGGCGGCCTTTTCCGTTTTCTTTGGCAAAAGAATAGGGTTGATGTTGGGTAAAACGCCACCGTGAGCGATGGTGACGCCGGCGAGAAGCTTCCCGAGTTCTTCGTCGTTCCTCACGGCAAGCAGCACGTGCCTTGGGATGATCCTGTTTTTCTTGTTGTCGCGTGCTGCGTTTCCAGCCAATTCCAGAACCTGAAATTATATCCAAATTCACCAAATTAAGAGAAATAAAAAGAAAAGCAAATAAATTTCGCCATTAATTTAACTCTCAGTTACCTCAGCGGCTAAGTACTCAAGAACAGCAGCCAGGTAAACTGGAGCTCCGGTTCCGACCCGCTCCGAATACCTTCCTTTCTTCAAGTAACGGCCGATCCTTCCAACCGGGAACTGAAGCCCTGCTTTGACGGACCTTGAAACAGGCTTCTTCTTCGGGCCACCGCCTTTTCTTCCTCCAGCACCCTTCTTTACTTTTGCTCCGGCATCCATTGCCTCGAACCAATGAATTTCTTAGCTTTAAAACAAGTCGATCTTAATTGGAATTCACGAAAGAAGATTGAGAAGACAATGGGATGTTTCTGTATTTTATAGCGGCGGTAATGTAAGATGTGGAGTGGAGCAAGAGGGGAATGAGAGCCGTTAGATTGAGAACTAATCGACGATTAAAAACTATTTGGGTACGATCCGTGTGGTTTTGAATGAACCAATGTGGAACGAGTTTGGATTTATTTGAATTTTGTATCTCATTGAGGTATAAATTGGGCGCCATTTACAAATATTTTTCGTTTCCCGCTTCCTAATTTGGGGATTTAGAAGACAGTGTTTCTAAGTACCGTATAAAGTATTCATTAATTTGATAATCGATTAAATTAATTAATGTAATTAATTTAATTATAGATTGATATGTTATAACACGTTATATTTTTTTTTCTATTCTTTTAAACAAAGTTTTATTCCGTTAATTTAGTTTTAAAATTTTAATAATCAAATTAACTTAATCAATTACTTTTTCATTCTTAAGTAATTAAGTAAAATGTTGCATAACCACAAAACAATTTGTTTTATTTATTATTAATCAAGCTTTTAAAGGAACGTTTGATTAAGAGAACCATACATTATCAAGAGAAATCGACAAAAATATATCATACACGCTTTTGATTCAATCTTACAAATTCTAGTACTTGATTTACAAGTTTGTTATAAGATATCTTATGAACATTATTTACAATTACATAAAAGGGATAAAATCTTAATATGAGTTAAGCTATTTCCTTATACAATTACACATATTTAAAATATACTATAAAATAAATTAAAAATAATATGATTGTCAAGTAATTATATAACTTATTATACCATAATAACTATAAATTTTTTAGGGTCAAATGGTTTCAGTCTAGATTGGCAAAAACCTTGATGCATGGATTGACATACATTAAAAAAAATAGAATGTTTCTTACTTTATATAAACAAGACAAGCTGCAACAACTGAAACATAATCAAGTTTTTTCTAACAATAATGATCCATAATAAGTTCATGACTACTCTAAGTCAAAGTGAAACATAAATTACAAGCACTATGAGAAATTAGATCTTTAGTGACTTTTTTTTTTTTACGCTTATAAACGCCACTAAAATAACAGTGGCATTTGCTAAAAATGACATTGAAAGTGTCGATTATATTTGAATTGGGAAAAATTGTAGTGTTTTTCTAAAAGCACTTAAAATTAGTGGTATTTTTATGAACAAACATTTTTAAATTAGTGACATTTTTATTAGAAAATATCGCTATATTTAGCAGCATTTGTGTTTAAAAATATCATTAAATGTTGAAATTCAGTAACGTTTTATACAATAAATGCCGCTAAAATTCAGTATTTAGTCGTGTTTTTAAACACAAGCACTATTAAATTAAAATTTTTATTTTTTAAAAATTTTCTTTTAATATTCATTATTATTAAATAAAAAATGTTAAAAGAAATAAAAATAAACTTAAATTCATAAACTGAATATTATAAATGCATAATTTATTCAAATATGTATGTAACACAAAGTTTAATAATACATGCAATAACATTCAAATTATTTTAGTACATTAACAAAAAATTTAAAATATATGATATTAATGACTACATAGATTTTGAATACTGTCATTTGATGAATGATTTTTTTCACCTTGGTTAGTAGCGTGCTCAATAACCTACTGAACAAAGTAATACAAGTTTTAACACTTTATAATAAGCTATTTTTATATTAAAAAATGTAAATAGTTACTAAATATAATACATGAGTTGGTGGATCACTTAGATTAGTTTTAAAAATTATTGTTGCACAAAATTCATAAAAGTGTCAAATTGATCATGCAATTGCTGAAATTTTGCATGTTTTTGGTCTATTATAGCACGTTATTCAATTTTAGCACACTTATGTTCTCTTTTTACTTCCATTTGTTGGAAACGTTGTTGCATAATTTACAATCCCTCTCTCAATATGAAAATGTCTCACGAATATTGATTTACTGAAAATGTAAATTGTGAGAGCTATATCTACAGTAGCTATATGGTGTTAAACCCAATCAAAGGCTTCGAATCTGTCCATGTCTTTCTTTTCCAGTAACTTCTTTGAAAATTCAATTTTCAAATTCTTACATATTGGCATAACCATCAGATGTTACTTCAATCTCAACCACCATTTTCTTTTTCGCTTTCTATTGTAAATTAATTAGATAAAATTATTAAGTTAATAATTAATTCATAATATATTTAAAATAGTAAATATTTACTTTCTTTATAAAACAAATCTAACAAATTATCATAATTTCTTGTATTTCGACATTCAGATAAGATTTATCTTTTTTACGTAAGTTAATTGAAAAAGTTTTACATGTCCAATTTTCACCTATCTCAATCTCTTACATAAAAATATATGTTATTGTTAAATACATATCAATTGCAACTTATTCATGCATATCAAACATGTCAATCAAGTTCAAGCATTCAAATAATTTTAATATCATGTATTTAATCTGTCTAAATTGTTAAAATAAAAATATAACTGTAAAATTATATTTTTATCCTTTAACAGCATAAAAGTCTTTAACAAATGTAAACAATAACAGCATTTTACCCTTTCATACATATTAATCATGAAAATTAATTTCAATCATTTGGACAAGTTTAATATCATGTATTGAAACTATTCAAACTGTTAAAACAAAATAATAACAGCAAATTTGCATTTTTGTCTTTTAACGACAAAAAAGTCCTAAATAGACGTAAACAACTTTTTCATACTTATTAACTATAGAAACCAAGTTCAATAATTTGGATAAATTTATTATCATATATTGAAGCTATCCAAACTGTTAAAATATAACAATAATAGCAATTTGCATTTTTACCTTTTTAACAACGTAAAAAGTCCTAAACAAACTAAACATTAATTTTTTCACACCTATCAACTGTGAAAACCAAGTTTAATTATTCGGATAAGTTTAATATCATGTATTGAAGCTATCTAAACTGTTAAAATAAAATAATAATAGCAATTTTGTATTTTTATCTTTTAACGACAAAAAAAGTTTTAAATATATGTAAACGACAAATTTTTCACACATATTAACCATAAAAACTAAGTTCAATCATCTGGACAAATTTATTATCATATATCGAAGCTATCAAAACTGTTAAAATAGAACAATAATAGTAATTTTATATTTTTACCTTTTAACGGCATAAAAAGTTCTAAACAGACATAAACATTAACTTTTTTACACATATCAACTGTGAAAACTAAGTTCAATTATTTGGACAAGTTTAATATCATGTATTGAAGCTATCCAAACTGTTAAAATAAAATAATAATAGCAAAATTATAATTTTACCTTTTAACGGCATAGAAAGTCTTAAACATGCGTAAATGTTAGCTTTTTCATACATATCAACTGTGAAAATCAAGTTTAATTATTCGAACAAGTTTAATATTATATATTGAAACTATCAAAACTGTTAAGGGTGATTAGGGTTGGGAAAAAAAATTGCTTAAGGTTTTCAAATAAAATGAAGAAAGGGATCTTCCTAATGACATAAATTGGGGTTGGGTATTTCTTAACAAAAATAACGCAAAATTTCTCGGTTGATTATTTCTAATTCAATATTTTGATCTGTCATTATATCTCGAAAAATAAAAATAATATTGTGGACTTACTTCAATTACCAAAGTTAATTTGAATAAAAAAATTTCAGTTTAATACTTTAGGGCTTGGTATTTCTTTATAGTTTGCTTCGATTACAAAGGGTTAATTCAATAAAAGAATCATTTTAAGTCAAATTATGCAATTAATCACTCTACTTAATTAAAATTTAAAATTTAATCTTTATAATATAATTTGTGAAAATTAAATAATCTGTTTCAGAAAAAAAAAACCTCTTACTATGTCAATTTATTATTATTAGTTGAATTAATAATAATGTTAATTGTTAACATAATTATTGGTTGGCATGTAATTGATTTGCTGATATGACATTATCGTTATATTTTAAAATGAATGAAATGAATATTAATATACTTATGCGGTTTTCCATTTCTTACATATTAATTTTTACTTTGCATTAAAAAAATCAAATATTTTGTTAAAGGGTAGATGCTTGTATATTTTTACTTAAAAATTAGGTTTCAAATAAACAAATAAATCAAGTATCATAAAATAACTAAAAATAGTTGTATTTTTTTTAACAAAATGTAAAAATATAATTAAATAAAAAACTTTAAAGTTTCAACTTTCTTCTGCCAACGTTAGTATATTGGGCTTTTTTCAACTTTAAACATAAATTGGGCTTGATTTTCAAATTTTTTCCACATCATATATAACCACAATAATTTCATGGGCCTATATCCGGTCCATTGTTCATGTGTGGCAGCCCGGTCGAAAACCGACCGCGAAAGCAACCTAACTTGGGGCCATAGCCGACATTTCAACTTTAAGTTACGTGTCACACTATCATTGGACAGACGACCTTTTCTATCTTCGTTGTCTCGCACGACCCCATCATTATATTTAGCGGAGTGGAGCCACCAAAAAGAGAAAAAACAAAAATATAAAACATTTCACTTCACGAAGGAAAGAAGAAAAAAAAAAAAAAAAAGGGAAGCGAATCCTTTTATTATTATCTCTCAGTCTCCTTGAGAAAGCTCAAAATTCCCTCTTCCATCATTTTAGATATTTTTGTTGCCCTAGATTTTCTCTCTGCAAGTTCTACCTAGAGAAGCCATGGTGAGTTTTTCTTCGTATTTTTTTTTTGTTGATTTTCAGTTCAAGTCTTGGTCTTTGATCTATGCTTCTTTGACTTACTGTAGAAATTTTTAAATTTTTTATTAATGTAGATCTGTTTAATCACTTATGTTGAACATAGATCTCTGTGTTTTCTGTTGATTAACTTAGTTTTGAAATTTTAAAATATTTGATTGCTGGATTTGCATTTTTATAACTTTTTATCCAATGGATGATTTGATGATAGACTAAACGTTCCATGCTTTGATTTATTTTTTTATCTCTTTCTTCATGCCTTGTTGTCGTTTTGGATTGTTAAATTTGTATGATAAAAAATGCTTTAGTTAATTTCCATGGATCTGCCATTTTGATTCCTTTGAAAATTTATGTTTGAATACAAATATAAATAAGCATTATAATGTTTAATTAACTATTGATTGTATAGTATTCGCCTCTTAATCAGTATATCTTCCTTGGCTTTTTTTTCAAAATGGGATTTTGTTGATGATTCTTCCAATGTTCATTGTGGATAGATGATGTATTTGAATTTCGATTTATTGTTTTACTCACACTTTCTCAAATACCTTAGTTTTTTTGCCCCCCACAGGCGGATATGCATCACCGCAGAAGCGGTGCCCTATTGATGACCCGTGACATGTCTTCTCAACTACTTTTATTATTGTTGTTGTTGCTTGAATTTATCACAAATAAAGTCATTGGCGTTCATCTCTCATAGTGGCCCCAGTTAGTTAATACTCTAAGATTGGAATTTGGCATTTAGGCCTGTTAAATGTGTAAGAATTTTGGGTGATTTCAAACTTTGGTTCATTATCAAAACCCTGGAAAATAGGTGGGATTGGATCAATGTGGTCGATCCGGATTGTTAGTTTTGTGGGTTGATTAAGGAAGTTGGGCTTTCATTTTGAGGAGTGTGGGAATGGTAGTAATGTTTTGAGTCGTTGACCTGTCTTTCTATTCTTTTCTAAATGGGATAGAACTCAAAAACATGGGATTTCTTTAATTAGCCTATTTATGACTTCATTTCTTGGGAATGCTTGCCAAGGGGAAAATGGCTTAGGAAAAGCTGATGGATTAATTGGCCATATATAATTTGAAGGGGTCATTTTTGTAAGAAAGCTTATGTATTCTGTCCATTCTATTACAGGCTAACGCAGCTTCTGGGATGGCTGTGCATGATGACTGCAAGCTGAAATTTCTAGAGTTAAAGGCTAAAAGGACTTACCGCTTCATAGTATTCAAGATTGAGGAGAAACAAAAGCAGGTTGTTGTGGAAAAGGTTGGTGAGCCAACTCAAAGCTACGAGGATTTCACTGCAAGCCTCCCTGCTGATGAGTGTCGATATGCTGTATATGATTTTGACTTTGTGACTGCTGAGAACTGCCAGAAAAGCAGGATTTTCTTCATTGCATGGTATTATTATATGCTTAAAACTGTTAGTGGTTTTTACGATTATTCCCAAGCTTTAGTGCATTTTGATCATTGCTGTTTGTGTTTCTTGTTCTTCTGATGAAGGTCTCCTGACACATCAAGGGTGAGAAGCAAGATGATTTATGCAAGCTCCAAGGACAGGTTCAAGAGAGAGTTGGATGGTATTCAAGTAGAGCTGCAGGCAACTGATCCCACGGAAATGGGACTTGATGTTATAAGGAGCCGTGCCAGCTAAATGGGAGACTCCAAGAGGCAGAATTGGAGATATTCAAATGCATTCTGCTTTTGCTTTAAGTGAAATGTTAATAGGTTGTGTGGGGCGGTATCAACCTGACTAAATTATGATCTTGGTTTGTTATTCAAGTTTTATATTGAAGTCATTGTCTAGAACAAGTTTAGTGTTTTTCCATTTATATCTTATGATTTGTTATGCGTGGAAGTTATATATGACTGTCTTACAGTTGAGTCAATAAACAAAAGTCTATCTTCTTCAGGGGTATGATACACTCTTTTTGAGGGTTTGTTTTTGCAACTATAAAAATGGATGTTTGGTTACTCACATGACACGCTGGTGCTTATGTGGATTAAAATGGTGGCCTGCATTATTTGATTCTATTTGTTTGCCGAGGATTTAATGTGAAATGCGGATGAAATATAAATGCATTCGGTCATATTTTCTTTGTAGTGGAAACATTTCTGATTTCTAAAATCTGTTTTGTTCTTTTAAATTTCATTTAAATTGAAGTTAATGGATGCTTGACCAGAGCAATAACTCATGTTCTTATCCAGTTTGGCAATTAAACCAATTTTTAAACTGGAGGAGCAAAGCATCAGGCTTTGTCTGTGGCCATCAGACTCGATGAAAGCTTACTGCCAATAGACAAAGTGATCCAAATTAAGTCTCCTGTATGGCGTAACCACGTGTTGTGGTAAGTGACAAGCTTGTGAATTTACTCGGGGCTTTCAGGTGGTCTGTCCTTTCTCATCATGGTAATGAAACCAAACAAGTATGCACATTAATTATTTGGGTGAAGATAGATTGCATCTTTAACAGGATGCTGATGGCTACAGCCAATCTAAATAAAAACCAACAGGTTCTCTGCGAGGTGGCACTTGGAAAGTTGAAGGCCCTGTCACTGTCATTCACTTTCACATTAACTGCCCGGGTCGAAGAAGTTAATACTAACTAGGCAAGTGAGGCCCTTGTCGTGCTTATTACTTCGATTTACATGTGATCTAATTAATGGTAAGGCTTTTTTTTTATTATTATTGAATGAATGGTAAAGCTTTAGTAAGCTTTTTGGGCATCCTTCAGCCGTGTGTTACGATCCATTTTTACAAGGTTACATCATCCAGAGAATACCGTCTTCTGTTCAGCAGTGGACGAACTGGTCATTTGCTGGGTAAGACAATTGACCTTAAACCATCATTCATTCTGGATGAGAAATAATGCTATCTGTCATGGCCACCCCCATAAAAAGAGGTCTGGGAACTCTGTACAGTTTCCTGTCAAAAGTTGAATCATAAAAAACGTTTTTCAAGCATATTACTCATCAATGTTCATATACGAATTCTTCAAATGCGTTCCATGACCATGAACAAGACTACAATGTGTAACCTGATTTGGCTTAACACCTCATCTGTGCATGTCATCACGCAATTCAAATGCCTTTTTCAGTTCTCCAGCCATGCAACAACCACATATCAAAAAATTATATGCCTGCGTATTTGGCTTTATAACCTGATTTAGCATAGAGTCCCACAACTGGATAGCTTCCTGTAAACTACCCCTTCTGCAGTACTCATAAATTATAGTTGAATAAGCAATACAATCTGGGAAAATACCATTATCAGTCATTCCAACTAAAAGCTCCATGGCCTCCTTAAGTCAACCCAACTTACAAAAGCCACGGATAAGCATATTATATGTGACCGGGTTAGCTGAAACCCCTTTAACAATAGCATTGTGAAGCTCTACAGCTTTCTCCATATTTCCTTCCTTTGTGAGATAATCAATGAAACAACCCTATGTTATCTGATTTGGAACAAAATTACCGACCATCATTTCTTTATAAAGAAGCTCAGCTTTATCCATGAAACCTGCCTTATATAAGACATTTATAAGAGCAGTATATGTCACAACATTTGGAATGCATCCTTCACCAATCATAATATCCCAAAGCCCAAAGGCCTTCCTAAGATTTCCTGCTTTACCATTTGCATCGATCATGCTTGTGTATCTCACATTGTCTGGGTTCAATCCTTGATCATCCATCTCCTCTAAAAGACCAAGTGTTACTTTTATTTTTAAATTAAAACAACGACGTGTTACTTATTGATTAGTTAATTTATATTTTGATTAACGTTTTTAGTCAATGAAGTAAAATGTTTGATGAAATTAAAATTCGAGTATTTAATTGAAAATTTTTTTATTAGGTATCAAAATTTTAAATAATATATTTTGAATACCAAATAACACATTTACCCGATTTCAACCAAGAACGACATATATTATGATCATCTCTGCTAAAATGTGTTTATGGCATATATTATAACACACACCGCGAGCTGTTTACACGTTTTCTCATGCACACCTAATAAGAATGAGCGATCATGAAATTAGAAAGTGTATGAAAATTGTTATTACTATCAATCATGTAATATTCTTTTAAAATAAAAAAAAATTTATATAAATTTCCGAATACAATTACATAAATATATATTCTTTTTGCACACACATTAGAAGTATAAAAAAGAGTAAAGTTTCGAATCTTAAAATTTAATCAACGTAGGTAAAATAATAATTGTGATGTTAAATATGTATCATTAATATTAATTGCAGTTAAATAATATCTTCAATCATCATATTTGATTGCAAGTAAGTTTAATAATTTAAAATTATAATAATAATTATATATAAATTTAATAAAATAAAAATTATATTTTATATTTTAATATAAATAAATTAAAATATAATTTTTATACAAAATATGTCAAAAATATATAAATTTTAATATTTTATATATATAAATATACGAATTACCGTATTTACTGGTCGAAAAAGATACATTTTTTTAAAATAAAAATGGGATTTGATATGATAGATTTTCCGTTGGGCGGGGAGGCAAACCGTCTGGAAAGTCCAAAATCTGAATCCGCGCTCAATCCTAGCTCACTGATCCAAATCCCATAATGCCTACCAATCACCGTATGCCACGTCTCCACTTATTTCCATCCTAAACTATCCTTCACGCAACTTTCCAGGCCGTCGATCCAAATTCCTAATCTAACGGTAGTAAATATACACGTCATCGATCCGCGTCTCTTCAAACAGTCCAATCAAATCGTTTCTTTCCGTTCGATAAATATCAAACCCCAACTCATCGTTTCTCCCAATTCAGAACCAAACTTCAGAAAGCATTACTCGATCTTGCCTTAGCGTAACGTTCGTTGTTTACCAAAAAACAAAAGGAATTCTCCATGGCGCCAAAAGCAGAGAAAAAGCCAGCCGAGAAGAAACCAGTTGAAAAGCCAACGGAGGAGAAAAAGACCACCGTCGGCGAGAAAACTCCAGCAGAGAAGAAGCCAAAGGCCGGCAAGAAGCTTCCGAAGGAAGGCGCAGCCGCTGGAGACAAGAAGAAGAAGCGGGCCAAGAAGAGCGTGGAGACCTACAAGATCTACATCTTTAAGGTCCTGAAGCAAGTCCACCCAGATATCGGGATCTCAAGCAAGGCTATGGGAATCATGAACAGTTTCATCAACGATATCTTCGAGAAGCTTGCTCAAGAAGCTTCTAGACTCGCAAGGTATAACAAGAAGCCCACGATTACTTCCAGGGAAATCCAGACTGCTGTTAGACTTGTACTACCTGGAGAGCTTGCCAAACACGCCGTCTCTGAAGGCACTAAGGCGGTGACGAAGTTTACTAGCTCTTGAATTAGGGTGTGAAAAAGTCGGGGTTTCCGTATTTGTGGGGATTTTGTGAATTTGATGGAATTTGGGATGCTAGGTTGAGGGTTTATGGTAGTTTTAGTTGAAGTTTCCTTTTTTTTTTTTTGGTTTCTTTTTCTTTTGCTGGTTAATGTAACTTTGATGAATGTAAGTAAGTACATGGTACTGTTGGATTTAAAATGGCTGGAATGAAAATGCTTTTCTTTTTGTTCTATAAATTATTTTGAGTGATTGATGGAAATCTATGAAAGGATATGGTTTCAAATGCATTCTTTGTGATGCTTTGAAGAAATCTATACAAGGGTTTCATATGATGAATCAAAGTGGTTTTCTGTTTGTGCTACTATTTCAGTTATTTGAAAGGGTTTGGTTTAATTAACAAAACTACTTTCTCTCCATGTTATGTTCTAGTATTTGTTTCATGTATTTTCTTTTAAAATTGATTCTTTTTCCTTTTTTCAAATATTTTTCCTGAATAACAAATTGAGCATCCATCTTTCTTTAGTGACCTTGAGAGATGTGTCCTGCCCTCATTTTCAGTTATAGTAACATGGTTATGTATTTGTGCAAGGAAGAACTTGAGAAGGGGATAGAAATGAAAAAATTATTTTTATCCATTTCGTTACTAGAGTTTAACATATGGTAATTTTCCTTTTCTAGGTGAAGGCTGAAAGTTGTGTACTGGTTATTTGAAGGCTAGGGATTAAAGATTCCATAGCTTATTTTATTTTGAGGAAAATCCTGGCATGGAACAGGCTGCTGGTTGTTCATAATTCCGAGGTTCCGTTACTCGTTTTCTCTTAACGAATCTCTTTTCATATTTCAAGCAGTGGACGAACAAATTTGGTATTTGTCCTTTTCTTCCCCTTTTTCTTTTGTTTGTTGATTACCATATTATAGTTGTCTCTTTCATTTCTTTTCGGCCCTCAAAAACTAGACCTGTAGGCCTTAAGAGTTGAGTAGGCCGCCCCCAACTAACATGTCCAAACAAAGGTTGTTTGTTGCCTCCGACCCTTATCACTGGCTTTCTGATAATGCAATTTTGTCCCCACTTAATTGTGCATTTGTGCCGAGGCATGGTGCTATCAAATTAATTTGGGAGGGTTCTCCCTCCTGGGTAGTTGATTCTGTTAGTCTGTCTATTTAGTCATGAACTGCTCTTAGAAAAAAAAAATGATTTGTTTGAATTTGACTTTTGTTTTTAATATTTAGTAGCTAAGTTAGCTATCAGGATCCAGAGGTAAATTAATTTCTCTCTACTTTCATACTTTCTCTATCTTTAGTAAAGATAAATTCTGATTATAAATCTTTTGAATGATCAGAAAAGATTGTCTCAACTAGACTAAATGACACCTTTGGCTTAATTTTACTTGTTTTGTATTTGAGATCATGATCATCTTTTTCTTTGCTATGAACTTATCATTCTTAATTCTTTTAGTTGATCTTATATTATAGAGTATATGATCTAGTAATTCATCATATTGTCTTATTTGTTGATAATCCGCATTGAGTTTCTCTAATATTATCAGATTCATAATGAAGAAGAATTAATCTTACATTGCTAAATTTATGCCATAAACTAAATGCCTTATAGTTCAAGCAACTAGAATGCTATTTTCTTTTGGATATGCAACTACAGTGCCTTTAACTTTCATATACTTCTATTAGTTTAGATGCCTACGAAATTAAATCCTTAGAAGTCATTAACCTCCTTTTCCTTTTTTTTTGGATGAACAACTAGAATGCCTTTAATTAATTTGATCATTTTTTTTGTTTATGTCATTGCATCAACACCACAGAAATTTCTTATTAATTACTTTGTTGTCGACATTCTATAATCTTGTCGTTTGTATGGAATGCTACTTCAGAGTTGAATTCTGAGATTCCCTCTATCTATAATCAATTGAATCATTACAACAGTCACAGTTGTAAGTAGCCAACACTTACTTTGTAAGGGAAAAACTGCTTCACATCAATGGGTATGGGGAAACCTGCTTACCTGGAAAAAGTTGAAGAGCTTTGCCAGGCATGGGCCTTACCACCACAAATGGCTCAATTTGACCCCATCAGAGAAAAACTATCGCCCCCATCTTTTTGTGAACAAGGTCAGGGTACATGTCAAGTGGTGAAAACTTCTGAGAGGTTGAGGCTATATGTTTATTTAAGATATTGATCACTTTAGCTGGTGATAAGAAGTCTCTTCTTTATGCTTGTTTTTTGGACGAAATTCTGTGAAACTTGCAGGACATGCTACAACTGATGGTAGAGTCCGGTGGGGAACTGGTGAAATCACGGGGGAACATAATGGAAGCCAATGGTAGGATTGCAGATGTCAGAGTTGATGACCATGTCAGAAGCTTCGCTTCATATATTAGTACAAATGTTTTTTGGGATGAATGGCACAAGGGAATGGAGATATTTCCAAAATCTCTAGCTTTTATTAGTGCTATGAGCACACCAACTATACTTAGTGGTATCCCTTTTTACAGGTATGCTCTTCGAGCTATATTTCTGTTTCATCCTGGTGTGTATTAGGTGCTTCTATTGCAATTTGAGGTCAAACGTCTCTTTCCATGCTCAAACTCGTTCTGTTTTTCCCACTGAAAAGAACAGAGAGATTCGGAGGCTTGAGAAGGAGATTCATTCAACAATTATGGATATAGTAAAGCACACTGAATCTGCTTCTAAAGACTTATTGCATGTGATCATCGAAGGTTCCCAGAGTGTTGATCTTGGGCCATCCACAGCTGATCAGTTCATAGTAGACAACTGCAAGGACATTTGCATCCCTGCCTCTGAAGTTACTCCTGTTGCTGCCATATGGGGTCTAATGTTATTGGCCTCACATTCTGAATGGCAGACTCGTTTACCTACTGAGGTCTTAGAAGTGAGTAAGGATGGCATCCTAAATTTCGAGATGCTTCACAAGATGAAAGCGGTATGTAATAGCATGATTTGAAGGCCTGTCAATTACCATGAGATGTTCTGACTTCTAACCCCAAATTCCATTCATTTGGTGCTGTCAAGAATGGTTGTTCTAGAGGTGTTGCGACTTTACCCTATAATGGTATTTGTTTCAAGGCAAACCTTGCAAAATTTGAAGCTTGGAAATATTGAAATTCCAAAAGGGTTTAATATTTGGTTATGGTTGCTAGAGTTGCACTTTGATCCTAAATTTTGGGGACCTGATGTTGAAAAGTTCAATCCTGAGAGGTTTGCTAATGGCATTTCTAGAGCATGCAAATCTTCTGAAGCCTACATACCACTTTGCATAGGGGCTCAAGTGTGTCCTGGCCGGAGCCTTGCGAAGACAGAGCTTCAGGTGTTATTTGCTATCATTCTGTCTAACTTAAGTCTCATCATCTTAGACAGCTAGTGCCACCTCCTCAGTATGCTTTGCTGATAGAGCCTGAATTTTGGAGTAAATCTCCTTGTTGAAAAGGTACGAGTGCTGTCCCTATTAAAGATGTTAATAAATAACTACCCCACTAGACTAAGTAAATGACTGTGCATAGAATTAATGATTGTTACAGTTGCTCAAAAGTGGGCTGTATTTGTATCTGGCATTTTTGGTTTTAAACCACAAGTGAAGCAATGCTTGATTATAATCGAAAAGCAGATTATAGTGCAGCACTCTCATATATATATATATATATATCTGTGTATATATATGTGTGTGTATATATATATTGTTAATTAGAATTTGTGGTCAAGATATTTTTACAACTTAAAACTGCTTATGCCAGAGTCAAAACAATCTAACATTTGACTCTTTACATTTTAGCTTGTTAATTGTTTTTGTGGGTCGTTAAAGTTGCATTTATATCTATGCTAATAAGGTTTGTCTCCAGTTTTTTATTATTTTTTTATAGGAGGGTTGGCATCTAATCAAATTTAGAGGAGGAACAAGTTGTAGGACGATCAAATTTAAAGCAAACCAAATAAATAAACGTTCAAAGGATAATTTCAACATGAGGACCAAGTTGTACGACGTCGTTTCACCTTGTGAGAGGAAATTTGTTAAACGTGTTCCCATGACCGTTTACTGCGTCTTAAAAACTGCAATAGCAAAAGAGAACAAAATTATCATCTGATCACATCTCCTTCAACACCATCAAAAGATTAAAAATTTTATCTCCAAAATAGCTTTTTTTTTTTCCCTAGTTTAAAAGTAGCATCATGTTCTTTCCTTCTCTCGACTCAATATTCCGGCAAGTCATGGCACGATGGCCTCAATTATTCCATACTCTAACATGGACAGTTCTGTTGACGTTAATGGTAAGCATAGCATCATTTCCTCCAGAGATGGCCTTTGTATCAGCAGTATCTCCATCATCATCGTTCTCGCGTTCCTGCAAGGCTGAAGGGCTTGTCAGGATTCCTTTATACTTCCGAAGGGACAAAGTTTGCTTGCCTGCTTATATGGTGAAGAGGTCCAAGGTGGATTTCTTTGTGCCTACCGTCTTTGCAGGTCTTCTTGTTGCTGGTTCTGCTTGTTTGATTCGATCTCTGGGCTTGTGGGAGAGTGAGACAGGTTAATATATGTTTGCTGCTTCTCTTACAGGTTTCTCTGTGTCCTGAACAAATGTCAAAATTCATGTACTTAATAACGATCAGTTGATGTTTCTGTACTCCTGGATCATATTTTGTTTCATTTGCTGCATCTTTCTCACGTTCCCTAAACTTTTTTCATTGATTATCATTGCTGGTTTGAATCGAATGGCTATGTGCCCATTTCGTGGGATTGGAGTCAGATTATCCCTAATATTTGCAATGAATTAAGAGGAGATACCGATATTTTAATCCTTTATTTTGGAAATTTGGATGTATGAATTTCGGGTAACAGAGTAAAACATGTTTTTTTTTTTTTGGTTAAGTAATTCCATTTGTTTTTCTATTACTTTGCATCATCCGCCTGAATATTGTTAAACGTGGATCTTGTGCTGCTTTTTTTTTATTATTAAGATTAATATAAACAAAGAAGGCAACCTTAGAATCAATTGGGTCTATAGCTCAGTGGTAGAGCAATTGACTGCAGATCAATAGGTCACCGGTTCGAACCCGGTTGGGCCCTTATGTTTTATTTTTTTTCATTTCTTAGGTAGCCAAAATATCAATAAAAGTGGTCCTAACTCCTAACTGAGGTTAGGATTTTCTGAAATACGATGGCAGTAACAAACTCGTTCACAGCTTGCAGATATAAGCTTATGGAGGCCAATTTCCCAAATTTCCTTTTTTCCTTTGTGGAAAATCAAATTCACATTTACTATTATAATTAAAATGATATGGATTTTGAGTCTTGCGCTTAAGGGATGGATTTTCTTTCAAGATTAAAACCAAAACTCAAATATTGATTTTCCTAAGAGGCATATATCCTCCAGTCCCATAAGATTAAGAAAAAAAAAAATTGAAGTACAGTATGAACAAGGATATAAAAACAACGTTTGCTAGAAAACGGTCAAAAATGCAAAGGAGAAAGAGGAATAAAAACAGATGGCGTCGCCCGGACTCGAACCGGAGACCTTCAGTGTGTTAGACTGACGTGATAACCAACTACACCACGACACCTTACTGAAGGGTTTTTTGCTACAGATTATAGAAAGGAAAATATAACCGTTTCGCGTGAATTATACGTGTTAGTTATCGATTCTGGTCTTTGTCGCCTTTTTTTTTTTTCCTACCCTTTTTAATGCAAATCTCTTCTTTTTAGTTCTTCTCTTTGGCGGAAACCCTATCTCTAGTCTCCTTCTTCGATCTCTCTCCTTTTTCCTCTCTCTATTCCTCTTTCTAGGGTTTTTTTCCTTTGTTCTAACTAAATAATATTTAAAAAAATGTCAAGTGCTTTAGAGATGTCGCTAGACGACCTCATCAAGCGCAACCGTAAATCCGGATCCGGAAATTCCCGCGGCCGGGGCCGTGGATCCGGACCGGGACCCGCTCGCCGCTTTCCTAATCGAGGAGCTAACCGCTCAGCACCGTATACCACAGCTAAGGTAAACAGCTAGGGGTTTAGATCTGATAATACTTTTGTATGTTTTATAATTAGATTTATTTTTTTCGTTTTCATTCGATTTTTTATCAATTAAGTGCTTCTTTTTTTTGGTTCAGGCGCCGGAGACGACTTGGCAGCACGATATGTATTCGGATAAGGGAGCGGCGTTCCAAGGTCAAGCAGGTCGAGCCACCGCAATAGAAACCGGAACGAAGCTATACATCTCTAATTTAGATTATGGTGTTTCCAACGACGACATCAAGGTATTTTTTTAAAAAAATTTCCCCTATTTTCGTATTTAATTTTTAATATAAGATTTTCTCTTCTGTTTGTTAGTACTTTATAGGTGATGTTGATTTGAAATTTTTGTTCTCCATTAATTTTTATGTGATTCCTCAGGGTTAACTCCTTCGGTTTTGATTTTTGGTGGAGTTAAAAAAATTGTTTAAATGTTCATAAACTTGAGATTAGTTGGGTTAAGAAAAGTCTCGTGATTTTCTGTTGAGATCATATTGTGTTGTTGTTAGGGTTTTCTTTGGTGTATCTTTCTAATGTTAATGTGTTTATGTACAGGAGTTATTTTCTGAGGTTGGTGACCTGAAACGATTTGCGGTCCATTATGACAGGAGCGGTAGATCGAAGGTATCTAATCGAGTTTGGCATTAACTGCTCCTTCCGATGAAATTCTTTGTATCGTGCTGTAGTTTAGAAAAAAAAAAAAATCTTTTTCTTAGGGAACAGCAGAAGTTGTCTTCTCTCGGCGAACAGATGCTATGGCTGCGGTCAAGAGATACAACAACGTTCAGCTTGATGGGAAGCCGATGAAAATCGAGATCGTGGGAACAAACGTTGCTACCCCTGCTGCACCTTCAGCTCCTAATGGTGCCTTTGCAAGTTCAAATGGAGCCCCTAGAGGGTATGCTTTATTAGTTATTTGCGTGACCCCTTGTTTTATTGAAATAGTTTAGATTCTATTATTTGTTATGCTGATGATTTTGAGATGTTATAGAGGGCTAAATAGTTTTGCCTATATTTTTCAGTTATGTTGAGTTTCTGAAAATTTCTAAAGCTGCATTAAATTTCATAAGATTCTTATCTTAGGATTAATTCTCAGTTGAAATTTCTCATTAATTGTCAATTTTTTTGAAATTTCTAGTTTTTGGTAACAATAGTATGCTAGCTGGAGAAAATGATCGAATTGTGTGGTTTTGAGGGTCATTTTAAAAAATTCATTAACCATTCACTATGATACATGATTTAACAAGCATCTTGTATTTACTCTGAGATGTTAGCACTGTCAATTAAAATCCACCATGTATTTATTTTTTATGTGTATAAGAGTGATTATCACTTCTTTCATGTCTATACAGTATTTCATTTTTTTTTAAATGTAGACATATATTATATGATATCACATTATCACTTAATGGGGCATTCAACAATTCATATTTGTGAGAACTTGTTAGCTTTTACCGTATAACTAATTGGTACCACACCAACATTTATGTTAGTGAGTCTGTGTGGAATATGTGTTCCATATCATTCTTTTCTCTTGTTAATCAACAGTTTTTGGTTACTGATAGACTTGACTCGCTAGTCTAATATTGTTATGGTTATTTTACAGTGGCCAAGGCAGGGGTGGAGGATTTGGTAGGCAACGTGGTGGTACTGGTGGTCGTGGCTTTGGAAGAGGCCGTGGACGGGGGAAGGGCCGTGGAGAAAAGGTTTCTGCAGAAGATCTTGATGCTGATCTAGAGAAGTATCATTCTGAAGCAATGCAGACAAATTGAAGCATTTCACATGTTCTATTGGTTGGTTTTAAGTCTTTTCTACTGTGGACATTATGTGCTTGATCCTCGACTATTTTGTGTATCTCTACCAAAATCATACTCTTTAGAGGAACTAGTCATCAAGAGAACTATTACTATCTTGATTTATGGAGTTTGGGCTTTTACTGTTGATTGTTCCTTTGACTTGGGTATAAAGAATGTGGGTTAGTGGAAAGCTATCATTTTGTGATCTGCAATTATGCTTTTGGTTCCATTGAAACTGACTCGTCCCACAAGTCGGGAACGAAAGCGGAACTTTTTCTCTTGGTTTTCCATTTGCAAATGAAACTTTGGCTGCATGCTGTGGGAGGAGTAATCTTGCAATTGCCCAGAGCTGCATTGCCTTTTGGTTGCTCCTGCATTGTGAAACCAGGGAGACTGCAATGGAGGTAGATTTCTTTATGTTCTTTCTCATGTGGATTTTTTTATCTGATCAGAAATTTGTCCTTTTTCTTGTTGTTGATGCAATTGGTTTTCCTATTTAGGCTTTTAGGGTGGCTAAGTTACTTCACTCTATTATATTATTGCCAAGAGAATATTCTTTCCCCATTATATTTCAGGGCTGCTGATGTGGCTTACTGTAGTCAATTATTGTAGAATCTCTCCTTGTCAGTTCAATGAGTTGATTTCTTTTCAGAGAAAAACTGTTGACGGCTTAGTACAGTTGGCATATAGGAGCTTGCTCTGGAGCTTGTTTTCAAGTTGAAATGGTTATAGGAATCTGTTAAATACAGTAAGATTCGAAAGTTTGCACTTTCTTCAGATTCCATAGAAAGTGATTGAAGTCTCACTGTCTCAGCATATGCCTGCTTTTCTTTTTTGGGGTCAGCCGGAATGTGCAGATTTGCTCTTGAGCTCTTTGCTTGCAAAGGCATTGGTTCAGTGCAATATCCTTGCCTAACCCCCCAAAAGAGGTTTTCATGAAAAGCACTGGCTATCAGGTGTGGTTCGATATTGTGATTGAGGAACTCAAATAGTTTGAATGGTGTTAAAACCATTAGTGACTGGTTAGGGCATGAATATATAGTTGGTCAAGAGCTAAGATTGAAAATGGTGGCAACTTGCATGATGTTTTTTTCATTCCGTGAGCTGCTATGCTATTTCTTGGAGCAAATGGCTTTACTTCAACATGAAGCATCACTAGTTTCTCCTATTCAAGTTTAGGAAATTGAATTTTAGGGTGAGAGATCAACAATATGCAAAGATGCTAATTTGCTGTACTATTGGTTCTTCTCATGGTTGCCATCTCCATATGAATAATAACTTTGTAAGCTAGCCCCAACATCTGGACCATGAAGTTGGTGAGTGCTGGTTTCCTATTTTACTGATTTGCGTAGTTCTTGATCTATTGGTTTGTGTTGCTCTTGATTGACTTTCCCTTTTATGATTATTGAATGCTGGTCATTTTAGTTCGCATGCATGAGTAAGGAATTCTCTCTATTACCAAGTTAAAAATGCATCTCACCCATTAGCTAATATCTCGAGAGAATGTTCTGTTTATTCTTGGAGTTAATTTAAGTGGATGGATTTGAAACATAGGCGGAGGATGGTTGTGCTGCGATCTTTGATTTGCCCCTTGGCATTTTCGAGATTTGGGTTCTTCTGGTTAATGATTAGTCTTTCAATCTAGCTGGCTCCTGGTCAGATCAAGCGTGCAAATTTTGAGCCATGTGATGGGATGTTGAATGGATTCTGAATACTATATTAGTATTATTATAATTTTAAACTTTGAGGTATGTTATCCATTCATTTCAATTTAATTTCCTTTAGTAAAGTATGTTGAAGACAAAATTCTGCATCTTCAACTTAATTTTTACAAGGGGTATATTTTGAAGCGTTATCCTTTTTTCCCAATAACTAGAGTAATTAACTGAAATTTGTCTGTCTTTTTAAATAGTTAGTGACTACTGATTGTTGATGGTTGTATTAGCCTCATTGAAAGAGATTTTTATATGGACGTGACCTCTGCTTTAAAGTATCGTGCCTTGAGATGTAAATTTAATGACACACTATTGTTTATTAATAAAATAATAAGGTGTCCAAGATATGGAAAATTAATGACAAGTACTGTTTATTAATAAATAATTTTGAGCATTGTCTTGGTCATGTTTAATATACATGCAAGCTGGCTTTGTGTGGTTGGGCCTCTATATTCGTGAATTAAGCTTGGACTACCCAATGTACTCCCATGAATTAGGTTACAGGTAGGTTGGCACTTAATATTTGAGATCTAAACCTGGGCATATGGACTGCCTATTACTTAACGTATTCTGGCCTATTATAGGTCTAAGCTTAGGCCAATCCTGTATTCTACTGCTAGTTGATGGCCTGCCAACCGAGATCTACGGTGATGACTTAAAATTATGCTTAAGATAATAAAATGCTTTACATTACTATTAAATTTTTTAAAAACAAATTTCCGAATCACATTTCAAAAATATATTATCGTTTATAAATAAAATAATAGCCTTGATCCATATTAGCTTTGGTTATAAAAATTTAGAGCCCATTAAAACAGGCATTTCGGCTTACCTGGCGGTCAGGACAGGGTTTCTTATTTAAAATAAAAATCCGCTTGGTCTTCGAAATCTTTTGTTTATGCTCAATTATAGTTCAAAAAATATTAAAACAATTTTTTTATACAATAAGAATTATTCATATCAAGTTCAGGCTTCAAAACTCACATCCATGGATCGGTTGAGCCGCCCAAAACGTGGATAGGTTTAGCCTCAAAGAAAAAAAAAGGTTCAAAGAAAACATATACTTGCTATAATACATGTAAACACAAAACATAAAATTCAAAGCAGAATTAATAGCACCTTCTTTGAAATTTGGACACACTGGTTAGGCCCTTTTTGGCTCTCTATGCTTCCCCCACCAAGAAAAGATCAACATCAACAGGGAATAGAACACAGCCTTTATGCAAGATACTACAAAGTTCCAACATGAAGATGGCCAGTACCAAGGATATAACAGTCTGAAGAACAAGCTTATAAGATGTCGAGGGTAACGTCCAACCTGCAAAATAATAATGACCAAAACCCCAAAAAAAGTTTTCTTTGCATCACTGACTCAACATAGACTTGCTAAGTAGGCAGATGACTAACAAAAATGTGAAACACCATATTTTCGATAGAAGTACCTCACTTACAGCAATCCATTCTAATCTACATGCATGTTTAGTACGATTATATTATGAATAATCATAGCGACATGCCAACATAAATGCAACTGATTGGAACTTAATATGGCGTAATTTTAAGCTTGAATAATTGCTATACTCTGTTTGATTGGTACTTTTACTTTTTGATATTTGTCTTTTGTTTTCAATTTATATTTTTTTCTACTTTTCGATTTTGCTATTGAAAAAAGGCAAAAATTAATGGATTAGTACCAGCCCCAAACGTCTATCAGGTAGCAGAGTATCTAGGGTTAACTAAGTCAACAGCATCTAATAAACACATTATAGAACCCAAAATGCAACATGAAGAGCTATTATAGTTCATTTATGTCCACGGAGAGCGAGCCTTGCCAAATCATGAGGTTGCTTCCTTGTGACCTGAAGGTCATTCATTCAAGTCATGGAAGCCTTCCTCAGATCCTGCTCATACACTGGCCCACCCTCCTGACAAACTCTATTTCAGAAGAATGAAAAGAGATACTTGTTTTGTCTTCTTTCATAAAGAGTAGTCAATGGAAAGAGCAGTTAAAAGGGTACTCACAGGAAAAAGGAAATCTAAGGCATCCCAAGCTGCATGACGGACAGCCCTTGTAGGATACATTGGACCACCAGGAGAGGTAAAGCTATATAAACAGGTCTTCAACCTTGTACTTGTGGCCATTCTCAGTTCCATGCCTATAGGAATTAAACATTGGTCATATACGAGTAGTTGAATATCCCCTAACCCTAGAAGAGGTTGAGAGTAATACCCTGGAGAACTTTAATCTGCGAAAGATAATGCAGTAGGACTGGCTCCACCTTTAATTTTTGAAGCTGGCCAAACAAAATTTTCCCAAATGTGAATAATACTGATTGTTGCAACAGCATTTCATTAAGGTGGTAACAATAAACAAGATCATTAATACGTATACTATATAATCATGGAAATATAAATTTACCTGGTCGGATAGTTCAATAACAAGTATATCTGCTGGTCCACCAATCAGGAAAGCATTTGGAAAAGCAGGACACTGCTTTAAGAAGCTTTCAAGTTTTTCAACTGCACAGGATAAAACATCATAAAAGGGATATCAATATATGCAAACTGTAATTCAAAACCAAGGTCCCAACAAAAAAAATCCAACCTGAGTTGTAAAAGAATATGAACCTTGAAAGTAAAAGGTAAAGATCTCGCTGGACCTGAGAATTACAAATTCGAGAATCAGTATTTCAAATATAAATGCCACTAAGGAATCTTGATGAGAAAAGGGTAACTATACAAAGATCCTGAACTTGACATTATCTTCTTTCAAATATACCATGAGAGCAGGATTACACATGCTAGATAATATGTAGGCATGTAAAAATCGACATAACACAAAAATATTGACCTGTACTGGAATTTTATTTAACCGTGTCAGCTCCAATGCAACTTCGTCAAGGAGATACTGAGTCAATATAAGAAAAGTGCCAATAAAGGGATTCTCCAAAATAAAAACAAACATGCATTTCAAATGGCTGTATGTTTCTTTTAAGTTGTACCTGAAAGAGAGACTGGAAACGCCTTGTATTTGATTGTATATCCATCCTGCATATAAGCACAAAATTAATAGAAGTTATAAGACTTGTAACATTATCAGGGCATGAGTTATGCTACTTTTTTCAACAAGCATGACCATCATAGGCAATACGGTTATCCAACTTCAAAAGCTATTGGCATTAGGCAACCTAACAAAATCCCCACTCAAGCATTACAAATTTTTCATACCAGAAAACATTTGTTGCACCCTGAACAAGCGCAGAGGAATAACGAAGTAGTACATCTGCATTATCCGGTTGAACTTCAAATAACTGCAGATAAAACACAAAGCATCTACTGTCAATGTAAATAACTCCATGGAAAAAGAATCAAAAAGATCATTCACAGACTAAAACAACATTTGTTCAGTCTCTAAGCAAAGATATCTTAATTAGAATATCTAGCAGAAGCAATCAATATCTACTACCTAGCACCGTTGGATACGATATATACAAAGATGCCATAACTAGGTCTTTTGCAGTTATTTTGATCCAAAGAACCTTTAATATCTACAGTTCTAGATTAGGAATACATCAAATCCCCAATGGCACTTAGAGACTGTAACAAGGAACTATGACGAGGAACTATGTATAAGTAGGGAAAAACAGTAAGAACTAAACTATGTACAAGTTAATGTAGATTTTTCACGACAAAAAAACCAACTCGTCACTTCTGTTTTTTTTTTTTTTTACTCTGTCCAGTTTGGAAAACTCCAAATTACTACCAGGCAGGGCCACCAACCATCCACACAATTGATAGCACCAAAAATAAACAGCAGCAACAAACAATAAATTATATTGACATTAAACTACCATCATACAAGCAGAGTAGTCTTCAAGAAATTTGGGTTCCATTCATTGAGCAATCAAGATGGAAAATCAGGAAAGCTAATCTGAACTCCATTTCCTTGTACCTTGATTAGAAATGATTCATATGAAGATGATTTTATCTAGAGAAAAACTCATCAAAAATGAATACTACAACTGCAGCAAGCCAAAAACCTCAAAAGAAGAGTTCCATAATGAAACGAAAAAGAACTACGAACTAATCATGAGCTTGCTTACCCATTTATGGAATAAAAGGGTGAAAATGTGAGATGCAAATGATTGGCTCCACAGTTGCACAATCAAATGAAGGATAGGCTTTCCACTCTCGGGCACTCGAGCATAATAATCAGCAAGAACATCATAAAAGCATAATCGACCATTAATACCGTACTCTGCAGGAGATATTGCATCTTCTTCTCTACTAAGAATTATATCTGTTTCCAATTTCAATACAAAACAATATGAGAAATCCTCAAATTCTTACATAACTAACAAATATATTACAATCGTGAGTAAATTACAGTATTCGAACGTTATAATCAATTAAAAAGGCACGAGAATTTGAACATTAACTACTTTAAGACTGATTTGAAGTAATTTAATAGTGAAAAAAGCCAAAAAAATCAAAATAAAAAGAGTTGACAAAGTCTTTAGCTAACCTTTGGCTCGATCATCGACTTCCAAAGCTATATCGGCGAATAATTCTTGTAATAAGTTGCGTGTCTGAGATGAAGATGCTAATGCCTATAACAAATTTGAATAAGCATCGATAAAAAAGGTCCTAATAGCAGAAAAAATTAAGCAATAAACTAATCAGAAAAAAATTATTTTATTACTTTGAACTAGTTATTCACGAAAATAATAAAAAATGAAAGGTTAATAAAAATAAAATATAATAAAAATATAAAATATTCAATCATGACATAAAATGTTAACCTTAAACCTAACATATTCCTTTTTTTAGAAAAAAAAAAAAAGAAAAGAAAGGAAATTATGATAAGATTGATTTGAAAAAGAAAAAAAATTCTAAAACTAAAATCGTTTTGGTTTTCCTTTCATTATCTCGAGAAACAAACAGGGAAAAAAGAAAAAAGAGATAAGAGAAAACGAACCCGCTGAAGCTTTTTCTCGATTTCCTGTGAGAGCGCGTTGAGGTAAGCGGAGCTTTGAGGTCTTGGAGAAGCTTCTTGTTGCTGCATTTTTACGCTAAGATCTTGAAAGGAGAAGAATAAAAAGAAAATATATCATTTGAGAGAGGAATTTAGAATTATAATTTGAATTTGAATTTGATCCAAACAGAGAGCAATCGACAAACTCAAAAAAGTTTTGTCCGTCCCTGGTCTATTCTCTCCTGACAAAAGCTTCAGCGTCAAGGAATGAAAGTAGCTTTTGAAACTTTTACCCACACTATAAAAGCAGTGGATTTAATTTAATAATAAATTAAACGGTCATTTATTAATTAGTTGTTTAATAAGGACGGGAAATGGAAGCGAAGGCCGATCTGGCGTGGAAGAGAAGCAACATCGTGGTTGGGAAGGCGTCGGAGAGCTTTATTGTGGAAAACGCGGGTGGGAGAAAGGGACGGCGGTGAAAACGATTTTCATGCGCGTTTTGACATTTTCCACGTGTCTGTTTTCATTTTTGGAGGAAGCGGCATATTGTCAGATCACCCGCAGTTTAGATTGGAAACGATGTTTTGCTATTGGACCCTCTTTTTTCCCTTGCAAAAAAAACTGACCCTATTTAAAATGTGAAGGTGGTCAACAAATACCTGTCACAAAGTGCATTAAATTGTAATTAGATTAAACCATTTTGTTCCTTGTGAATTTTTAATTTTTTTCTGTTGCTTTTATGCATCTTTCCCACGTGCTCTCACATGTTTGTACTAGCTTTTCTAGAAAAAAAAAAATAATAATAATAACAGACAACTAAAGCTGACGGTCGTTTTGCGATATCTTATGCCTACTAAATTAACATTATTGTCAACTCAGGAGTGTTTGGATTTGATGTTTCATCGTAATGCCGTGATAACTATGAATCAAAGTTAAATTTAAACCATTTAAACACAATGTTCATTTATTCTTAAAAAAAAATCATGATTAGCAAAATAAAGAAAGTGATTATAATATTCAATATCAAGTCAACAACTGTGTAATTTGTTTATAGAATACTGCACCCGTAATAACAAAGACTAAGGTTCAATCCCTAACAATAGCAAATGCAAAAAAATTTTCGATACCAAGAGAAAGAAAGTGATATAGTAGTATTAACTTTCTTGATGATAACGCCATGTGACTTACTTTCAAGAATTATGCGCCCCTTGATGCTTAAACAACAATACAATACTCTATTCTTCAATGATAATAACGTAGAAAGGGTGCAGATACAAATTGGCTGTCAGAACTGTGCATAATGCGTCTGCTTTATGCCCAGCACTTGTAATCTAATAATGATACCAACTTTAATATTTAATTGATGGTTCAATATCTCAAATGTTCGTAGCTTTATCTCACAAAGCTAACACAATCTGATTTCCCTACAAATTTACAGCTGAAAATTCGAGTGCTGCATGATAATGGACTGGATGAGCACGGTCTACGCCATAGTAAATCTCAGAAAATTTATTTCGCTCTCTACAACAAATAAAGAGCACACATATTTGAACTGACATGTGCTCAACATAGGTTATTAAATGAAGGTTTATTTGAAAATACAAGCCAAACGCATCAAGATATGATTGGGGGTTAGCGCATAGCACGGGAGCCTGGGTAGGTTAGGACCCTACCTCTACAGATCATTAAAACTCAAAGTGAAAGCAGGGGAAAGAGTTTTATGTGATGGTAGGACACATAATCCAGGTACAAAGAAGATAAACTCCACTTACCAACCCATTAGCATTCTTCTAACTCTATCTACAATCTGATTTCTAGCTACCATACTAGATAATTGGAATCTGCAGTTCTCATCCAAAAGAAATCTATAGACTTCCCATTCAAGACCTGAACTCGAATGTCTTCCAATTTCAGCCTACAAACCAAGAAAGCAAATGGTTACAAGTAGTTAAAACAATGATTTGGCTACTGCCTAGGATAAAATGATACAACAAGTGCATCTGCAGATACAAATGGTGAATTAACCATTAGCCTTCTTGCTATAATATCTTTAGCTCAAAATAGCCATCCATGCTACCATATTAGTATTAAACGATGGAAATATAAATTCAATCTTCTAGTTTGAACTACCAAGCATTGCATCATTGTTCTCCTTCCATTATGTTATATTATTGCAAGCTCAGACAAGTTACAATCTATTAATGGGTTTTGAATGACTTTCTTTTAATTCAATGATTTCTTACCGAGAATATGCAAATCCCAAGAGCCTTTAGAGCTAGTGTAACATCGTAGAAAACCCGTGGTCTTCCCTTTCCAGATAACTCAACTGGATTAGCAACCAGTAGTTCAGTAACTGGCCCCTGGTTTGAAATGATGACACGCAATGGGTGAAGCATTTCAACCTTCAGACGAGAACATAACCCATTTTGCGTCTCAGGATCCACAATCTTTTTCCCACCCTTTTGCTGAATAAAGAGGTCTAAATCACGATAGCCGTTGGAATTTGGTGAGAACCGTCCATAAGCTATCTGGGAAAATAGAAACAAATAACATTTATCAACAAAGTGGAAATTTAGGCAAAATTCAAAGTGGAAGAAGGGAGGAGGAGATACATTAAATCAACCAGTTAGACATCAAACTTGTTTCAATCATGAGCACCTTCATTCTACAAGGGGCAATCCACTGGCTCAAGAAGACAAGCCAATGGAGAACCTTCGGAATCAGTTGTTTGATGACACTACATAGCATGACAATGATTCAATGGGATCCTTCAACTTTCTGGCCCTGGGCGACCTAATCTAAGGAAATTTATAGAATTACCAGTTATCAAACCTAATAGTCACGTTCTCTGATCAGAAAATATTTGTGTCGTTCACTTCATTTTGGGGAATGAAATGTTCTAAGGACAATTACCAAACAAGTATAGGTTAAATAACCTCAAATCATGTCATTATTGCAAAATAAGAACTTGGTAGGGAAACATCTTCAATCTGAGAGATGTAGGAACTATGCAACATAATCAAACAGGCAGACTTTAGTATCATACGACAGCAACTAATTTTATAAGATACTAGTAAAAAATTAACAGTTTTATCGGAAAGCAAAATACCTTGATATTGCAGTCTTTCAAAGTTCTCAACACATCATAGAAAAGACCTTTGTGATCAGCACAATGTATTTGAAGCAATGTATGAGCTGGCCTCAATGAATTGTCTACTACAACATTTGCTTTCTTCAATTTTATCATATCTGGGCTAAGAGCTTGTTGACGGGTGTCTTTATCTGATAGCTCAAAACGAAATAACTCCTCCGCTACAGCAGGAGAAAGAGATGAGATACCATGATGACATTCATACTCAGGACCTGCCAACTTGAGTTCACAACTGATACATGATTCACCCAACACAGCATTTAATTGTTTATATGTGTCATCCTGTCGTTCTTTGGTGTGTAAAAGCTCCCTGACAATGTTGTGACAAAATTGAGATTAATAACTAAACCATTTAGTACTTATTCCTTTGAGCAACCGGTTATGCTTATAATTGCTACAATTACATGGTTTCCAAAGAAACCTGGTTGACAAGTTCAAAACCCCCCAAATCTACAAATAACAGCTCAATCATCATTAGGCATTATGTACCATGTTATTTTCACTTTTCAATGAAGAGACATTATCAATAACCTATAAGTCAAAGGCAGTAATACAGGCATCAAGAACAGCATGTGTTCAGTTCACATAGTTTTTATTTTCCATGACAAGTAAGAGGCAACAGAGAGAGAAATACTACATAGAATAAGGCATTTAAGAAACTAATTACACAGAGAAAAATAAGCTAGGCAGAGAACAAAGCCATATAGAAAGATAAAACAAGATTATCAAAGTCAAATAAAACCAAAAGCTACATGACATGACATTCATTTCACTTTCATTAGAAGTTAAATAGCTTCAGGACGATGTGTAAGAGCTAGAGCCTAAGATATATCAACCTATCAAACAGAAACAAAGAACCGAAATTTCTCATAAATAATTAAAAAAAAGAGACCTGTAAGCAAAAGAAAACAGCAATTACATAGGCAAATATTTATCCAAAGAAAAAGCATTGCATACATCTCAAAATAGAATCTTACATGTTATCAGTTATAAAGAACAGGTCAAGGACTCTGCCATCGGGGGTTGTTGTAACTTTCACCTTTTGAATTGTGAACTCGAGCTCACAGAGAACCTGTGTGACATCTAAAGCAAGATACCAATCACATTAGAACCAACACGCATGAGAACACACACATTAACATAAATTGAGGCACATTTAATTGGAATCGTGATTACCATGTAACAATCCTTTCCGATCAAGGCGAAAGAACTTCAACAAGTAAACCGGAGAAGCCACAGAGTGCGAAGGTTGATCATTCAAGTAAAATGTCAGAGAACAAGATGGACATAAGGACTGAAGGCGGTTCTTCAAACTCGGCCACCTTACAAAAGGTGAGCTCGAATGAGGAACCACCCAAAACACCATATAGCACCATATTCCATCCGTTGAAACATCTATTATAAAAAATGTTCACCATTAAAACCTAGGTAATCTAGAAATTCCAGGTTTCAGTTTATGTCAAAGAAAAGTTCTAGAAGTAAATTAATTAAAAAGCATTCATAATTTTAATCAATGCAAATCTAATCACACAAATCCTATAATTTCAAATAGGAAGAAAGTAATTGCAGAAAAAATAGAAAGAGAATGCGAAAAATTATGAAAGAGGGAGCAAAGAATTCACCTCCCTTGGTGATGTAAAGACCGAAATCAAGAATTATACGGCAAATATCGCACGCCAGGCCATGCTTATCGGGACAATTAACCGTGATTTGATGAGGCTCTCCTGGCTTCTTTCCTTTATGGATCAAGACGGCGTCGTCGCTCGGCACCCCCATATCGGCAATAGAAAACTACTGGTGAAAATGCCAGAACTCGATTTGCTCAGCTCAAGGGCCTCTTCTCGTCGAAACGTGCCGATATCCGGTGGTCCAGCTTTGCTTTCTTTCGTCTTTTCAAATTCATCTAAAATCTGGAGAGAGAATGTATTTTCCTTTTCTACGGAGAATGGATTAAAAAAATAAAGGTGTGGATGGCAGTCAGCGAAGGAGTTAGCTGGGTTGGTCAAATCGGAGAGTGAAACGGACACCACGTCAGCAAAAGAGTGGGAGGCTCCATGACACGTGATGGTAGTTAAATGGGTGGGATTGTCCGATGAAACGAAGCGCCAGGTTATAACAGGTGTAGCATCTTCTAGCAGTGAAAATGTTACCGTCACAGGCAGGCAAGGCTGACGTTACCAATTTTGACAAGGAATCAAAGGCACGAAGACAGAAAATTGAATCTAATATATACACAATTATTTTAAAATGATAAAATACAACAATAATACATTATAAGTAAATATATATCTTTTTCATATTTAATGCTAACATTTTTTTAACTCCTACAGTATTCTGCATTTTAAAGTTGATTGTCGATTGATTTCAAGAGCCTTTTTACCTCATTAATTATCTAAAACTTACATGTCATTTTCCTTCTAAGCTTTTATTTACAAATTCATACGCTATCTACATTGGAAAGGTTATAGTGCAGTTTGATTTAAACCATTACAAACTCATACATATATGTTAACGATTTATTTGCGCGCATTCAAGTATAAATTTTTTGGTCACAACTAATGTATACCATATACAAGGGCAGGCTTGTTCATCAAGACCCTGATGTTCTCCCTTAAAACCTTCCTGTGCCTCTTGGCTCCTCCCTCTCCTAGCCCCTTCCCTCACGTCCCTCTTCCTGACATTTTCTTCAAAAGCTTTTGATCTTCTTGGAAGGCAGACTTTTTGAAGTGAAGAATTAGAAAGGAAAAAAGTTGTGAATGGCGAAGCGATTGGAATTGTCGAGTTATTAATGGATGAAAGAATTTGGGGTTTCGGGTTTTGAAAAGTTTGGCAGGGGCTAATGTGAGTCGTAGGATCATTTTTATCGACGGCTAAAAGTATCGATCCTCATGAAAATAATGTAGTTTTGTATGTACTGTTGATCTACGCTAATCGACTTTTGTTAGGCGTGAAATACTGAAATGTCACTGCACGGACTGTGAGGCTTGGAATTGATCTGATATTCGTCGACATTAATATCTATCCAAACCGTGGATAGGATTAGATGGTTGAGATCAATTTTGTGACATGTGATATGTTTAAAATTAATTCAATTCACAGGATGAATATCTCTAATTATTAATACTAATCAATCTTTCTTAAAGTCTAAAATATTGTTCTTTTATTGAAAGTAGTATCCATTATCAGCTTAAACTTTATGACATCCAAACATAAATCCTCAATTTTAAATATGAGAAAATTTATTATAGATATATTTAAAAAGTACATGTGAAAGAAAGTTGAACCCATGCATAAATACATGTGTCTAGGAACATAATGGGGATTGCTGGCCTTAGCAAGAGAAAGAAAGTACCTTCATTTAGGAAAGTTCAAAAAAAAAATCTTTATCTAGGAAAAATTAAATTTGTCGATTTTTTATTTTTTTACTTAACACAGTTCAAAATATGAATGACATTTTTATATTTAAAATTATCAAAAATTAAAAATTAAAATAATAAACTACATTAGTACCGGTAAATTATACAAAATTTTATGTATATCTATTGCACTCACAATTACGACAGGTTGATGACCCAAGTAATCACATTGCCCATTCAGCCCACAAATAATAAACCGTCCTCTTGCTCATCAAAATAGGCACCATCTCTTCAGGCAAGGATAACCCTAATAATTGAGAGGAACATATTATATATAATTGTTATAGAGTAATTAATTAATTATAATTTAAAATTGTATAAATTTTATAAAAAATTATGTAAAATTCACTTTTTTAAATGATAAATCTCTAATTAATTGTTTGCAATGATTAACTATTTATAAGATTATAACAAAAAGAATTGCTTCCGTAATTGATACCTACACTAAATATTCAGGTCAAATACACTGCCAAGATGCACGCTCTCTCCACTATCTCATTCGTCTCCTTACCTTACATTCCTTTTTAAGTACCAAATTGACTTCAAACGTAGATGAATGAGGGAATCACTAGAAACTCTGTTCCACCAAATATATATGTTTTTTTTTTAGGTCATAAAGTTTACATTTATGTTAAAGAAAATTATGTTTGAAAACAAAGAAAATAATTCAAAATATCATTCGAAAAAAAATCGAATGTTCGAATTAAAAATTTTATTTAAAAATTTACGTCAAACATTTAAATATCATAAAATAAACAATCGAATATCCTGCAAATTTCACATTTTATGAAAAAATTTGCTTATTATATTTTTATCAAAAAAGCAAGTTTGAATCTCTCTTTTTATAAAAGAAAAGAATCATATGTAACTTCATCTTTGATGTTATAGTAAGCATTATTTACTCTAAATAGTTAGTAAATTTGATAATTCATATATTATATTGTATAAAATATTAAATTTTGTTTATTTATATTATTTTTTATATAAAAATTATATATAATAATTTATCGATATAAAAATATGAAATATAAATTTTTTATTTTGTTAAATTTATATATAATTATTGTTAAAATTTTAAATTATGTTATTTTTATTTTTTTATATCATATCTATATTATATTATTATGTGATATTTTAAATTATCAAATTTATGACCCATCACAATCGTTTAAAAAAAAAAACACAAAGAAAACAGAAAATATTGACATTAGAGAACGCATGCTAATATCTTTTCTCTATCTCTGCGTCCAACACACTTGTATTTTTATCTCTTCGTTTTTTAGAACATTTAATTTTTTTTTCCAAAACATTTTTATCTTTTTCATTCTTAAATTTGAATTATTTTAAAATATCTTAATCGATTATTTAGTAATTATAAGTTAATTATTTAATAATTATAATTTTATTTTTCATTATATATGAATTTGATTATTTAGTTACAATTGATTATTTAATAATTATAATTTCATTAGGATATAATAATTAATTATTTAATTAATTATATGAATATAATATTTTGTTTGGTTATGGTTATAACTTAAAAAAAAAAAGGTGTACTATTAAGAACCCGTTTAAGGATTGAGATTAAAAATAATTTTTGAATAATAATTTATCATTAAAAATTTATTTTTATTCAACTTCAATGTTAAGTAACAAAGTATATCTAATTTTTTTTTTCATCTTAAATGTGATTTTTAGGCTGTACGATAAAAATTTTTAAATGAATAAAAGTAATAATAGTTCGGTTCAAATCGAATTTGATTTGATTTTTTTATATTATATAATATTATAAAAGTTTAAAATTCAAACTGAATCGAATCAATTTTATTGTTTTAGTTCGATTTAGTGATTTTTAATTTTTAAAATTTTACATATTATTTTAATATATTTATGTATATTTTGATATAAAATTATTATTTTGATTTTCTATAAATGTCAAATATATATAAAAATTAAAAAATATATATAATTTGGTTTGGTTTGATTTTTTTTTTATTTTTCATCTTCTTATCTAAAATTCGATTCTAATTGAAAAAAAAAAAATCGATTCGAACCAAATCAAATATTACGATTTCGAATCAATTTTTAAATTTTTTTATTTTCTTTTTACCCCACAAATGAGTACTTTTCTAGTGAAAAATATATGTTTGAGATAAAAAAAAATAGCTATATTATATTAATTTTCAATATTTGATTTTCTTATATATGTTTTTTATATTTCATTTACTCATAATATTTTTTATAATAATACTAAATACTTAAAATTTTTAATCAACTTTTATCAATCTAATCGTTTTTCAACGGCAATACCATGCTATACCTAAATCACTCAACTAACCCATTGATGAAATTTAAAAATTTTACTGATGTATGACCATAGATGAGATAATTTTACAGGTTTTCGGCCGATTTATAATTTTCCTTTTGAGTATACTTAAACTCCGATTCCGACTCCCAAGAGGTTCAAACTCATGGGCCCATTAAAGAGACCAACTCGACCCAGTGTAACTAAGCCCATAAAATACTCTCTCTAAAGCCCACACCCAATCCTTCTCAGCTTCTCTAGGCCGGTCTCCGCACAAACTTATCAGATCATCCAACGGCCCCGATAAAACCTAAAAAAACATTTCCTCGTAAAACCGATCCCCTCCTTGTTTACAGCCACCAAAGCAAAGAGAGAGAGAGAGAGAACGCGAGAGAGTAAGAATCAAAAGAACAGGAAAAAAACAAGCGGAAGGAAGATGAAGTTGTTCGATCCATGGCCCGTGTTCTTCAAGAGAGAGTTCAAGCGCACCTGGCCCTTCCTTGTTGGCTTCGCTGTAACCGGAACCGTTATCACCAAGTTCTCCCTTGGTCTCACTGGTAACACCATCTCCTTTCGATCCGTACAATACGTCATTTTATGCTCTCTTTATATACGTATAAATATACCGATCCTCTTTTTTTATTAATCGTTTTTGCAGAGGAAGATGCCAAGAAATCGCCCTTCGTTCAGAAGCACAAGAGGTAAGTAAACCCTAGATTCCGATTTCCTACTCTTTTATGTTTTTTTGGAATTGGATTAAAAAAAGGATTAAAGGCCTGTTTGGTTCCTTTAAAAATTTTAGAAAATAAACAATTTTTTGTTTGTGACATAGATCCGAGAATCATGTTTAAACTGATATAATTTGGTTAATTTCAATAATTTCCATTTTTAGTATCATTCTCTAAGAGAATAGTGTTTCAAGATCGAAGAAGCAAACAGATCAAGTTCGATTTTAATATATTTTGTGTGGAACAATGAAATATGTAATCCTTGTAGTCTTTCATGTGTATATAATTGAAGTTTTAACCTTCTTTAATTTGTATATAATTGAAGTGTTTTCTTCTTTGGCTGAGCTAAACAGAATTGTGAAAACAAAATACTATGGTATGAACTTTAAGAGGAGCTGAAGGAATTGACTTGTGGGATATGAGGCAATCCTGAGTTAAGCATGTTGGCATGAAATTTTAGTCTGTTTGAATGCCAATACGAGAAGAGGATAGAAACGATGGTGAGAAGTAAAACAAAGTAAATGAAGTGATATTTGATCTGAGAGGACAGTGATGATCAGTTCAAAAGTGATATAAAGTAAATCATAAGAAATTTGGTTATTTTTTATCCATGGACTGAGTGGTATGCTTTGAAAATTAAGAATTTTAGTTGGAGTTATAGTCATTTAGTATCTTTAGATAACCTCACTAGAGGATCAATGAGTGCATTATAATTTCTTCTATTTTTGTTTAATAAAATACATAGAAACTATCCAATCAATTTTACTCAGTTGCAATATTAAATCCTTTACTTGATATGGATTTGTTATAGTTGTGATTTCTTGGATTAGGTGTTTTGAGATATGGTCTGTTTAACTTTCTTAATTACTGCCTTCTACTAGTATAGGTTGTTCTAAACTTTAATCATCTTATTAAAGTACATTACCACATCTATGTTCATGGAACTATTCATCTGAAGATGGTATTTCTCAAGGATTGTTGCAGCATTGTCACCTGGGGCTAAGATTTTTTTTTTTTCTGTTTGAAAATGATATATTTGAGTTTTTCTTTAATCCCAGTCAAATATATTTTTGTTCTATCTTCCCTCTCTTGAAATGATAGATATTTGATCGTGATTTAAAGTAGCAAATAATGTCTCAGCAGATAAACTTTTAATTTCAAAAGTTTTATAAATGGATGACATTTCTCTTTATTTTCTTTGGTATGCAGGTGATCAACCGATTTCAAAAGCCCGGGCAGTTGCACTCCTTGTTATGAGAGGCTTGCTTTTTTTTTTTTTTTTTATGAATAAAAATAACATAAGACATCACTCATCAGTTCTGCGTACTCTTGTTGTGAATTGTGATTCAGGTCATCAATTAATGGTTTTGTCTTGAATAATGTTAAAAAACTTTTACAATTAGTCTTTAAGTCTGGTACCATTGATTTTGGGTTATCAACTTATCATTTTGACAATTGAAAACATGACAATTTGTGCGACTGTTTGCCAGTTGTTCATTATGAACTTATGATGGTTAAGGATGCGGAGCTTGTCTGGCAAGCTGTTAAATAAGTGTATGATTCTCCGTGGAAACCCGTTTCTGGCGGTGTGTTCCTTCAGGGAACCATTCGCAGCTTGCTTAAAAGTCCTCGAATAATTTGCTAGATTTGTTTGACTGTACATTACTGATCCCTCATTTTAAACTCTCTTGTCGCTTTATTCGCCTGGAGGAGTATGACACAGTTGACTAAAAGTAGTTTATGCCTAAGGAATTGCATTTTGGAAACATAGTCTATGATCAATTATAATTAGCCTCAGAGGAGTATATGTATGAAACTCTACGAGGATGATTAAGAAAAATTCCATATTCCAGTGTAGGATTTATCGCCCGAGTCTCTTGTTTGAATATACAGGTGGATGATATTATCAACACCCTATCACTCACTACTTGTCGCTGAAGCTTTACCTTACTCTGCTGTACGCTATATAACCAAGTCTGCCAAAACCAGTCCACAACTTTGGAAACCCAGAAGAAAAAGAAAACAAAACGAAAAGGTAAACGTACATGCAGAATAATGGAAAGAATAGGAGGGGAAAGAAACCTGGAGAGAGGGAGGAAATCAAATGATCAACTGGCCTACCATTGCATGGTACAATGTAAATAACTAAAGGATGGGAAAGTAGAAAGCTGGAGATAATAATCATATTTTATTAATTGCTGTAGCAAACAAAATTCACGGCAACAAGTCCATCTATGTTCACTTTAAGGACTGCCAAAATTAAAATAGTTGCATAATTTCTCACATTCTTTGGTTATGATTTATTTTCTGTGATATAATAAGGAACAAGATGAGGCGTGGGAGACCTTAAACTGGAGATGAGAAATATTCCCATAACAAGAAGTGAATCTGCCATCGAAAATTTCACTCTGTATGATTTCATTAATAGTATTTTCACTTCTTTTTGGAGACTCCTAGCCTCAATCGGAAATCCTCCTCCATGAGTGGAAGGCCATCCCGCAGCTTGACTTTCGGCTCCCAACCTAGCAATTCCTTTGCCTTTGTGATGTCAGGTTTTCTCTGTCGTGGATCATCCGGAGTGTTCTCCACCATCTTTATCTCCACCTCAGGATTAATAAGCTGAAACGATGCACCATTAAACAGAAGCCAGGTCAGGCTAAAAACTTTTGAAACTCAAAAAAGCAAACTACCAGTAAATTGTATCCCCTGTTTATTTAATGCATTCCTTCTTCACATCTCTTTGCCTTCACAACTTTGAACCCTTCCTTTTCACAGTCCAATATTCAAAACAACATCTGAAAGAGGCTGACAGGTCTAACTTCACGATGATTAAAATAAATTGAGATCGGGAAAACAGTAGTGAAAATATGGATCTCACCTCCTTAACTGCCTCAGCAAGCTCGAGCATGGTAAATTCACCTAAATGAGTACAAAAAGTATCTAAATCAATAAGTGCATTAAAATGGCCATAAGCTTGAGAGCTAATCATAAAGCCTAGGATATATTTCCTATGCATTCACATAAAAGTTTGAGGGATAACCTGGATTCCCAATATTGATTGGACCAGTGTTCTCCCCCTCCATGAGACGAATAAGGCCATCAACCTAAACATTTTTACAAATGTCATAATTTAATTTATTTCAATAGAGGGATACCTAAAGGAATTAAAGCTAGTAAAGAATTTTACATCTGTAGCATACCATGTCAGAGACATAACAGAAACTCCGAGTTTGTGTCCCAGGTTTTTGAACTGTCAGTGGTTCACCCCTACAAAGTGCAAAAGAGATGTGAAATGAGAGACAATACTGCCTCAGTGGAAAAACAAGAGGGAAAATTTGTTTTTCTAATTGACTAAAAGGTAACAGAATTTAGGAAACAAATGTCTGCTTGTTCAGTGACTAAATCAGTTGTTGATAAGTGAATGATGGCCTTGCTGGCAACAAACCTAAGAAAAAAAAAACAAAAGCAGATTGTATGCTAACAACTATACTGCACGTTAAAACACAATATTTACCGAAGCGCTTGAGCTATGAAATTGCTGACAACACGCCCATCATCAATGTTCATGCGTGGCCCATATGTGTTGAAGATTCTAGCAATGCGTATCTCTATGGTAAAGGATAAAAGAACAGTTATGAATTAATAATAATAATAGAAGTTCATTTAGGCAAACAAAGAAATTTTACCTATCCCATGCTGCCTATGGTAATCAAACATTAGGGTCTCAGCCACACGCTTCCCTTCATCGTAGCAGCTCCGAACCCCTATAAGAAAAAGAAGGCATTCAGTGCCAGAGTAATGTTGTCATAGCAAAGCACATTCTACCAAACTCACTTCTCTGTTCATTGCATCCCTAGGTTCAATTTTACATTACATATTATGGGCTAATAGCATAGATATACCAATTGGTAAACAGGTTTGTCAGATTTGAAAATAAATGAAGTATTATAATGGAAAGAATGTATCTTCTAATGAAAGTATTCTATCTTCTTCGGGTAAGAAAGTTTCAATCAACAACTGTCTAATAATATCAACCAATGCATAAATGGTTCAAACTTCAATTGAGGAAACTTACCAATGGGATTAACATTACCCCAGTATGTTTCAGGCTGGGGATGGATAAGGGGATCTCCATATACCTCTGAAGTTGATGTGAGCAAGATCCTATTCCACAAAATCTCAATTGAGTAAAGCAATTGGAGATGGGAACATAAATAAATTGATAAAGAACCACATTCCCTAACCTTGCTCCCACCCGCTTGGCAAGTCCCAGCATGTTCAGTGTGCCAATGACATTTGTCTTTATTGTCTATGGAAATATAAAGTAAAACTTAAGGAACCGGCCACAAATATTTCAGAGAGCACTGCAGAAACATCAACACCCACCTTCACAGGATTGTATTTGTAGAAAATTGGAGAAGCTGGGCATGCAAGGTGGTAAATCTGATCAACCTCAACCAACAATGGCTCGGTAACATCTGCAAAGAAGAAAAAGTCAGATTCAATTACCAGAAAAAACCTTATATCAACCAATATAACAAAATGTAGTACTTTTGTATCTTAACATCAGAAATGATTTTGTAAGGAAATACAATCTCATATTTCCACTAATGATATGATTATTGATTATGAAACTTTTGTGCCCACCACCCACTTCCATTTTAAGCATTTTATGTCACTGTAAATTGCATTAGATGCAAAGTGAAATCACGATTCGAAAGTTTCATATAAATGCCAAATTTATCAAAATTGCCTTTCCTAGTATAGTAATAATATCATCTCAACAGTCTTCACACCAACCTCCTTCAGTTTGGTTCAAGTTTACAGCATGGACAGTTCAAAAAACAGGATACAACAGCCAACATGGTACCTATGAAGCAGCAACACTACATTTGACTCATCCTGAATCTTTTGATTGACTGCAACAAGGGTTAGAAAGAATATATCTTACATTAAGAAAAAGCAATATGGTAAATATACGTCCACTAGACCTTTATGGCAATAAAAGGAAAAGCTTTTGTATCCAGAGACCATGAAAAAATAACAGGCTAAATGAAAAGAACTTACCATGACGAATAAGCTCAAATCTAGGATGATCAATCCACTTTCTAAGATTGTCCTTTGATCCAGTGAAGTAGTTATCAACAACAATCACCTGAGTGTGTAGGTATTAGACACATAATGGTATAGCACAGAATAATCTTAGTGCAAGGGTAAAAGACTACCATCAACTCTGCTAATCGTTTCTAAACAGGGATAAGAGCTTGGATATGATGAGAAAATCTACAAACCTCATTTTTCTCATTTTCCATCAATTTGTCCACTAAATGAGAACCAATAAAACCAGCTCCTCCAGTAACCAAAATCCTCATGTTGGACTGTTGTAAACAGTAAAAGATAACATTAGAGATATAGATGAAATGTAAATGAAGCAAAAAGATGTAATCAGACTGATCAACAATATGAAAGAAGTAGGGGTGAGTTCAGAAAATTGCCCGAACACATAGAAATAAGATAGCAGAGAGAGGAGGAATATTGCAATCCTTGATCCATCAAGGAAATAAAGATCGAGATCTTGGACAGTATTCACAAATCTAAGCTGAATGTTTAACCATAATAAAGGATCTATGAACCTGATGCTAGCTGTTCAGGAGGGGAAACAATATTGGGATTCCTCTGGAAATTATATTAAGAATGATTTCAAATGAATCTGGATGAATTCCTTTCTAAGAATTATTTATTCTTATATTGCTCTCAATTATCTCTTGGCATTTATTTTGAAAAGACAGAAAATTACACAACAAGAAATCAATGAAGAAGCTGTCATTTTTCAAACATGGCCTGCTAACACGTTTCTCTAACGTTTTTCTTTGAACATTTCCTAGATCAGGAAACAATGAACAGATTCACTACTAAATGAGCATGTTAACACACGCTTAAACAGATTCGATCAACTTTGGTACACTCTGAGTGCATATGCAGACAGATCCATGAAGCTAAGAGTACTGTCACCGGCGGTTATATAAAGTACAAATTTCCTCTACTTTGTGAGATAGTATATCATGTTCCGCCGGACCATTCTATCGTAAATAGTCTGCCCCACTTCAAATTACTCTAAATAAACCATTTTTCTTAAGGCATAACCAAAGGCTAAGCTCAATGTAACTTTTTAACAGGTTATAATTCACACAGAAAAGTAACTACCCAGATGCAGAAGACATCACAATCACTTACTATCAATTAGCACAAAGAAAGAGACAGCTGCATAACAAGGTAATGAAAATAAACTGATACCAACATTTTAATATTAAATAAAAACTCAAAAAAAAAAAAGAAAAAACCTGAAAAAACTTAGAAAAACGCAATGGAGATGGCAACGGTGGTGGCTTTGAGGTTGTTTGTTGTTCCCCATTTGATGAATTTGCCGCCATTGCTCAGATCTCGCGTCTTAACTTCAAAATCTGCTAATGAAGATGGCCTGATTGAGACAAAAAAAAATAGCGCAACTGAAAGATAGAGTATTGGTTGTGGATTTGGAAAAAAAAAAAAGATTGAATTTTAGATCAGAGATAGAAAGAAGAGGATCTGCTTAAGAATTTGAGACAACAATCAGACAAAACAGAAGTGAGATTGATCTCTTACTTAAAGAAAAAAAAAAAAAACTGGGATCAGAGAGCCTCATATATAGCCTCAAAAAATGTTCTAAAAACCAAAACTTCATCCAGCAGATAGATTTCCAAAAAAATAAAAAAAAATGTTAAATTCAAAAGCCTTCAAAATTACGAAAAGTGCGAGCTTTTGATGATAGGTCCTCGATAACAATAATAAAAATACAGATCGCACCAAACAGAATTAAAACCGCAAATAAGTAATATAAAAAAAAAGAAAAATCTTCAAATTTTAATCAACTATAATATTCGATCTTAATTACCTAAACAAACTCTAGGGGGTTTTGAATGAGGGGTTGGGGGGGCTTACGGTTTTGGTGGAGGATGAGAGAATCTTTGGAATGGCAGATGCTTTGCGTTTGAGAGTGGGAGTGACAATTTGGATATTTATAATTCGGTTTTATCACAATTAATTAATTGAATTGATTTATTTTGATTAATTAATGATTATTAAATTAATTTTGATTCATAAAATAAAAATAATTTTTTTAAAAAAATCAAATTAATCGTAATTTTAATTAAAATATAACATAATTAAATATTAAATATAAAAAATAAATCATTTAATTTTATAATTTATTAAAAATTTTAATATATTTTTTAATATTTTAATATTTTGTTAAATAATTTTATTTAATTTATTTAAAATTAAATAATTCAAAATTTAAAATTTCGATTAATTAAAAAAATTTAATTGAATCAATTGAATTTAAATTCGGTCGAACGAAAACTTATAACGCAAGTGATCAGGAACGAAGACAAATAATTGGTTACTTGTGTCTAGGGGTGTAAATGATACATTAGTACTCGCAAGTTATTCGGGTTCGATTTAAAAAAAACTCGAATTCGGTTCGATTATTGTTGAGTCGAGCTTGAGCTCGAGTAACTCGACTTATCGATCGAGTTGAATTCGAGTATTCTTATATCTGATTCGAATAGCTCGTGAGACTAATCGAACTTTTATATTTAAATATATTTTTATTATTTTAATTAATAAAATATTTCGAGTCTGAATTCGAGTATAAATAATCGAACTCTTATCGAGTATACGAATCGAACTTATTTTTACATATTAATTAAGCTTAATCGAACGAGCTTGAGTAGCTCGAATTCGATCACGAATCAAATTCGAACTTAAAAATAAAACTCGATCGAGCTTGAATCTCGAATTATAAATTAAACTCGAGCTTCTCACTATTCGACTCGACTCAATTCCCTACTTGTATCGTCTCTTGTAAGTTGTAAGCTTAGCTTTGGTTGCTGCCAACTGTACTAAAAGTTAACGTGCGTCCTCTAGTTGGTTGAGAATTACAGCTAGTTTTTGGTCCTTTTCTTGATTTTTGTTTGGATACTCGGTCCTTTTCTTGCTTTTAATTACCCAAAATCTTGGTTTGCTTTAGCTTCCAAAATCCTTGGGTAAATAAAAAACAAACTGGTTTTTTATTTCAAAATGGCCTATAATTCTTTTTTTTTTTCCCATAGTTTAGGTTCAAAATATATGAAATTTTTTGATACTACTAATTTCTTCGATTGGCATTGCCCAAACTTAAAATTTCTTTTTTTTAAATGAAAATTTTTTTAACTTCTTTTGTTTTAGAGTATTTTTCGTATCTTTTCAGATTACCAAAATTATATTAAAATTCATCAAATGTATTACAAAAGTTATTAAAATTATATTAAAAATGATTACAAAGATAGCTTTATACCCCATCTCTCTTTGAAATAGTGAATAGAGGCAGCTTCAAAAGCAGGTTGTGACCACAGCGAATCTGGGTCGTTACCACTTTTCATTTTTTGTGGTTGAGTGGGTTTAATTATTTCCAACTAAACTTCTGTCATCAAGTGGCTGTAGTTTAGTGGTAAGAATTCCACGTTGTGGCCGTGGAGACCTGGGCTCGAATCCCAGCAGCCACAGTTGTTCACCTTTATCTTTTAAAAGATTTGGAATATTTTTTTTTCTTTTCTAATATGTCTGCCTTTAAGCCCATCCCCATTCTATCGGGTCTTCAATTATGGATTGCTTTCCTGATTGGTGATTTGCCCTTTTGAAGGCCGAAGTAGTTTTGGGTTTGATCAAGCTTCTCACTCCAAAAGGCAGGCTTTGGGAATCTTCTGAAGAGAAGCCTCTGTAATTTTTTATAGGTGCAATAATTTGAAGAAGGCTTTTAAAAGCTTAATCTCAGGGTTTTTTTTTTTCTTCTGTTTTGGATTATGTTCATTGTTAAATGTATCAATTTCCACCACCCTGAGACAATGAGATCCTTAAATAACTGTTTGTTTTTATTTTATTGTTATATATTAATCTTAGTTCTTAGTTTAGTGCATGCTTTAGACTTTAGAGTAGCCTTGGAAAATTCATCTGTGATCCTTTAACCACTTTCCGCCCATTTTCTTGAGGATCATTTAACAACTTTTTGGAATACTAAAAACGTTAAGCGAATCAAAAGAATTAAATAATTCAACTAAACTTTAAACCTCCATCAACCATTCAATTTTGAATATTAAATTTGTCTTGCATGTGCCTTCCACTCTTCATAGGTAATTTATAATGACAAGTACATTGAGGCATTCTCTCTCTCTCTTTTTTTTTTTCCTTCCAATGATACAATAGTAATTTGAAGTGAAATCAAGATTATCCTTTAAAAAATTTTTTTTTTACTTATCATCCATAAATCTCTTGAGCTAGACAAAATTAATTGCGTAAAAAATTAGTTTTGAGAAATTAATTTGTGTTTATTTATATTATGATTGTAGTGCTTCAATAGCAATTTAAACTATAGTTTATATTTGACAAATCGTTAATGGATAGTTTATGATATATTATTGGTAAAGATATAAAAATATAAATGCATCATTGACTCACAAAGTTGATATTACAATAAATCTACAAGTTATAACTTTTTTTTTTTGAAAGATGTTTTACAAATTGGTATTTTTTTTTGGATTAAATGATTTACTTCTCGTGGTAGAGCTATTAATTGTATAGAGCACGTATTTTACATGAGATTTCATTCGAGTTTACATGGCTTGAAGGGTTCTCCCACTGAACAAGTTCCCTTATTCCCTCTTTGATCTGCCTGGTTTCTCTTGTTAAACTTTTCATGCAGTAACCCAAGGCACTCAAACTTAAGACCATCTGGCTCTTAATCTCCTTCTCACTTTCAATGCCTTGGATTACATCGACAACTTCTTTCGAATGTTGAAGAAATGAACTCAAAATTTTGTCTATCTCATCTTCATCATCAGAACCAGAAACCCTAAAAAAATTTGGGCATGGTGATATTCCTATCTCAAGATCATAAGAAATGTTGTTCTTTTCAAGTTCCTTGTCAATCAATGGAAGTGATTTGATCGAGGATATCTTTTCAAGATATTTTATTAATGAGCCTATTGATTCCTTGAAGAGTTTAAGGTCACCGTCTAGTTCAATTACATTTTCCTTCCAATTATAAGTTTCAAGTTTTTGTGACTCTTGTTCGAGGAATCCTATTGCATGAACACCAAAATGCAGGAGATCCACCATTTTTGACAAAGACCCCAAAAGCTTACTATAGCAAGCACTATGAAAAGGCAAAGACCAGAAATTGGGCTCCACCTCAGCTTCTCCAATGAATTTTCCTAGTTGATTTACGTGAAATTTCAACTTCTTCAGATTCTCTACGAGGTTGGGTTCGCTGACTTCGAAAGACACCGAGCCAATACATTCATGCAATATCTCCAAACTTTTAGGGAGCTCAATTTTAGCCAACGTTGAAGCTCTTGTAAGTTGGAAAGCAAGCTCAGTCGCAATTGAACAAGATATCCCAATGGATGTTTCAATGATTCGTGCTATGGCGAATTCACTTGGCGCACCGAAATTTTTCCTTCCCAATATCAGCACGGCACCAATGAGAGCGGATATTCCACCAGCCTAACCATACATCTTGCTTTGCCTTAGGAAACTTGTAAAGAGGAACCAAGGAAGAAGAGACAAAAACCTGATTGGCAAGAATCTTTCAAAAAGAAAGCACCCGATAACTCCATACGCAGTCTCCAAAACTGTTCCTTGTGCTTTAACGTTTGCAACTTTAAATGTTGCCTCCCTTGCTGCGGCAAAGCTGATAGCAACTGGGAGTCCTGACCAGAATCCATTGGGCTTACTGTATATCAACCCAAATGGAACTGCAAATCCTAAAGAAAGTGAGAACTTGAAAGCTGGCATGACCCTTTTGCTCTCAAGGCCACGGCTGCTCCAAACCTCTTTGAAGGAGAACCCATTTTGATTTGATGAAATGGCTAATGATCCTCCATTTTTCTGAACCGGATTTTAAGTCGTCGTTGGTTTGGGCAACGATTTACCATGAAGGAGTTTCATGCAAAGCAAGAAGAAAAAAGAGGGTAAATCTTGGTGGGTCGGTGGGGTTGTTTGAATCGTTTGGAGGAACTTCATAATGTCTTCAGCATTTGATTCCGGAACAGTTATGGAATCACCAGGCAAGAAACTTTTAGCCTGTTTTAGGGTTAAGCTAATTTAGTCTTCCATTCTAAGCAGGCCATCTTTGAGCTCTGCATCCAACATTCTCCCTGGAAATGAAGGACTACTCTCCAAAGCAATTTCCATTCCTCTTAAAGCTATCTCTATATCTTCCAATTTCTCGCCTGAGTTCATATAATAGGGTCTCAAAAACTTGAATGGCTGTTCCTCCCATTTCATGCTTCCCTATTCACAACACAACAGAAAATGATTAATTAAACATCGTTTTAGCCACATGAAATATATCAACAGTCACCAAAAAAAAAAAAGAAAGCCTATCCATTATAATAGTAATGTCAAACTTAGATTTACAAGTCTTACTTGGAAGCGCTTAATACTTTGAAGAAGTTTGGTTGCGGCTACGGTCAATAGCTGGGCTTGAGAAATGGAACCAGATGCCGCTGCTTTCTCTTCAGCGCAAAGCGCTTTCACGAAGAGCTTTAGCCTCTCTGAACCGTTCTCCGCTAGAAGCTTGCAGTTTTTCTTCGCCTAAACATAATAACAAAATTGTCTCAAAATCAATCTACTATTCATTCTTTTTTTTGTGAGGAATTTTCTATTTCATTTTTTTTCCTAAAAAAAAAAAGAAAGGACAAGAAAATACTATTGCATCATGTTAACAGATGGAGATCAAACGTCATTACTTCAAGTTCTTGTAATGGGTTTAGGATTTACTTTGGGTACGGCATTAATGTACTAAATCCTGACTAGGTTCTCTCTTTTATGTTCTGTAATCGTCCAAAATTAAGTTAAAAAGTCTAAACCTTAGGGATATTTCCCAATACATCCTTATAAAACGTGTGGTTTTAGTGGCCAAGACGGAAAGACCCAAGAAACTGATTAAAGAAGACTTTATAATTTAGATTTACACATCCAATTTAATTTAAAAGTCAAGTGTTCTAGACAATGTGCTTTTGGCTCAGTGGTGGTAAGAAAGAAATTTTGGAATTATGTAATTTTAGGTTTAAGTTTTATTATAAATGAATGTGATTGTTTAGTTATATTTTAGTTTGTTAACTTAATTATTTAGTGATATGTTATATATGTAATACTTGATTATAATTATAATTTATTTTGTACTTATAATTTTATAAAAAAATTATTATTTTATACATGATGTTTATTTTTATATTTATTAATATCAAATTAATTTTTTAATTTTACAAATAAGATCGATTACAAGATAAATATATGTTTTACTTTTTTAATTATTTTTATTTTTTAAATATATTTTAAAAAGTATATATCATCTTAATAATATGGTTTATAAAATCTAAAAACTCCACTAAAATTTCTTGGTAATATAAATATTATATCTTTATAAATTTAAGAAATTATTAAATATACTTATAATGAAATTTTAAGACTCTATAAACGGAGTTAAAAGGATAATATATAATCCTTAAAATATATTTTAAAAATAAAAAGTTAATTAAAAATAAAAATGAGAGATATATTAATTTTTAATATCACTTGTAAAATTAAAAATTTACACAATTTATCAAATACTAATTCTATAAATTTATCTTAAAAATAAAAAGGACCTAATTAAATACTATAGTATAACTTTTGTTTCGTCCCCTAAGATACAAATGGCACGTACGGCGGTACCGCCAAAAAAAAATATTAGTAAACGGTTGCTGAAAACTACGAAGTAAATACTAAATCCTATCAGATTCTCTTCTATGTTCTGAAATCTTCCAAGCTTATGTTAAAGTTGTTGTCTTTTCTTAGATGCAAAGGATTAGAGAGAGAGATAGAAATGATACTAAGATATTGTTTGTTCACTAACCTCGCAACAAGCCAATCTTGGATAGGGAAGCAATAAGGCCAAAACGCAACCCAACACCCCAACCGCAGTGCTAGCCGCTACATGCATCGGATGCATAAGAGGCTCGGTTTGCCCACCACTAATGAAACCGACAACATGAACAATAACGATTTGGCCCAACGCTATTCGCTTGGCTATCAAATGACTCGACTCCGGCAACACCACTACTAGCCCTCCTAAAGCCACAGCAAGAGCCGTGGTTCCAATCGTAAGCTTGGCTGGTCCTATCAACCATAGGCTCAACACGGCAGGTCCTAGGCTTTGGACGGAGGCATAGAGAGCCAGCCAGCACCCATGCAACTTTTCACCCAAGGTGGCATCTGTCATAATGAGGATGACGGTTACGTAGGAAAATGATGGGAATGCTATCTGGCGTTGGAGGCAAGCTGGTCCAGACAAGGTGGTGATGCCTATTATGGTGCAGGCTAAGGCGGTGCGGAAGGCTGAGGCTACAGAGGTGCGCCATATGACTATGGCTCGGTTCGGTTGCTGGGGTACGATTGGCATTGTGAAAAGTTGGACGGAAAAGAAGAAACGAGAGGGCTTAGTTTTAGCAATGTGAATACGGCTTATCTGGCTTGTTGAGCTAGAGAATGCTTCGGTACGGTGGGGTTGGAGAGCAGGTGTTTGGAGGCTTTTGTAAAGGGTGGAGATTACTTGTGGAAATTTGAGAAGGTCAATTGGGGCCCACGTGTGTTTACTACTTGACAGTCATTCAAAAGTTGAATGACTAGATTATGTACCATATAATGCTGGCTGAGCTTTGAGCCAAATTGACAAAGACTTTCATTAACAAAATGAAAGCGATTTGGAATTTGAAGATTTTAACTCACTATTAATTTACTAAATTATGGGTTTTGTTAATGATAGAGTTGGCAGGGGGTTAGCAGACTCATGATGTTCAAACATAAGCAATTTGAAAATTTTAAGATGAGGTTGCTTTAATTTTTGTTTTATGCTGTGTTCAAATAGTTTATTTGCATGCCTACCACCAACAATAATGAAAAAAAATTAACATGTCAAACATTTTGCTTTTTGATTCTTAAAAATTTGATTAATTTGGTCAGCAAGATCGCTGCACACTGATCCTAAATGATCTTTTCCCAAATTAGTTTGTTGAAAGGCCTCGAAGGGAATCATATGTCTTTAACGGTAGAGATAGGGTCGGTAATTCAATCCGTACCCAACGAATTTCAATTTAATCCGATCTTATGAGATAGAAATTTTTTTTTTTTTAATTTGGATTTCGGGTCGGGTCGGGTTCGTGTTTTAGGTAAATTCGATCCGATCTGATATTATATAAAAAATTATTTTTTAATTAATTATTTAATTTTTTATTTATATATATTTTTATATAATGATATTTTTAAATATTTATATTTTAAAAATAATATTTTATTAATTTCGGGTCGGGTTCGGGTTTTAGGCAAACCCGACCCGACCCGATATTATATTAAAAATTATTTTTTAATTAATTATTTAATTATATATATTTATATAATGATATTTTTAAATATTTATATTTTAAAAATAATATTTTATATTTTAAAAAATAATATTTTATTAATTTCGGTCGGATCGGGTCGAATACGATTTATATAGTATCGGATCGAGTTCGGGTTCGGATATAAAAAAATAAAAAAAATTTCGAATAAGATTGAATTCGGATTTAATAACACATAAAATCGAGTCAGGTTCGGGGTGAGTAAACTACCCGATACCAACCTTAGGCAGAAGTAATGGAATGTTAGGACAGATTTTAAGGCTAAAATATGTAAGCTTTCAATTAATTAATTTATCCATATGAATCCAAAATTTAATTCATATAATTATTTTTTAAAATTAAAATAAATTTAAATTTTAAATTTCAGTAACTGTTATTGTTTCTCCTATGCTACATATTCTTTTGTGTAAAGTCAAATTTTAGCTAATTATTTCTATCCTCAATTTAACAGACATAAAAAATCAGGAACCTTAACTAATATTAGAGATTAAATTTTCGTATCCCATCCTTGGTTTCTATGCAAATTCTAAAAATGATCGAAGCTGATTTTCAGAATTATCTTTTTTGTTTATATTTTATTCAAGCACGAGTACATTGTGATTATAGCAACTGAAGTTGATTATTTAAAAACAATGTGGTTTGATTCTTAGATTTGAGCAAATCTTGGCTATATATATATATCCACATGGGATAAGGAAACTAAACAATTAATTCCTAAACTCCCAAGACGCCAAATATCATTCGTAAGCAGTCAAACTATTCAAATACTTTTCATTAATCGAATCGAATACTAGTTTGGACTCAACTAAATTTAGACGAGCACAGGCTGATACATTATCTTCATTAAATCACATTGTTAACGAGCTGGTTGAACAACCTGATACATTTCCAAGTATAGCTAACAGATTTTGCCAAAGCTGACAAGCCAAATCACCCCAAGCAAATGAAAAAGAGAGAGAAAAAAAGGGTTCAAGAAACCTAAAGAAACATTCTAGGACGTAAAGGAAATGAAAATGAGATTATTGATTAGTTATATAATAATAAAGTTAAAGTGGGGTTTCTCTAGATTTCCACTGAACTTATTCGAGTCGCTGATTTTTATAAGTTGTGTTCCTTGAGGAGGGGGAAGGGTCAACTGGGGGGCATTGCTGAATCCTCTTTGTTGCGCCTGAAGCAATAATCACAACAATACAGAAGTAATAGACAATAATCAATAATCAAATGCGCAGGAAAAATAAAGCACACTAAGATTTACGTGGAAAACCCTCCAGTGTAGAGGGAAAAATCACGGGTCACCAGAAAAATCTTCACTATCAAATAATAGTTATACAAAGTTCTTCTCTAGCTAAAACT